GGTGGAAAGGAATTTAATAGGCCCCAAAATTCAATTAATCAGTTATTTTAAAGTTCCCATATTTAATTTCTCTAATGATTTAAATGAAAAATTATGGATTCTTAAAATATAAAAAATAAAATTTCAATATTAATTTTATTTTAAAAGCAGAGGAAGTTATTATAATAAAAAGAAATATTATGATCACAATTATTATCAACATATAAGACAAATGACCATGTAAGTTAATCACTTTCTTTTCCTCCTTGATCGAGATATGTTTTTCTACCTTTGACTTTAAATCTCAAATTATCTCTCAGTGCAACAAATGTTATTAGACATTTTAAATGTGGTGCAAAATTTACAAAGTAGCATCCTTGCTGAAGGATGGTTATTTTCCTTACAATAACTGCGATAGTGACACCTCATGCAGATGCATCGGGTTTGGTGCCCCTAAAGCGAATCATCATGACCCACGAAGTAACACACTACCACAAATATTTTAAAATAATTATGAGAGATAAGTTAATGATTCGAATAAAAATGTTTAGTTAATGAAAACAAAATAAAATACTCCAAATTTTGATATACATTTTGAAATTTACTGAACTTCAACAAATTAATAAAGAAAAGAAAAGACTAGAGAAAGACTAAAATAATAAAGTAAAAATTGTTTTGATAATAAATATTTTCCAAAAATAAAGTAACTTCCTAAAAATATCTGATGAAATTAAAGCCCATTCGATGCTATTCAATGATGCTTAAAATTTTTTCAATAGCTATTAGTAAATTTTATTTCCTTAACTTGTCATCTGGGTTTTTCTATTTCAATTTGGAAAAATTTCAAATATTAATATTCTTCAAAGGTTTTAGATCCTCAAATTTTTGAAAATCAAAGGCAACTTGAAGAAGAAATTTTGATGGGATCTCTTCATAATAAAAATAGAGATAATGTTGGAAAAAGTAAGATTAAGGGATTAAAAGATGTTCTCAAAACAAAATTTAAAGATCATGACTTTAATAAAATGGAATTACTCTGAAGAAGATTTTGAAAATATTAAACAAATTATCACAAATTTATTCAATTAGGAACAAATTTAGTGAGAAATGACTTACTTGATTGTATCTGAATTTGACAATGCCAATATTAATGGAATGAATTTGATTTAAGATAAACTTTTAATTGTAAGTTGAGAATCTTAAACATTCTTTCTCTTTCTTAAGATTACATAAATACAAAATGTGAAATTAAAAAGCTGGTATAGGATTATGAGATGAGAAATAAACTAATTTTGCTTAGCCCTTTTCTTTTATTACAATCTGTATTTTTTTGTTTCACATCCAAAAACTGAATTGAATTATCAACATTGCATGATGCTACTGACTTGCCATCTGAAAAAAGAACCCTATGATACTCTACCACCATGATTATTACTTTAACTTCTTTATTCTTAAATATTTCGTTTTAGATTCAATCCACTAATCATGTTATGTCAAATTCAGATCCGCTTAAGTCACATCTCACTATATTTGATCCAAACAGCGAAGTATTTCTAATTTTTATATTTTCAAATTATTATTTCTTCAATTCAACTTTCATTTAAACTAATAAATGAAGAGAATTGATCCACACTATATATATATCTCTCATCTAATACTTTAAGTTGAACTAAAATTTTAATAATTTTATGATCTTTCTTATCATTTGATATTTTTATGATCAGGTCTTCTTTCAATTTTTGAATTCTTCTACAAAGGAATTTTATTAATTAAAATCATTAACTTAAAAATATTAGAGAATATCTATTTTTCCAACAATTAACATCTATTCCTATTCGATCTGTCGTTAACTTTCTACCTAGATCATTTCTTTTTCGGTTTCGTCTTGAATTTAATCTAATAAGAGAATTATCGACAGTTTTAGATCTTCTCACTTATCTATATTTCAATTAAGCTATATGGAGGAATGATTCATTAATATCTTTAAAAGAAACCAATAAATCTTCTTTTTTTTATTTTACGCCCTATTTTTTCATTAAAAAAATAATATTGAATTTCTATTACTTTTTAAGTTGGGTTTTATTTTATAAAACCAGAAAAATTTGTTAACTGAGGTAACTTAATGTAGCGACAGCTTGATTCTTTAAGAATTACAGAATCAAAATACAAAACAATTATTGTCAAACATCCATTCAGGCAACAAGATTTATCACTAAAAATTTCAATACCTTTTTATGAGCGATTCAACATCCAGATAATGTATGTCAATTTTATCCCTAAATGGATAACTTCTATTTATTTTGTGTTATATTTCAATTATATTATCTTGATAACAACTATAAATTAATGTACAGACGAGCTTTATAAAACTATAATAAAAAAAAAATAATTAATTTTTCTAAATCATCCAAAATTTTATTGTAATTATAGATTTTAATTGATGCTTTGAAAGCTAAATATTTTTAGAGATATCTACATAACTTTTCAATTTAAGTAAACAGAAATAATTTGAAAGAGTTGTTTAAATTCTATCAAATCTTAAGAACAAATAATTTTCAATCTTTAGAATAGTAATTTATTCTAATTATTTAATGATAAAATTCTTTTAATTAGATTAATATCAAAATACTATTCCAAAAGGTTTTTCTAATATTAATTTTGTTTGAAGAAATGTCATCATTTAAGTCATTAAAAATAAATCTCTATTTGCGAATTCTAAAATGGAGTCATTTAGGAACTAGAAAGCAAATAAATTAATAGATGATTTTGAAAATACAACCATAAAATACATTGAAAACAGCAATAAATGCTTTTGAATTATATAAAATTAAATATAAATGGGTTGCTGTGCAACAAATAATAATTATAGTTAATAACTACACCTTATCAGATATTAAACTTTTACAGAGTTCGACATAAGTTATCCATAAGTTTTGTTGGAATAATTTAATAAATAGCTTGATGAGTTAATCATCATAAAAGAAGAGATGAACAAATTTATCACAACTTCTGATTTTAGTGAGGAGGATTATTTAATTGCTTGCAGGAATTTTTTTGATAGGCATTTTCATTTGTTAAAGACATATCACTCTTAGAAAACCATAGAGGATTCTATAATAATAGAACAATTAGGAAAAATGCGTGAATTTATCTCGAATGTACAAAATGAAATAAAGTCTGCGGATGTAGATTTTGAAAAATGGGAATAAGAATTTTTGGTTAATATAAATTGTCTTGAACAAGAATCAGGAGAATTAGGCGAATTTTATATTATAGCAAAGAGTGAGCAAAATTTAATAAAAATAATTACCGTTTTGGGTAAATTTGATGATAAAATTTTAAACTTTCACTAGGTTTGGCTTTAAGATTAAATTTCGTAATTAAGAGAGAGATTATTTAGACAAAGTGAATAAGTTATAGTAAATTATTCGAATTATTTAATAAATTATCTGAAAACAGGAAATGATAAAAATCTTTATAAAAACTTGCAGGAATTATCAAAGTTAAGCGAAGTAAAGGTAATTGAATAATTAGGATATAGATTAGCATAATAATTATTATAGTTACGAGAAAATCAATAGGATATATTGTTCAAATCAGAATTTTTAGATATTGCATATAATTTACAACAATGTTTTACCTAGAATTATGACAAATACATAATTTAACCTGTAATTGAATAAATGGACGATTTCTTGATTTAAGAAGAGATTTAATTGTCATCTTTGACCATATTATTGGAAGCTTTTGGATTAGCTAAAATGGAGATATTTGACCAAGATTTTTATTGTTTTCACATTCATAAAGCTGAAACAAGTATAAAAAATATAAAAGAAATGTCTTAAAACTTCGAATAAACATTTACTAAATATTAATTGTAATTTATAACGAAATAAAAATAAAATTTATAACATGCTCTACAAATTTTTGAACCTTTTTATTAATTGTCAATGAAAAAGATATCATAAAAGATAGCTGAATAAATTAATTAATATTTTTCCAGACTTGAATGTATAACTCTAATATTGAATGCTTCAAAGAGGCAGGAGTAAAAGCTCTCAGTTTTCATTTAAAATTATGGATAAAGGTGTTCTCAAGATTTACAAGAACTTCAAAAGAATTCCAATAAATTTTTAGATCTTAAGGGCCTCAAATTGAATTAATCCACTGATTAAGTCACTTAAATGATATAAGAATATCAGGTGTCGTTTTAAAAAATGCAATAGCTCTACTTATGCAATTTAGGAGCTTTCATAACTAAGGAAGCAGATGAGATTTCTTAATTGACTGAAGATAAACATAATGAATAGAAGAAAAGAATTGACTAATTAATCTAAAATATCGATATTGCAATATTGAATGCTAAGAATATTATGATTAAAACAGATGACACAGACTTGATTGAAAAATAATTGACTATGGCTCTTGATAAACTTATTTATAATAAAGATTAAAAGAAGAGAGCTTCTTAATTAAGTGATTATGCATTAAAACAAAAACAATAAAGAAAATCAACAACTGTTATTAATTCACCTCATTAAGAAACAAATAATAGCAAATAAATTAGATAAAACACTCCGAAAGGTGTCATTGTAACAACTTCTAATAACAATTAAGAACTTGAACCATGGGCTAAATTGAAAAGAATTCCATTAAAAATAATCAGTTAATGCGGAAAGTGTGATAGCTATGCTCCATATTAGGTGAAACATGAATTGTGTTAGACTGATTACTTTTTGGATATGAATGGTTTTGTTAGATGTTCGAAGAGATTAATTTCATCACCAAAAGAGAAGTCCTGCAAACTCAAACACATTACCGAGCAATCATTTGTTTGTCCATATTGCAAGGCTAAATTTCAATTAAATTAGTTTCACAAGTTTATTTAAGCAATAATAAAGGGCTTAGACTATATTAACTTGCCGTTTGAATCTAAGGATATCTTATTATTTTTTAGACGAGTTTACGAGGACTTTTCAAAAATTTATTATAATTACTAGGTTCATCAACAAAAGCCAAGCCCAGATTCTCATCAATGAAATCAAATGATATTTATATTGAATTAATTTGTAAAACTATAACTAACTGAAATCAATATTCTGATTCATATAGCTTAATTTGAGAATCTAAAGCTCTGTTTGAGTGGTTTAAGAATTTCTAATCATAAGGTTTCCTTTAATAGATCTGATCTATAAAGCTTCGTCTTGGTTCCTTACAAATAATTCTCTTTCCTTGACCACGATGTTTTGATTCAAAATACAACCCAGAATCGTTTAGACCATCTGTTTATTTATATGTATTTGGACCTGGACTACTATGTCCTAAATTATTTTCTTAACTACTTATTTTTTAAAATCGTTCCTCTTTGCCTATTTTGGAACATCTGGAACTTCTATATCTAGCATAAATAGTCTAACCCATTTAATCAATATCAGTAGAATCATATTTCCCTGGCCCAGGAATGCATTCCAAGTTTTACTCCTATAAGAAATCTAATTCTGTATCAATATATTACTAGGTAACCAATTAGATTATGTTTTTGGTCTCATAGTGTATTATATTTTTGGATCATAGCAATAAGAACAATTATAATTGCCTACTCCAGGATTTCTCTGAATTCCTTAAGTAATATACCCTAATTCTTTGGTCTTCTATTATGAATATTAATTTATATGTTAAACATCTCTTGAAATGCCAAATGTAATTCCTTTCTCTTTAGGCAGATTAAAGAGACCTGAGATGATATATTATGTTGGAGGAGGAGCATTGCTGAAGGATTTAGTAAAATCAGATCTAGGACCTTTCCCAATAGAATGACCCCTATTATTTAGGTTTCTATTAATATTGTAATTAGCAGTGATGTAACTAGTCTAATTAATAAATGAGCCTACTTTGTATTTGTTTACGAAAACCGTTTTGCTTTAGAAAAAGAGTAGGACTTTTTTGCTTTATTATTGGTATGTTACATTGTAAAAATTTATTGATAAAATTATTTGATTTATATATGTATTAAGAAAATCATAAAATAGTTAGATACAAATCAAGATGGAATAATTTTATCAATTTTTTTATGTCCGCAAGGTCGTGTTATTTTGTAATTTTTGGCATCCAAATAGTTTGTTTGAGTTTTAAATTAATTTAAGACTAAATCACTATTCTTAAGATTAAAGTATTCAGCATGATTTTTAAGAATTCTTTCTTATCTGTACAAACTTTTCATTGAGGAAGGATCAATATGAATAATTCGGAACTCTATAAATATAATTTAATTCGGGTCTAGAGATGATTATTTAAAGATCTATTTCTATTCAACTTTACATTTGTATTAGGCCCCTTCATAGGTATTTAAATAAAAATCAAAGTATTCTCTACCTTCCACAGAATATTTAGCAAGTTCGCACCAATTTTTTAAGGTTCCATCCAAATTGAAAATAGTTGGTAAAGCTTGTGTTTCCTTTAAATGGTCAAACATCATATCTTTTGTTATACCCATTACATCCAGAAATTTTTAATTTAGAATTCTTTATGATAAGACACTATTGAGTTGATTAACATTTTAGATTGTGCATTAGAAAGGATATTGAGATACAATTTTTTCTAATTCAAGTAATTCATTTTCTGATAGTAATGTTTAATCTTTAAAATTGTCAAGAATCTTAAATCTATTTTCGACACATTCTAATGCTTACTCACTATATTGATCATTCATGTTTTTTATAAGCTAACATACCTATTACTTTGAGAATTAATCTCTATCATATTGTTCTAAGCTAAAAAAGAACAAGTCAGCATATTGATCAACTCTACAAACTTTATAATTGTATGTGCATGGATTTTCTCTTAAACCGCCTAAACAACGCTCCTGCGGACATGACAATGATAATTTTAATTCAACTGCTGATTTAATAAACGTAGAAAGGGGCCTTGGGACCGTAAGAATAGGAAGAACAACTTTATTTGATATTTAATGTTGAGTATCTCTTTATTCTGATATGTATATCAATATATATGTTACTGAGTTTGCATATCGTTTTTGTAACAGGACTACATTTTTGTTCCTCTTAATTTATATTCTTCCTTAATTTCATTAATAAACTCATGACAAATTAAAATTAATTATATTTCTAGAAAACAAATTGTATAACCTTATATGCTTCAATAGCAAACACTTTCAGATCCTTACATTTAATTAATTTTTTTTGTTAAATTAAAAATCATTAAACAAAATATATTTTTTATTTCACCTTCATATCCAATGTATCTGAATGTTCTAACATCTGTATTACAACTCTGAATTAGAAAAGGATTTAAAAGAAGGAGAAACTCTATTCTTAGTAAATAATTTTTTTCAAACAATAATGATCTAAACTGTTTATTTAGATCTAATTCATTCTGTAACTTTAATTAATAAGAAATATAGCAACCTCTAATAATAGCACTTTAAAATTAAATTATTTAATTTTATTTCTATTTCTAAATTATCATTAAATATATATGATTTTTCACGAAACTATTTTAATTAAGGCATGACTGACTTCAACATAATAATCAATTAAGTTTACTCAATAAAATTAATAATTACTTAATAAAATAATAATACAGTAAAGTTTCAATTTCTGTTCAATAAAGTAATCTCTAAATATAGAATTTACTTATTAATGCTCTTTGATTTTATTAATAATATACTAAATAGTAAAATTCGATTGTTACAAAGTCAAACTCTATATATTGAAAAGAAATTTCATAGACTTGATCAAGCATTTATATCGTTTTAGAGACTCCTCTTGCTAACAGATGTCCGGTAAAAGGATATTCAATTTGGACACTATCAATTTTCTTAAATAGTGGATCTACTTTTCCTTTGATCTTATCCAATTTCTAATTGATTTCTTTGTAATATTTATTTGGATTTTGAGCTTCAGATTTTAACAACTACTAATGTTTATCTATTAATGTATCCAAGTGATGTTGTCTTTGCAATTCTCTTTTTTTAATTTCAATTAATTCATTTTTGAATTTATTATCATCAATCCTTACTTATTATTAAGGTTGCTTTGAGGTATTAAGTCCAAATCATTTTAATTATATTCTCCAGGTAAAAATGGTGTTTTGGCTTTATAATGAATTAAGTGAATTCCATCTTTCCAAACAGGATAATTATTTATTGTGGTTCAACATAGATATCATCTACATTTTTTCAGTTGACTTTTATTTATCCCTTTTTTTTATTCTTTTGTTTTACATGGCGATTCTTTATTTTCCATACCCTTTTTTTAGCATTCATTATATCTTGGGCCAAATCAGGATGTTTTTAGGTTTTTAACTGTTTTAATTATTCTTCAAATTGTTTATTTTACTCATCTTTCAATTTCTTCTCTTTGTCTATCATCCATTATAACTATTCTAATTCTCTCTTCTATTTCTTCATTTCAGAAACATCCTTCTTATATTACTCTAATTAAGATAATAAAAATTACAATTGTCAATCACTTATTCAATATCTTTTATAGTTGTATATGATTTAACTGCAGCAGGAGGTGGATTTTCTAATTATCTTTTTTATTCTCCTTTTCTCTTTCAATTTTTCTTTTTGCAATTTATTTTCAATTTTGAATATTTCATTCTTCTTCAAATTATCAAATTGTTTTGGATTAGATTCAACCTTATCATTCCACGAAGGTTTGAACTTCTCTTGCTACTAAGCACTTGAAGGACGAACTTTTTAGACAGATTCTATTTTCTATTGCTAAACTTTTTTTGAAGCTTCCTTGAATTAGACATTCGAATATATTATTTTTGTCGTAAAGTAAAATATTGTATAAATAACAGTACCTTTTGTAATAATCGATGGATATATAAACATTTTCAAATTTTATTGTTTTTGATTGCTTAAGCTAAGATATTGGCTAAGGTGAACCAAATGCTAACGAGTCTTAATTATAAAATTAGTTATTCATATTTAAATATAAATATATTTATGCAAAAAGAAATCATTACAATCTAAAAATAAAGCTAGACTATCTAGTTTGTTAAGGAGAGATTGAAGGTAATTAGAAATGAATTTTCTTTTAACTATTGACTTTTGGCAATTATATATCGAAAGAGGATTTATATCTAGATGTTAAATCTAAAGTAATTTATATCAATATTTACTATAGCATCGATTAGAATTCAGCATTTTATTTTTGATAGGCACCAGATCTTATGAGGATGTCTCTTTTGTCAGTTGAATCGTCTTCAAACTCTTAGGTTTGTAGTAAGACTTTTAAGGACGAACAATAATGTGTGTTTCTGTGTGAACTCTTTATGTTTTTGGAGCATCTTCATTAAGTAGTATCTCATAGATTTCATCAGAGTTCTGAGATTTCAGATAAGAACATCCTTCTAAACATTGTTATTTGAATATCTTAGTCATCTACAATGCCTTTACTATCTAAGAACATAATTAAATTTATATACTAGCTAAAACTTTTAGATAAACCTATATCTTTAAATAATTTCTTTATTTGTAATTGGATGAGATTTTCTTTCTTCACCTAACAACCATGGATGTTCCAAGCATTATTCAGCTGTCATTCTATCAATTGGACTGTGAGTAATAGTGTTTTTGATGAAATCCTTTGCCATCCTTTAAATATTATTAATTCTGTATACTCTGAGAGATGTGATGGATAGTTGATTTGAAAATCACTAGAGAGGACTTTGTAATATTCCTTTTTAGTTTATCCTTCAGTCCAAATGGGATGCTAATTGTTGCATAACATCTTATAGAATATTATTCCAAGAGAAAAGATGTCAAGAGCCTTTGTTAATTTTAATAAACTACTTGCGTTTATTCATAGCCATTAATTAGTTCAGGAGCAATATAATATGGAGTTCCAACTTGTTAGCCTATGATGCCTCTGCACACAATTTGATATCCTAGGCCTAGGTCAATCAATTTTACATGATTGCCATTTGAGATAAATATATTTTCTTATTTAGTATTTAAAAATACCAGGCTTTAAATCTCTATGTATGATTCCTTTGCGATGTAAAAAAGCTAAGGCATTTAATACTTAGAGCATAATGTTCCTTATTTGAATTTCATCAAGTTTCTGTTCTTTCAAGATTACATCTAGAGTGGTTCCATTCAGTTTTTCCATAATTAGATATATGAAATTATTAGCAAATAAAACCTAATAGTGCTTAAGTAATAACTCTCACCTTGTACAATTTAACAATGTTTGGATGAGTACATTCTTACAAGAGAGATGATTCATTTTCCTTTTCGAAATATTGTGCTATCTAGTTTTTTACTAGTTAATACTTTAATAGCAACAACTTTATCTAGTTCTTAACTATGAGCTGCAACCACAATTCCAAAACTTCCCTTTCCCAAAACTTCTATATATCTGAAGAAATCGCTCAGTAAGATATCGTTTAAATTTTCAATTAATTATTAAGGGTTCATTATTTAAATATATTATTAATACTTCATCACTTTGAATTAGTCAATGAACATATGTAGACTACACCTTCTCCACCACCGAATGCAAATTTATTACTTTTATTTCCATAGTCAACACAATAAACACCTAATAAAGATTTCTGGATTCTTTTTACCTTCCTACAAATCTTGTATGTAACCACAAGTTTAATATTAGTTATTAATATCAAACAATTTCAGTTCCTATTTGCCACTGCTGCCAGCCAATATAGTGTCTCCATTGATTTTACTGAATTAACACGAATAGACATAAAAATCACTGTTGTTATTATTTTTATCCCACTATATCTCCTAAATCAGTGATCTGGTGCCAAAGTCCCATAATTATACCTAATTGTTTGTTCTATAAGAGCCAGTCAGTATTTAACCATTTCTAAATTATAATGTATACGTGGATACCTAAAATCTAAACTATCTCCAGAAAGATTAGGACCGTAGATAGTTCCTACAGATTTGTGATCTCTAAGATCCCAGATCAGGAGATTGCCATCCCATCCACCAGAGAGTAGAATATTGGGTGTTTCTTCCAAATACTTAAGTGCAAAGATTCTGTTCTAATGGCCTGGTTGATTGCTTGTATGAATAATGATTATACTAATCAGCCTTATCAAAAGTGTGGATTACTTCCTTCTTTTCATCGTCGTAAACACGTATCTATTATAATCATTCTAAATCAATAACTTTAAAATCTTTGCCTGCAGTAGCAAATTGATCTCCGTCTGATCTTATATCTAAGGCCAATAATTGGTTGCCCTATTCTACTGTCCTAAATAATTGCTTTCCTGTTTGTGCTTGCCACATCATAAGGGAGCCATCAGAATTCGCTGATAAAAACACACTTTTGGCTTTATTGGCTACATCTCTTCTCCACGCTAATTGCAGTTGTAGGACTAGCCTCCTTCTGATGATCCTTATAAATTAAATGCCAGTTTCCCTTTAATATTGCTGCTTTCACTTTACCAGACACGATGTTAAAAACTTTAACTGTTCCATCCGAACAACCAGCTGCTATGAGTTGATCCTCGAAATCAAATCTCAAACAAAAGATTTCAAATTCAGGGTTTCCAAAGAATGTTTTTAATGATATTTTTTTTGACTTACTTTGTACTTCACCAAATCTTATAATCTATACGAATACATACTTTAGTTATCCATAACTATACTGTGTTTATTTTTTATTTGTTTTCTTTTTATCCCTTGATGTTGAACGATCTTTTCTTTATTTTGGGTCCATTTAATATTAATTTATGAAATTTTAAAATCCTAAAGGCATATTTTCTGTGATCTTTGTCTATCATCTTCAGTGAGTATTATGTATTTGTATTTCATTATTTACCTTATAGATATAGCAATGTATCATATTTATAATTAGTATAGAATAGTGGATCCACAAATTTCATTGGAATAGAATTCACACTTATCTACATAATAATTCATTGGGCCTACATTCAAGCTCAAATTCAATCCCCTGGTTATCCTTTCCCTCATTTGGTATTAAAATCGACCTAAACTTAGGCCAAAAATTATCAGGAGCATACATTAGAAGAAATCAAGAACAGAACTAAAAAACATTCAAAAATCATTCAAGAAAAATAAACAAAATTTGATGAAGAAACATGAATTAGCAATTGATGGAGAAGATGAAATATTGTAATCCAATTTAACATCATATCATTTAGTGACATCATTTAAGCTATGTAACTTGATTCCTATTGTTTCAAATGAAAAATATTAAATAACCTAGAACTGATCATTGTAAAGAATGTAATAAATGTGTTTTAAGAATGGTATTTTCAATTTGCTTCAATAGGATCATCATTGTTTATGGGTTAATAATTGAATTGATATGAAAATCATAGGTTTTTTGCTAATTCATAATCTATGCGTTGCTCTGTATGTCATAATGTGTTATATTCATTACCTTTGAACTGTTTATTGAAACTTCACTTAAAGGAAATTCAAAGTTTCTTTGCCAAATGCGTGCATTTACATGTTTACTTCTTTGTATCTCTATGGGAACTCTTCTGTCATTTCACCTATATTATATTGCAAGAAATGTGACAACGGTTGAATTTCACATAGAAGAAATGAAAACTGACAATCCATTTCGAAAGTCAAGAATGGTAGACAATTTTAAAGAACTCTTTGGTTCACTTTATATCAATTGGATTTTTCCATTAACTGAGAATGAAAGTAAGACTAATATTTAAAATGACTCTTTCGAATTATGATTAGTTATCAAAATTAAAACAATTTTTTATTATTCTCATAATTACATTCATGCTACATCTATACACATTATTTATGTATTGCATGATAACAATCCATATACTTTACTATTTTGCTTTCTTATTGTTGTTAATTCTTATTCTGGACTGAAAATGAAATTGGTTTCAAACACTCATAACATTACATTGCATTTCCTATCATACCCTTTTTTATTCTAAAAATACATATTTTATTATTACAATTATAATTGTTTTTCCTTCTTTACAAATAAATCTTAAATAAATACAATCTTTGCCTTCTATAAAAACATAATATAATTGGTCACTCTTTTAAATGCATAACTTGGAATGATTGGCATTTCTAAGCCAGCATTTTGATAGAGGACTCTGTTGATTTCACACTATAATATTTGACAATAGTAGTGATCACTGACGTATAAGGGATTCTCTATAAAAAGTTTTTAAAAATAAATAAATATTTTCTTGTCTTTATATTAAAGGCATTCTTCAATCAACTCTTCCATTATTTAATCATTTTCTATGCATTCACATTTCTTAATCTTTTTGATGTCCAATAAATTTCTTAATTCTTTTTCATTTCCATTTTCAGACATTTTATCTATATGAATAAAGAATTCTCTAAAAACCCTTATTCTTGCACACATCAATAACAACAATTAGATATAGCTATATTTAAGACTGATACTTATCATATCATCTATATTTTATTTATACCTTTGAGTTTTATTAAGATTAAATAATTATTCTTAAGTGATTTATTATTACTATTATTATTATTATTACTATTATTACTATTGATCTTTGAAATCATCTAATCTAAAATATTATTATAAGATTGTTTTGAAATCTGGTTGAAATATCAAATATCCAGAATCTTGTTAATCTTTTATTAATAATGACTATAGATTGACAATATTTAAATTGGATATCTTTTAGTGAAAATCCAATTTGATTAAAATTTATCCATCGATATTGGATAAACACAATTATTGTTGATCATTATAATAAAATAGATACAAATTTTGGTCATAAAGTGTTATTCCATCAATGAGATTCTCATAGAGAGTGTAGGATGTTTCATCAAATCGTATAAGTGTTCTATTAGATAGAATGTAATGCTAATTTTGAATTGTTAATGATTAAAGGATATTATTAATAGGAATTGGCAAATTAATCAATGTGATTTCCATTTGATTATTGATTATGTATGTTGAATTTTTGGTTAAAAGTAAAAGTAGTTATGCATTAATTCTATAAATATCGATAGGGTTTTAAATTTCACTGCAGATATCAATGGTCAAGTTGTTTAATCCTAAGACAAAATGGATTGTTTCTACCTTGAGTTAGTAAGCATACTTATTCATTTTTAATAAGAATTGCATTGTATATCAACTACTCAGTATCAATGATTTGAATCATTTTGATTTTGGATAGACTCTCATTACTTTCTCGTTGAAATACTTTTAGTTTCTATTCGTTTTTATTGTATATTAATAACAATAATTTGTAATCTACAGTAACTAATTGAATTACTTGGCAAGGATTATAAAATATAGAGGATTTCTGTTTCTTAAATTAAACAATCCAAGAATTCGAATTCACAATCAAAATCAATAATTTATTATAATTGAGCTGGTAAAGTTAGTAAGTCCAATTTATTCTTTTGTAAAATCAAAAACTGTTGATTGTTAATAGGTTGAATACTTAGGATGTTATCTAATAAATGAATGTAGCTATATTTGTTTTGGTTTTAAGTAATGAACGATAAAACCTATTTATTCATATTTTTAATAAATTAATGGCATAAAAGAAATAACTGAAACAGCCAGACCCTGGCCAAGTGGTAAATAAGGACATAGTGTTTAGTGAAAACATTAGAAACGAAATGAAATTCTTTGATAAGAATAGAACCGAACATTTTCAATTGAACCCCAATAGAGGTATTTATTAATTCTTATTCATTTCAGTTGTAATTCTAGCTGAAAAACCCAATCATATAAGTATATATCATTGTGATATTCCAAGAACCTCAATCGCATCAATCTTCTAGAAAAGAGAAGGATAATGATATCTTTGGAAATCCATACACGGATGATCCAGTTGAAGAGGCATTCTCAAATCAAAAATTAGAGAAGACTTTGGAATTGAGAAATCAGATCCCAAGATAAAAATACAATTTCCCAATGACACAAAATCAAGAAATCGGTTGGTTTGCCAACTAATTAGTAAATTACATTATATTTTAGAATGTCTATAAACCAACTAAGAATTTCGCAAATCAACAATGTGAAATCACTAAATTTGTAGATAATTATTTTGAAATGACTCATGAAAACCCATTCAAAAAGAAAAGATCTTGATCAAACATTAATTTATCACAATATCTATAATCACTTATGTCTACTGATGTAATCTCTATATTTTTTCAAAGCTTTTCTCACATCTTTAGTTTTTGCCTAAGCTATTTTTATTATCAAATCCTTTAACTCAAACAATTCTTTGTCCTCCTATTAATCAATCCATGTTGACACCAAAAGTCCATTGTCCTACTATTATTCATAATTTGTAGGTGTATTGTCAACTATTATTGTTCTCTCCAAAGGTCTACCTACTTTGCTTATATCCTAATCCAATCATTATTTATTTACTTTAACAAAATTGTTCCCATTAAAAGTAGTGTGTGGTCTATACAATCGATAATCTATGTATTCATCACATTACAACTCTGCTATCGCATGATCTGCATACTTTATAATATATTATATATATACACTCTGCAAACCAGCTGTAAAGATCACTATTTCACAGTGTTCTTTAATACCTTGTAATAACTCAACCAATCCTGGTCTCCTTATGAATTTGCCTATCTTATCATTCTAAACTTATTATTCTATCTCATACATAATGACCCAGGGTTTCATCCAGATCTAATATTACACATAAAGAGTGCTGAAATGGTGTTTTAATAAATGGAACTTCAACTGGCTCTAAATTACTGTATGACTATCTTAAGTGCATCACGTATTATTATTAATGAGGTACTTTGAATAAGGTTTTCAAAGGCGATTAATATTGTTCTGGCTATTAACTAACACTAGTTGATAAATAGATTGCATTAACTAATTATGGTCTACTAGTTTATATATCTAATGACTTTATTTGACTTAGTTAATATCTACAGGTAATAATTACAGGCTATATATTAGGATTATCATTTTATAATAACTTATCGATAATTGTTTTGATGAAACTATTATTCTTTTTTAATTCTTAAATAAAACTGATGCAAGGGTTATTTTTACACAGTATTAAATCAATTTTAGTCTGTAATTGTACAACTAAAGTATTCTACTGTTTAGTTTGTGTCAATATTTTCTTTAAAAAATGACAGAAATTTTCCAATAAAAGTTTTGTTAATACTATCATTTCTTATTGATGCTCTTAAGAATTATTTAGTAAATTTTCTTTCATTTAACATTAAATAAATGAAATTACTATGTCACTCAAAAATATTGATTCTTAAATTATCTTTTGTGTTAAAGGTCTGACAAAACAAAGTAAATATTGTTCCCATTTAAACATATAAACGGATTCCCAATATAATTAGAAATTTGGAGGGTCCTCTTTTGTTGACAAACTCTCCATAATCTATTTGATATTCTAAAGCAGAAGTTATCCAGAATTTAAGTCAAAATGTTGAGTACTCTGAATGAATGTATCAAATTAACTACCAGGTCTAGAGAAATTGAAAGTAGATGTTGCTTTCATGCGTTCTGATTATTTGGAATTGCTTCTCTTGAGTCCATCACATTCTTATTCTATTGTCCTTAATGTTCTTTTAGCCTCTAACATAGGAGTTTCAATTTATTTCCTTTGGTTTTGTAATTGTTTTATTATATGGTAATTGTTTCCATACTTTAATGCAAAATATTCTATTGTATAATATCACTTAGATTACTCGCAATTTCATCTGAACTCTTTTCGAAATGGGCAAGCACTGGAAGAGTTTGTTTCATATATTTAACAATATAATTTATATTAATTCATAAGTACATCAAATTATTGTATTTTTGTTTGTCCAAAGAGTATTCCAAATCATATTCTGAAATTATCTAATTCAAAGAGTAGAATTTATTGGCATATTATTCAGAAACTTATTGTTAAATAACTTATAAACTGAATCTCTCATCTATATTCTAAATGGCTCCAAAAATTAATTTATAAAAATCTGTATATTATTCTAGAAACGATTTCTTAAATCTTACTAATTATGGCCTTTATCCTTTTGATCTAATCATTAATCTGAACCATTTCGTTTACTAAAGATTTGTCCATAATAAGCCTTGGAGGTGTATTTTTAACTCTAATTTTCCAAAATTCTTAATAAATATCTAAAAGCAATCATTTTATCAACAAAAACACTTAGTATGATAGCATCTTACATCAATATTTGCCTTTTATTAAGTGTCCTTTGTAAATATTGATAAAAATCCTGTTGTTTAAACAAATATGAATTCATTTTTTGTAATAAAATTTTAATAACAATGTTTATTAAGACCATAGATGAAAATCATAAAATTAGTAGAATAAACCTCCTTTTTGATTGACTAATTAAGGAAAATATTTAAACATTATAGTAAAGTTTAATTTAGAATCAATTTTATCAATATTGAAATTAAATTCGAGTACTTATTGATGTTCTTTATTATAATTTCTTAAGACTGAAGTACTCTTTAAATATTCAACAACCTGTGATATATTTTAAAAAGATATTGTTAATTTAGTAAAATAAAATTTTAAGTATTGGTTACGTCCTCTGATATAAAAGATTCTATTAATTAAAATGGAAATTAACAATATTATATTTATTGCTGTATCTCTTAAAATACTTTCCTTTAGGCTATATTTATTATTTTTTAACTATTTATTTAGTCTCTATATTATTACTACTAATTTATATTGATGTTTATTAATGTTAACATTTAATCCATATTTTCTACTTTATTGTTAAGTAAATAAGATTAACAACCCTTAGGACTATTTATACAAACTTCATTTGTTCATTTTTATGCTACTATAAATATGTATTTTCTCTAATTGTGTATAGAAGACAGCAATTCAATGCATAATTATATTTGTAAAATGATTACCACTTCGTTGTCATCCTCTGTCAATCATGGATTGATATTTGGAATGGTACAACTTATCTAGATGAGTAGACAAATACTGTTATATAAAGAAATTAATATTTCCTTATTTACTAACAAGACAATTATTTGTTTGTCTCTTTAAGTTAGCATATTTTGATAATATTATCAATATTCATATTAATTATTTGACTAATAAAAATTAAATCAAACAGCTTGGCTTGGGTCTTCCTTAGCTGAATACAAATGTGGGTGAATGTTTGGTAAGACACCTCCATCAGCAATGGTAGTATTGGCCATTAATTTGTTCAATTCATCATCGTTTCTGATGGCTAAGAGAATGTGTCTTGGGTTGATTCTGTTCTTCTTGTTATCTTTAGCAGCATTTCCGGCAAGTTCCAAAACTTCAGCAGCCAAATATTCAAGGACAGCTGACAAATAGACTGGAGCACCTGCACCAACTCTCTCTGTGTATCTTCCTTATTTCAAATATCTTGACACTCTTCCGACTGGGAATTATAAACCAGCTTTGTGTGATCTTGAAACTGATTTGTGAGCTCCAGCTGCCTTTCCTCCTTTTCCTGCTTTTCCTTTTCCTCCTGATGACATTTGAGTTTAATTAAATAATTAGAATAGATAATTTGGTTCAATTTTAAACAGTCACAAAATTCTTTTATTTAATTAATCAACCAATCAGATTCAAGATCTCAATACTCTACTCAAAGAATTAACACCCAATCACATGTCAAGAATCATTTTCTACACCAGATTCCTCAACTATATTGTTAGGGGAGTACTTTTGGTTTTTATCTTGACTTTCTAAGATACATCAAAAGATATATTAAGATATGATCAAAATTCAAAAACATTAAATATATTAAAAATTTAATTATTACTTTTTATTAATACTAATTACATAGTAATAGAAGTAATAATTGATAGAAAATGGTAGTGTTGAGTGATATTCACTGTTTTAATTTGAAAAATAATAACAATTAACTTGTTTGATTTATAATATTATGAGGACTTTAAAATATTATACAACTATATACAAATTAGATTGTAAAATATATAATATATCTTGAAACTAACATTTAAGTAAAAAATTAACATAATTTAGATCGATTATCAATAAACTGAAATTCTAGATAACTTATTATTATAATCAATTTATATGACTTTCTATATCTATTTAAAAAGAGTGAAATTTATCTTAGAAATAATATAAATAATCATTTTCTAAATGTCTTTTTAAATGAATATAAATGCCATAAGATATAGTTTAATTTAAAATTTATATATTAATCTAATGACCCTATAAGAATTAAACTATTGAGAATAGAATTAATAATAAAGTATTTGCTGTTTCTTTATGAATAAAGTTCTAAATTTTTAAGAATATTGTTCATTTAAAATAAATTTTATTGGTAGAATATTGTATATAATTGATTTAATTAAATAAGAATGCATGAACAAACTTGTGATTGATAAAATTAAAATAAGATGAGTGAAGAAATAGATTAGCATTTAGAGATGCAGGAGACAAATATTATGTTACTATAACAATTCGATAATGAGACTCAAAGTCAAGAAGCTATGAGCCCGTATCAATTTTCGGAACATTCAGATCTGCCTTCACCTAAGAAATAATCTAGAAAGAAAGAAAAGATACTGGAAAAACTGATATCAAACAGGGCAAAATTTAACGAAAGAGCAGCACTTTTCAATTTGATCAATTCGCTTTAGTTAGTATGGTTATTGGAAAAGAATAGGCAATTACTCTATACAATTTGAGTTCAATAATAAATATTGAAGGATAATCGAACTTGAAGTTTTATGATAGTTCATCAATTTTCAGTTTTTATAGATGGAATAAACAGGGATTCACAGTATATTATTTGATAACAATATTGGTGATGGTCCATGTACTGAAATTATTAACATGTTTAGTAGGTAAGAATGAAAATGAATTAGGGTATTTTTGTGTTGTGCAGAAGAGTGAGTAGTTGTTAACAATATTTATGATGTTGACCTTTACTTGTGTGATAACAAGGGGGATAATCACAATATTATTATTGATTGATTATGGTTAAATATTGTAAACACAATCATATGTTTATGGGAAGGAAGATAAAGTAGCTTAATCTCAAACGATCTAATTTACAGTAGTATTAGTGATATTTGTAGCTGTGGAAATAGTGATGGGATTGCAGAGTTTATTATATGCAGGACAAGCCAAAGAGAAATATAAATGTAGATATTATGTAATTAATTATAGAAATGAGAGTGAATGAAAAGAGGATAGCCTAACATTATCAGATTGCTTACTAAATAACTTTAAGGTAATTTCTGGCTTGATTATTATTATATAAATAATGTTTAATAAATTAAAGAATTCATTTCCATTTAGGTCTGGTCCTAATTTCTTAATATGTTTCCTAGGATTCTCAGGTGTGGGTTATTTTGGTACAAGCTATTTGCATAAACAGAAATATGATCATCCAATAGTCTAAGAAGCCTTAAGGATATTGTAACATAATGATTAAATAATCTAATTGGCAGGATATCCATTATCACTGTAGATAAATATGGGTAGCAATGCAACACAAAATAACGATGTGTGTTAATTTTCTTTTCAGGTTGTTGGTCCTAAGGGTGCAGCAAAAGTGGAGTTAATGGGATAATCAAGAGAATTGCAAGAGATACAAAATAAGACTTAATATTACATACCATCCTCAAAACAAATGACTGATGTGATGAAATATAATAAAGATGTTGAAGCATTATAAAATTGGAAATTAACACCAGAGGTGAGGTTATGGAAGATTGATCATCTAGTTGCTGACATTGGATTATAAGGAGACTTTAGAATAGTGTTGGTTGATTCAAATTAAGTGTTGAAAAAGGAAGTGGCTTAAGCAATGACTCCTCCTCTGGTTACCGATCGTAGAACACTCTATGATCTAAAGTTAGAAATAGATGCTCGCAAACCTAAGGTGCCAACTACTGAATAAGAAATAGAAGAGGCAAGAAGATATAGACAATAAGAGTTGTATAGAAAAGTTGGTGGTGTTAGAAATATCACTATTATTAGTACCATCATTGGAGCTATGGCCATTTACAATTATGTGAAGGCAAATAGAGTATGTATTATGTAATAGTCTAGCGAATAAGTGTGTTGAACACTCAAATTCACAGATAATCTATGATTATAATATAGAGTAACCCTTAGATTAAGAAATTATTTGGTTAAAACATCCAATTCAATTAGTAGTTGAGAGGGGGACAGATAAGGGATTAGGCCGAGTTTGAGACTGATATGTATGGATAAAAGGCAGGTGTTTGTTATGTGAAAGGGTAGAAGAACAAAAAAACAAATGATTGGGAAATCGAAACAATTGATGTTGCTGTTAAGGATGCTTAAGGTATTATCAATCAAAAAATTAGAATACTTGGTTGATTTGTGTATTTCATATTATATTAAAATAAATAATTAATATCATTATTAAAATTAAAATTTGTGATGAAAATCAATTGGCTCATGAATTAACTTATATTTAATATAAGCTAGATTGATTCAATTTGCATCACCACTCTGATATGATATATACTATTACTTTATATGATGATATTTGTATAAATCACTCCACGATGAGGTTTCATTGATTATGCAATTATACCCTGAAATATTTTATTATACTTATATAATTATGTGTCTCCTTCTTTATTCCATTTAAACTAATTTATCAATCAGTGAGACTAGTTTAAGTACAGTGATTGAGGGTATTAATCATTTTCAATACTGTATTAAGAGGTCCTTTTAGGCTAGATTAAGGTTTTGTGATTTAATATCTAGTTGAGATTATTTTTTATTTATTAAGGAATGTAAACTCTGAGTCATTTGGAATCTAGATTAAGTAGTTTTAAAGACATCAATAAAATAAAAGATCCTCAGTCTCTTTTGGAGGAGGAGTTTAACAAATAGGAGGCATCGAAGAAATAGATAAATGATCAAAATTCTCAATTCAATTTGATTTTTTAGGAGATAAGAAACAATAACATTTATAAATAGAGAATATATTAGAAAATGATTAAACATGAATCGGAAACAAAACCTACTATTATTGAGAAAGCGGATTAGCATTTATAAACTGTTAGTAAATTTGATGAATCATAATCAATTTCAAGTTTAGAGACTACAAAATAATTATAGATTTCTATTGATGAATTGATTAAGTCTATAAATAAGAAGAAACAATAGATTTATCCTATGGAACATTAGATGTAACTGTTGAAATATTAATAAAAATAAGCTGAAGATGAATTAATTCTAGCTGAATTTGAAATGCTTAGATCCAAATAATTACTACAATCGATGAAAACTAAAATATAAAGATTATAGAGCAGGAGAAATCAATATCTACAAGAGTTGATGGATCAAAACGATCTTCATAAAGCAAACACAGAAGAATAGAAGAAAGAATACGAAGTGATTTAGGATCATATCAACGAACTAAAAATACAAATACATAACTAAAAGTCATAAATCGAAGATTTGAAATAACAAGAAAGGTTAAAATGGGAATCTAGTGGCAATTAAATGATAATAATCAAAAATTATTTAGCAATGACCAAGTTGTATGAATATTGTACTAATCAAATTTAAAAGATTGATATTAGCTAAGATTCCAAAAATGAGAACGATGAGTCTGAAGATTTGATTATAGAATCATCTGACAACTCCTTTTTGGATGATGGAGGAGTCTTTTAAACTTAAATCAAACAGACTTCCCTCAAATCAAAACAATCTATTAAATCTATTAATTCAATTAAGAAGAATTAGAAGAAATCAATAAATTATCAATAATCTCTACAGAATTTTATCACTGCAAAAGAATTGATATCCTAAGTTAAATTAAATGTAGACATTAACATAATTGAAGAGATCATTCTCAAAGCATATGAAGAGTAGTCAAATTTGCAAAGACAATTGGCAGAGTAACATACATTCCTTATTGAATAAAAGGGCGAATGTTTTAAAGAGTATAATAATATATAATAGAAGGTATATTATATTTAAATGCTTAGTTCTAACTTGACGATGGAAGTAATAAAGAGAGGATAATCAGATGCTCAAAACCTACTAATGATAATTTTAATTAGGTTGTAATAACATCTAATATTGCTTAATCAAGTGTAACAAACAAGCTAAAAATCATATAAACCATAAGCAGAAGACAACAAATGGAAGACTTGTTTCTGTGCATGAACAATAGAGCTAGTATCTTCTTGCAGAGAATAATAAATATACTTCACAATATAGCATAACGAAGTGAAATAGCTAGTCAAGATATGATTGAGAAATATCAGTAATCTTAGATGACTCTGATGTTTTTGAAATAAAATCAGCAATAATCTTAGATGCATTTGGATGATTATCCAGAATTCAAAAAATTAAAGAAATCTCATAATATATCATTATTATATCATGATGCTCAAATATTCAATGAATTTAAGTAATATTGTCAACAAGTAACAGAGAATGAAATTGATGACAAATTATTGTCTGATAATTTTGATGCTTTTGTGTAATTGTGTTTGAATAGGATAGCTTCTGAAAGTTAATGTATTTATGAATAGATAGCAATTATTTGTAATCAGATTAAGGTGGAAACACAATAATTAAGACATTTTTGTCATTTATCTTCAAGTGAATAAACACCATTGCCTCACATTGTTCAGATGACTTACAATATGGCTGCAGAGAAGTTGCAAAATTACACAGATTCAAAAATCAGTGATCCCAATATTACTTCGAAAAGAAAGCAATTTGCGTATTTAAATTTGTATAATTTTTAGACGAAGATCTCTGTTGTTAGACGAGAAGAACTCCTAATAAGAAGAGACAAATGAAGAAAACTATGAAAAATATTACAGTCAAATAAAAAATGGGATAGAGAATCCTTTAATAAAAAGGGATGTTTAGACTGATTCTACGATGGTTGCAAAGACGAGTTTACTTTATGACAATTACACTCCACGCACTGAATTCATCAAATAAAATAGATAGCTCACTCTGTCTTTGAATAGAATTCAATCATGTACTATTTCACATATATGTATGTAGTGAGTCACATTTATCATCAGATCAACAACCAGGAATTCAGCAATACTTTTAAACATAATATTCACAGAGAACAGAAGACCATTCAGTATCTAACTAATCATAGCAGTCAGACTAGACCTGGAAGCAATAGTCTTGCTCTGATGTCTACTTATAGACAGGAATGTCGAACTGAACACAATATTAATGATAAATCAAAGACTTTCAAATAGACTAAAAGTAAATCACAAATATCAAAAGTAATATTGAATGAGGCCAAAAAATAAATGCAAAAAATAAAAACTATTAATAAATTATAATTTAACCAATGAGATATCTTTTATATAACTATTAATATTTTCAAAATCTTATGTGTTTGTAAGGAAATTTTGAACTCAATATAATATTATTATAATACGATTTATATTACAAGATGGGTATTTGTGGAGGCAGACCTAAAAGTTAGGAAGACTAAGTTCACAAACTGAGCCAACCTATCATAACCAATGGTGAGTTGCAGATTAAGGTATTGCTGAAGAACATCACTTTGAAAATGACTGGTGTAAGACAATGCTCGATTGAATTTGATTTGGGGTAGTGTAAGTACACATCACCGGTGCACATAGATAATAATGGAGATCATTATGTATTAAATTCATAGAAGGAAGTGGCGAGCTAGTTTTGATGGAACCTTAAAGATGACTGAGTAGTAGATGCGAGAATCCAATATGAAAATTTCAGTGATTGACAATTAAGTAATTGGATCAGCAACCATCAATTTATTTGAAGCAGCAGTAGGTCCCTTTCACTTTCAATTACCAATCCGAGGTTAAAATATGGGCAATGTTAGTTTTGATTTGAAAATGAATCAAGTATTGTAGGCAACTCTCTAAAGTAAGTTTATCATCTGGGAATTAAACTAAAGTCTTAGTGATGTTAGATACAACTATAATTTGCGATTGGTGGTATAAATATCAACTAAAATTAAAGACTTCATAGTTCTCATTCATCTCTGAACATTCAACCACCTTTGTGAATCCCAATTATAGAAAGCAAAATGAAAAATAGAAGAGTATAGTCGCTTCCAGTCGTAAAAGTATCTTAGACTAGGACATGATGAGAGATTCCATAATATCCTTACCGAAAATACCGTCAATGATAAATAGCAGTGGAGGTGTAAATCATTCCCTCGAGTCCATCATAGCAGCGACTCCGACCAATAAAGGACAATCTCCTGCCTCATAACCCTATCATAGAATAGAGTGGGACCATGCTGGAGATGAACTGACTTTAATTGTAGAATTACCAATCTCGGAATTCTAAGGTTCTGCTATTCAATTATGTTTGTGGTCAATCTCATCTAACAAAAACAGTTTAAGTAGCAGCAAGTCTCCTCATAAAACTATTATAAAGAAGACCTAAAATAAGCATGACTCAGAATACATGGATTTAGAGATCCAAGACCATCATTTAGTGGCAGAAACATATATCAATTTATCTAATTTAGAAACCAACATCATTGCCGATTTGGGAGCCAAGTTCTTTATAATCAAAAGTCAATAGGCTAAATCTATTTGGTATCATGGTGTAGAGGTCGGTAAAATAGATTATGAAATAAGTGTAAGATTACCCAATTATTTATAATAATCATCATTTGGAGTTTAGACAGAGAAGGGTATAGTGTCAACTGCATCTGTGGTTGGCAATGTAGAGAATATTAGTGTGACAGAGATTAAGATGATTCAAATTGAATTTCAGAAATTGTCAAGTTCAATTTTTAAGATTGAGCACAAAACTTTAAATATGGAAGATAAATTAAAGGTTCGTTCAGATATGGATCAATAACTTAGTAAGTTGGCTCAATTATTGGGATAATCTCATGGTACCAATATTAAAACATTTTAATACAAATCTGAGGATGATTTAATGAAAGCCTAAGATTTATTGATTCAATTGTCTATCCACTTGGTGGATTATTCGAAGACTTTAGCTTCTTTCAATTCCTATTTTGAATGTTTGAATTAGGTACTAAGCAGGGGAGAATTGATGTTGTAATAATTAGGGTTTTTTAAAGCATTGAGTAAGAAGCAATCTGAATTTAAAACTGAGGTTGGTTTGAATTATTAATCATTTTTGGTGAACACACTTCGATTCACTTTATCTAAATTAAATCAAAAAGATCCTAGTCAAGAGGCGAGATAATTATATATAAAATATTTAGTGATCAGCTATTTTCGAATTCCAGAATTCAGAGCAAAATTCTTAGAATTAATCAATAAATCTGATGATCCCTAGTTGTTGGAATTGAGAGGAACTGAATTTATACAGGAAGATGACCCCACAAATATTGATAAAAGTACAAAAACCAATATCTCAATTTTCGATTGGTAGAATTATTTTCACACTTATCTGTCTGATAAAAGCAAAGGTATTCAAAATTAATCAGCCCTGAATTAAATACTAGATGATGAAAGTTGGAAGGAGCATATCAGACATAGATCAATAAATTTCAGTTTTTTTGTAGAAGAATGGGCTAAATATGTGAGGAATATTTTGTAAGTAAAAATACTTCCCTGGTAAGACATTCCAGGTTATAGAATTCTGGTTAAAGCATTTATGTGTGAATTGAAATAGTAGGAATCTATACCTGATGCAATGAAAATAGCTTTGAAAAGTTTGCTTTAGAATGTGAATTTATTAGGAATAGTAGTGAGTTTGCAATTCAATAAAACAAAGTACTTTATGTTATTAATTTAAGTCTATACAATGCGGAATAAGTGATAGAAACATTTGAAATTTTGGATGTTTGTTTTGGTACATTGACTACCATGCCTGCTTACTTCGATTATCCATTCTTTTTAAAAGGAATCAAATAAATCATAATAGAATCAGAACATGCGATAAATATTGCTAAATGTGTTTGGCTTATTTACAATATTTATCCATTATTTTCAAGTAACATTATGAATCTATGAAAGTGGACTTTAAAAAGGACATATGTGAATTTTTATTCGAGAAGGCAGTGTTTAAATTGTTCCTGCATTGGAGTAGGACAGTAAGATTAGTATTTCATTACTTTTTACTGTATAGAGTATCTCATTAGCACAAGAACCCAAAAGTTGGAGGTTTGGATGAGGAGTAAGCACTTAATGATTATAGTTAGGTAGATTATACAACAATACACGTTGATTAATAGACCAAAGAAGAATTAGAGTTATTTCGAGAATAGGTAGCCACAATAACAGTTGATTGTAAGGTGTGTGAATTATGATTTAGTCTGATTATATCTACATGAAATACTTGAGATTCCTAAGCAAATTAGAACAAGCCAAGATTAATGAGAATCAGAGAGAATATTAATAGGATCATCAAAGTTACTATTTAAAGATGGTGCATAAGAAATTGAGGAGAGAATAAGAATTAAAGATGCAACAACAGGAGGAACCAAAAATGATGGAGTAGTTGAAATTGGAGAGAATGATTTCAGAATAGGATGAATCCTAATAAAAGTAGAATTAATTAAAGCCAGTGATCGTTCCTCGACCAGTTATGCACAAGAAGTTGAGTTGTAAGTAGCAATGGATAATGATGTAGATAAACATGAAGTTGAGATTAACGAGATGCAATAACAGTACTTACGATTATCCATTCGGGAATTCGAGGAATAGTTAAAGAATTATAATAATTGGAGATAACAAAATTTAAAGAAAATGATCGGCAAATATAATGAAGAAGGTAAGAAGATATTTATTATTTTAGATAAACATACGATTCATCTGAGTTTTGAAGTGCCCAAAGTTGATGTTCTAAGGAGAATAGACGAAAAGGAAGGTGCTTGAATAAATTATTATATAGATTATTATTAAATCAAAAACCAAAGGTTTCTGCATCTGCATAATGCAAATAGAGGAATCCATCCTCTGGATCTTTGTACTAATCGTAAATGTTTTTTAATTTATCATCTAATTATTGATTATAAGAAGTACGTTCATTCATTAAATTTTTTCCGCAATACATAAATAGGGTCGAGGTTTTCTCATCCAAGTTCAATTTCTTTTTGATTGTATTTTTGAATTCATTAAAGGAGAAACTAGAGTTCACCAAAAACCTATATTCAATCATTTAAATAAAGTTACTTCACTTTTTGCAATTAAGGTAATTTACAACCTGGAATCTTTTCCACGATTATGGGAATCATTTCAGGATACTTTGCTAGTTGCTCCTACACTCTTTTCTTTCTATCTTCCAACGTGTGGGAATCTTTATATGTTTGAGTCTTCTGCTTTTACATAATTATTTATATCTATAATTATTAATAATAGTATTGACCAGACTGGAGTACTATATAATCTATTTATGCTTGATTTATAATTAATTTATTCATTTAAAAACCATGATGGCAATGTGTTCCAAAAAGGCCTATCTGAAAAGAAGGACCTTTGACAATTAATGTAACTTATTTACCCTAAATTTTAGATGATGTCGATACCAATATCTTCCAAGTTAAGTTTGATTGCTTGAAAGAAAACGTTGTTAAAATACATCAAGGAGATCCTATTTTGTGCTAACAATGTGAAACTGTTCTAAATATATACTCAAAAATTGAAGATGATGTTTAAAATCAATAATTTGGAAAGCATCTTTGGATTTGTGAGTTTTGTAATCATAAGAATTACATCTAAATTGAAAAGGAAGAAATACCTAAAAGTGAAGATACTGTTTATCTGATTTAATCATCTTAGGAATAATAAATGCAAATAGAAGATGCTGATAACTCTATAGTATTTTGTATTGATACCAGTGGTTCAATGTCCAGCACTGTTGAAATAAAGGGAAAGGTCAATTTTAAACATGGAATATCTGCTGAAGAGTATGAAATGCTTAAATAATTCATTGAACCTGGAGACGAACATTAGATATGGCCATAATTTAATACCAAACATGTTACTCATGTTTCCAGGAAATAATGTGTTATGGCAGCTATTGAATAACAAATAGGAGAATTAAAGAAGAAGAACCCCAATAAAATAGTTGGATTAGTCACATTCAATAATGAAGTTGTTGTATATGGGGATGGTTCTGAAGTCCCAATTACAATTGCTGGAGATAGACTCTTTAAATAAGATGAAATAGAGGCTCTCTTAGATGGAACTGCAAAATAACTCATGAAATCTCCAGTTAAAGCTCAAGCCGATAGTCTCTTGAAGAAATTTGAGCAACTCTAAGAAAAAGGATAGACTGCCTTAGGACCTGCTTTGATTTCAGCTTTGCAATTAGCGAAAATAGGTAAACCTGGATCCATGATTATTATCTGCACAGATGGATTAGCCAATTTTGGGATTGGGATCTTTGGAAAATGAGGCAAATAAGCAATTTTATGAAAATTTGGGTGACTTTGCTACATAATGTGGAGTAGTGATATCAGTTGTAACGATAAAAGGGGAAGGATGCAAAGTGGACATTCTGGGAGCCTTGTCTGAAAAAACTAATGGAACCATTACTAGAGTCAAGCCCGAAGATATTGAAAAAGATTTTGCCAATATTTTAAAAGATGAATTAGTAGGAACTTAAGTTCAGCTATTTGTGAGTTTGCATCGAGCTTTAAAGTTCAGAGGAGAAGATGATCCTAATCTGAATCATAAACTTAAAAGAGACATAGGTAATGCTACTATTGCTACTACTCAAACATTTGAATATTAATTAAAAAATGATTAGGAGTTACAAAAAGAATAAATTGATATCAAGGATTTAAAGACTGTTCCATTTTAACTTAAGGTTAATTACACTAATCTAAATGGTGATAAACTTATGAGAGTAGTTACTAAATAGGTCTCAACAACAGAAAATGCGATGGAGGCAGAAGAAGAGGCTGAAGTAGATGTCATTCATAAAAGAATGACATAGAAGACTGCATAGATAGCTAAACAAGGAAATTATTAACAGGCATAGTCATATAATTAGTAATGGGATGGTTACATTCAAACAAATGTTAACATTAATAGCAATTCTGCTAACAAAGAGAAAAATAGGAGTTTTCAAACGCATAATACAAAGTTATAAACAACTATGTGTAGATAAGAAATTAGAGAAGTTAGAAAGGAAAAATTATCATCTCAGCCCGTCCTAACAGAATAATAATATTAATAATAATAATATTAATAATAATAACAATAATAATAATAATAATAATAATAATAATAATAATAATAATAATAATAATTTTAACCAAGTTTTTTTGAAAAGGCAGCATTATTATTTAAAGGAGATGATAACAAATAATAACCATCTTAATAGCAACCTTAAATGGATTTACAACCACCTTAATAGCAACCTTAAATGAATTCACAGCCACTTATGAAATCTTCTGAGAGTCCTAAAATAAAAAATATCAATTTTTGCGCAGTAAATTTCTAGAAAAATGAAATATCAGAGGATTCAAATTTAGAAGAGGGGGACGAAGATGAAGATATGGCAGATCTATATTAATATTAATAAGGAAAGTTTTGAATTCAACTTCTATATTCATTTATTAAATATATCAAGATTTATATTAATTCTAATTTCTTACAACTTTTAAAGCCAATATAAGAAAATAATTGATTTCCTTATATTCATTTAATGATCCTTATATCAAGATCTTAGCATTTTAATTAAGATATTGCTCCTATTTAAAGGCTTAATACTTCAAGGAAACAGATATCTATATTTAAGAATTTCGAAAAAGTTTCAATTTAATTTATAATTAAAGTCTCAACAAATATGATGTTAATAATGATTGATAATAAAGAATTTGTAATATCATGAACATAGTTTTGCTAAAAAAATGGCTATTAAGCTATCACTTTAAAATTTGATACCCTACTGAAGTGAAAAATCTGAATCTTGTTTTAATTTAAATTTGTCAATTTTATATATTATAATCAGATATAATACGTGTTTTTGCAATCTATTTAGTTATTAAAATAGGTTTAAATAACTTATTCCTAAAATTTAAGGCAGCTGGTATAGAAGCAACATATGTGAAACAAACACTGAGTTTCGAAGAGATTTTTGATTAAAGGATCTATTGTAGTTTTCTCATTTATGAACTCTCAGTAAATTATAAAAAAAACGAATGCCATGCAATTTGAACCAAAAGTAAAATAAATTTCTAAATAAACTTACTTTTGTGATATCATAAATATACAGTTTTTTTGAATTTGGTTATTAATAGAAATTTGCATATTCTGCGATGAGTTATTTGGATTTTATTAATTAAATTATCGAATTGATATCAATTTTTGATTATACTTTGAATTTAAAGGGATAGGAAGGTGTTTTTACAATTTTCGGAAAAGCAGTTGAGATTCATAGATTTACATAAATCAACCAAAAAAGGATGAAAATTGTCTATTTGTCTTTTTCTGAACCTGGAAAAAGTGGAAAAAGTAAAAGATTTTGAAAATGAAAAAAAACAATTAAAATGTTCCGGAATTCTTAAGAATTTAGATCTTATAATCACGTAAATTGAATTAATTTAAGTTAATTGATTTTTCCAATTATAAATACCTTTCGTCATTAAAACTGATATTCAACTCTATAAATTGCAATTAAAATTAAAATGAAAAATCATTAATAATCATAAAAAAATCAAATGATAAACTTTGTGGATACATACGAAGAATAAAAACTAGAATTGTTTGAAGAAGAGCTTGAACTATTTGGTCTTGTCAGTTCTCCAAATACTCTTATTTTTTCGGATTAAGGGTTAAGCACTTGTGTAGATTAAGGTAGATAATATATATTAAGTCTTTCGTTAGATTCGAATTTATCGACTCCACAACAGCAAGAAATTCAAAAAATAAAATTACCAATTCAAAGAAGACGTCCTCCAAAAAGAATTCAATACACTTATCACAAGAAAAAGAAGCGCCCTGCCCCTAAACCTATTATCCATATTAAAGAAAATGGATTGAAGGTGTGTCTTGTCATGGAGAAACCAAAATCTAATGCCCATCCTTTCTCTAATGTTGAAGATAAGAGAATTTTGGAGCTTGTTCTTAAGATAGGACCAAAGTTTTATAAAATATCAAAGTCATTTCCAGGCAAGAGTGTCAGCATGGTTAAGAATCGCTACTACAAATACCTTCGTTATAGATGGGATTAAGTTATGGGAAGGTAATTTGAATTTAACTATCATTTAGTGAGTATAGCCATATGAATTCTCTTCCAGAAGATCAACCTTGTGAAAGTTAAAGATCGAATGATATCAATTATGAACTTGATTCCGATTGCTGAACACGCTGAAGTGAATCAGTATAGTGACTATATTTTTTGTTTACATCGAGTTATATAATATATTTTACTTTTATTATAAATTATTCAGTTTTTTCATCCTAAAGAGTAATAAATGTTTTAATATATATATTTTAAATTTATTTAAATTGTGCAACATAATCAATCAGAATTCATTTATATTAATCAAATATTTTGTACTTACAAATTGTATTAAAATAAAATATTATATTCCCATTATTTTCATTTATACTATAATGTATTTAATTTTATTGATAAATCATATAATTTCTATAAACTATTCTAATCTATATACAAATTTAAGTGTCACATAAATAAGTAATCGAGAATTGAATAATCATATAGAAATAATAAGAAGTTAATTATTAATTAATAATCTTAACTAATTTTTTATTCATTATTCAGGTTGAGAATGTGCGAAAACTATGAAAACAAATATGATGAATTAATTTACAAAATTTATCAATTATCCAAATAATAAAATACAATTATGGATTATTTGAGTTCGAAATAAACTAAATTGAAATATCAACAAATCTTACTATAAAATGGAATATGATTGAGATCCAATTGATATTTAAAATTTAACCTTTCTGTATCAAATCAAACTGATTATGTCATTAAATTAGACAAAATCTTTAAATCACTTAAACAATTCATAGATATAAGAAGAAATATTATATTATTTTGTGTAATTGTGATTAAAATAATTTTAAAAATTGTTATCTATTGTCTTCAAATTCTGAAATTGAATCTTCTTAAGAACTTATGGCTATGAATTCTATAAAATATGAGTAAAGAATTCTTTTAACAAAATCTGTTAAAAAAATAAGTATAATTATTAATAAAAATTAATAGAAATTGTTTTTACATTTCTTAACTCTAGATGATTAAAGTAAATGTAGTGGTTTAACAACTCAGCATAATGGAATCTATTGAAATTTATCCATATTAAACAGGGTTAAATATTCTGCAATTATTATTTAACAGATTGAATATTGCTAAATAGGTTAGAGATAGTTTACAAGCAATATTGAAGATTGATAATATTTAAGTTGATATTAATAAAACAATTCAGGATCTTGAGATAAATTTATACTCGTAAATAGATGTAATTTTATCAAAAAAAATAACAATTTAATGTGTTCATGAATTTTTAGGGACCATCAATTTTGCTACAGATGTATATGAATCAGCCAACAAGTTTAGAGTCCATATATCAAACTTAATCAAGATCAAATAATGTGAGATATAGATAACTAACTCTGAGGATGGGACCTAATTTGGGTCAGAATGTTGGGGGAAGTAAGGAGTATTTTAAAATCTTACAGTTTTTATTCAAATCAAAAAGCAATAGCAAATATAGTACAAATAATAGATTATGGAAATTACAATTGATGTCTTTTAACCAATTGCTAAATACATTAATTAATTCAAAATTTAGTAAAACATTGACGATGAACTCATTACTTTTAAGCTTGGATAACTAAATATAAACCCTGATTTATTATACATAAACTTAAACATACCACTAGACTAACCATGGGATGTTGAGTTTCGATAGGAATTCATTTATAATGTAGCATTTTAAAATCAAGACAATAAATTGATTACTATACCAGGGAGTATGGAAGTATTTGATTTAATACGCAAGGTCAGACAACAGTTTAAAATAGAAAATACTATTCCATTAACATTAGAATACAAACTTAAGAAAAACCTTCTTGATATAAGTAATACTCTAAATCAAGAATGTATTCCTATATATAGTCAATTAACTCTCATCAAAGAACCTTCTGATAATAAGATTAATATCTTATTGCAAAATCAATACTCTATGAAGCAATACGAGAGAGTGGCTGTGAATTCTACCTTAGCTGATCTGGATATACTAATAAATCATGACAAATACACTGAAACCATTTAATATTTTCTAGAAGAATAAATAAAAGATAAAAAATTCAATTTAAAATAACTAGATTTGTAATCAGAATGCATTATTAATTATTAGATAATAAAACAGGATTAACAATAAGATTTATATTATAACTAAGATTAATTATAAGATATACGTTAAGATTTACATCTGCCAAGTGAGGACATGACTTAAATCACAATCACTTTTCAAAATAAATACACAAAATCGTCTAAATAAATTAAAATTTCCTCTACTTGCACTATTATGGATGGCTTTTAAGGTATTGTTCAGACGGAAACTTTAAAGGATACAAAATATTATAAGGTATATTTTGGCAATTAATTACTTGATCTTAAATGGAGATTTGATAAATTAAATATTATTTCAAATTCCATCTTAAATTATTTCACTGATTTTGTAATATTTCAAGCCTAGGTTTAAGGTCAAGCTTTAAAAGTAATTGTAGATTAAAACCTACCCATTTCTTCAATAGAACAACAATTCAAAGCATCGAATAATCTTAATCAACAATTATAACTACAGAATATACAACCTTAAGTTAAAAATTTGTCATTAATAGAATTCTTAAAGGGAAACAATAATTTTAAATTTGAATTTGATGTCCAAAATGACATGTAATCTCAAGAAGATATAATAGAATTGTGTGTATATGTCAATCATGTTAGTTGTTGCGCCCATATTAATATGAAATAGAACTAAACAGCAAAAGCTCTTTGCCAGATAATCAAATACAGATATCAATCACCAAGAAATTAAGTACTCGATCTCTTTATAGGTTAGAAAAAGGTCGATGAAAATGAGACTATCTATTAAATTAACAATATAATTAATCAAACTCGTTCGGACTTGAGGGTTTAATTTATAACTACCTTAACCTTGTAACTTGTGAATTAGAATGGTTTAAAATAAATAATTTAAGCAGAACTTGAAAATACTTTTGAGTTTGCTTTAAAAAAAAATTAGATAATTGGGACTAACTTTACTTTTTATAATTATACCATATAAATGCATAAAAACATAAAAGATTTGCCTATTGAAAATAATTCCATAATAAGGTATCACTCTTAATTATTAATGAATTTTTAAAATGCTCGTAGTGGAACAGTACAAAAGATGATAGCAGAATTGGATGAGAGCCTTAAAAGCATCATTAACAAATTAGGTGTCAAGATTAATAGACTTTTATATAAGAACTAAGTTTTGGACTTGACTTCTACGATTAATAGCATAAACTATAATCCTAATGAGAACATTATATTTGAGGAATAGCTTTCTTACCATGAGGCATCCGAAGTCAAGACTTTCCAAGATTTATAAAATTGAATTTGAATTTAAACGCTGCCTTTTATGATCTAAAATTAATATTATTAGAATTATGACACTATTATAATAATATTGTTAATTATAAAATTAATGCTCCAAGGTGAGGATGTAGATTTTCTACAAGAAATGTATTAAATAAAAGAAATAGCAAAGATCGGAGAGGGAAGCTTTGGAAAAGTGTATAAGGCAACAGACTTAACAGATAATACAGAGTGTGCTGTCAAGGTTAAATAATCTTGTAATTATTAAGGTTGTTTCTAAAACACTTTTCAAAGATGCATAAATTGAATCAGATATTTATTAGTAGTTAAATCATCCTCATATCGTCCAATGCAAAAGAGTACTTAAGATTTCTTATGAAGATAACAGAAAATAAGAATTAATTTTTTTTAATTATGGAACTCATGAAAGGAGGAACATTGGCACAGCGTATGAATTAAGAATATACTGATGAGGACTTTGCGATTATTATGAAAGGAATTCTATTAGCAGTTCACTATTTACATGAGAAAAGAATCATTCATAGAGACTTAAAACCAGAAAACATCATGTTTGCCACAACTGACATAAGGACAGTCAAGATTGCTGATTTTGGCTTAAGTTTCAAGTTTGCATCAGAAGGCATGTTCTATAGTTTGCTTAATAAAAAATGTGGAACTGTCATTTATATGGCTCCTGAGTAATTTAAAGAGAAATTTGTACTCAATTCTAAATAATAGATAGTATAGTAAACAAGTTGACTCATGGAGTTGCGGAGTTATTATGTACATGTTATTGAATTCTGGTTAGCATCCATTTTATAATAAAAACGACACTAGAGATTAAGTGATCAAGAAAATCATGAATCCAATATGGTAATTATCAGATCACATGAGCCCATTAGCAAAGGATCTTATCTAAAAATTGACTACAATTGAACCCATTGAAAGGTATAGTGTCGGTTAGGCATTGATTCATCCTTGGATTACTCGAAATTTCTCAGATAAAATTCCATTAACTTATAATGAGCAAATATCATAGTTTATTAAGGATCAGTAAATTCGAAATGTAATTAATTTAACCATTACAATAGTCATTTAAGTTACTGCTCTTTTTACAATATCTAATGAAAAATTGTCCAATTTAACAACCATATCCAAATGATGAGATATTATTAAAATTGACTGATAAGAAAAAACTTTTGTAGCAGTATTAATCTTTACCCAATCCTAAATCATAAAAATAAAAAATGGTATCAAATATTCAAAAAATAAAAAATATGAGATCCAAAAGTCCGAAAGATTAGAAATCAAAGTAAAATTCAAAATCAAAGCCAAAGACTTCTTTTGACAATTTGAATACACTAGAAGATTAGAAGTATACAATAGCTTCATTCAAAAAGTGCTTTTAACAAAAGGCCTCTGTGAGACCCAAAACAATTGACGAGATTTTGAATGACAATTCAGCTAAATCTAGATAAATTGTAAGGCAAAAGTTAGAGTTGCCTCCTTTAAAAAGAAAATGATTTCAATTACTCGATATATAACATTATAATTGTATTTATAAATTTGAATTTAAATTTCTATTTAACATTTTAGAGTTTAGAAATTTAATTATTTTTAGTAATTAGTTTATAATCATGTTAATTTGAAGTTTAAATTATACATCAAACTATATATATAATAATATTAATAAATGAGTTCAATTTCCAGGAGCCTCCGTTTCTAAAGATCTCATAATTCTCTAATGCAAACTATTAATGGAACTCAACATATGTTATTCAAACTTTAATAGGAATAACAAATCCTTTGTCATTTACTATTTGCTTGAATTCTATCCTTGCATTGTGATTTGTAATTGCTTTAACTTTTCTTTTTTGTCCTTTTTATCACTTTTAGAAAATGACATCATTTATCTCTCCGGTTTAGTTTACATGTGAGATGACTTGACTTCCTCGACAGGTTCATCATCATTGAAATCAAATGAAATTTCGCTTTCAGACATATTAATTTTAAAGCATATAATAAATTTATTATTATTTTATAAAGATCGAACTGTATGGTATTATTTGGTTAAGCGATATATATGGTAGTTAATGAAGTAAACATGTATGAAAATATATTTATAAGATATAAGTTAGCTAATTATAGATTAATAAACTCTTTGGTTTGTAAATTTATTATATAATTGTTGTTTGAAAGTTTCGGAGGGTTTCTAAATTAAACTAAAATAAGGATTCAAACACAGTATCTATATTTGATGAGCAAATTATAAATCAGAGAAGTAATCTTAATTTGTAAGCATATCTGAATGAAAAACTAAGAATTAAAATTGAACCAACATACCATTTCCTCAGATTGAGAAAATTTCATTCATTCAATATGTTTCATATGTTTCAGCGGTATCTAGAGCTAGAAGTGAAGTCATAAATTTGAAAATGGAACTGTATACATTTTAAGATTCATTTGTATTCAATTTAAGTTTAAGAATGAATTTCTAGAATACTTAAACAAAATACAAATACATCTCAAAAATTTAATATTTTATTTTAATCGAATATAAAATTATTACAACAATAAGCATTTTAACCTAATCTTGTTATATTTATAATAGCACATGAATGAAAGGATGAAGGAGTATAAATTGCTTAAAAATTACTTGTAAATCAGAATATAATAGTATTTTAAATGCACTATGCTTGTGGAATAGATTTATGAATTAGAAATTTAAACTGTATTATTATATATAAATATATAAATGTCACATGTCAATGAAAAAATACGAGATCATTGTGAATAACAACACATTCAAATTGGAATATGAACCCAAATCTTCCTCAGCAAAAATCAGCGACGTTGTTCAATTCTTAAATTAACAAAAAGGATTTCCTGCGAAAGCTAAATTGTATATTGCTGATGAAAATAATGTCAGAGATATACATTATGACCTTAATTCTCTCAAAAATAATGTGATATATATCAATTTTTCAGAAGAAATAGAAAGCTTCACAATATAACACATAGATAAGGATGAGAGAAATATAAGCTTATATTGGATAAAGTGGATGCATGTTAGTAATTAATAGAAATTGAAAAAAAAATTGCGAATACAATAAAAATTGAAGAGTACCCAATTAAAATTCTTAAGAAAAATCAAGTTTTAGACAGAAATTTATTCCTCTGCCAAATATTCTTTTATTAATAAGAACTATTTTATCTAGTTTAAGCGATTTTTTATATTAGATATTAAGACAAACTATAATTGTTTTAGATTGATGCTTTTTCATATTTGGATAAAATAAAGTAGAAGATTAGACAAAAGCTTGGTATTGAAGAGGAAATAGAATTATATTTCAGAGGTCAATAATTGGAAGATCGAAAGACATATTTTTTCTACAAAATCTATTAGAATGCTGAATTGAAAATGAAAATAAAGAGCCTGCAAAAGATTTAAATTTCATATTAGAGCAAAACATATAGATTTAATGTTTCGGTTAATATGACTATAGAGGAGTTCATTAAATACTACAAGTAAGTTGAACAAATACATTAAAATCAAATTTTATAAGTTTATTATCTTAACAAAATGTTAGAAAACAACACAAAAATTGGAAGCTTAGATTTAGCAGATAATGCTGAATTTAAGATAACAAATAAAATACTAGAAAAGACTATGATCATAAAATTTGTAAGTAAAGTATAAGAGTAAGTTCATTTTTCAAAACAGGTATCCAATTTAGATTATTTTTCAACTATTTTTGAATTACAACCTTTTAAAGGAAAGGTATTCTAATTCTATGTTAATGGTAATATAGTCGAAATTACTGAGAGACTAATTTTTAATAGTATCAAATTTAAAGAAAATGAGTATTTGATTTAGTATGAAATGGTGTAGAATTTTCAATTACCTTTAATGTCACCTTCCAAGATGATGAAGGCAACTCATTTACAAAATAGGTGAAATCGGAGGACATCATCAATGAGGAAATAATGACGAATGTTAATTATGATAATTTGAGAATAAAAGCGTATAAGAATGGTTAATTGATAGATTTGAATGGCACATATAAGTCAGAAGGAATCTAGGATGGGGATATCATTCAATATTGTTTGTCAGACATGATAGTATAATTGATGATTTGGACTAGGAATCAGAGATAAATAAAAGAAATGTGTATACATTTTTTGGACACAGTGAAGGATCTAAAAGAGAAAGTGATAAACCAATTTAAGATTACAGATGAATGCAAAATACTACTAAATGGGTAAGATTTACATGAGAATGAATATATCAAGAATTTTAAAAATAATGTAATGTTTACAGTAAGTAAGGTGTTTCACTTTAAGATCGAATTATTGTTGGATAACAATATAGAACAATCAGAATCCAGATTCTATGAGACAGACAGAGTGTCACAAATGAAGTCTTTATACACAGATTTATTCTAAGACGAGGTTTGTATTTAGGTCGACAACAAAAATGAAAATAAAGATGATGACATAAATGATGATGATGAATTGTCAGAATACATTGGTAAGGTGCTCAGGATTTCAAAGAAGAATATAAATGTGAAATATAAAATCTAAGACTTATAAACTGTGTATGAGGGTAAATTTAATAAGTTTAAGACATTGGGAGGAATGCTGGGAGACATAGCAAAAAGAAAATCAAGATGTTATATTGCCAATAACCTAATGGATCAAACTATTAAGTTAATCGATCTAAATTTAGACCCAAACACAGTTATTACTATAGAATCTACTAGTAAAGTTTAATTGTTTGACTTAAATAACACTCATAACGTGGTGGAAATTGACTTCTACCCAGAAGACATAATTGGTTATGCAATTAAGAACCATATCAAAGGGAAATGTGTAATTTAGGAGGGAAATCGCGAGATAAACATTTAAAACTCATTCCGAGATGAAAATATTTACAATAACGACCACTTGCACTATATTTTATTAGTGACGATTAAATTTATGAGCTATAAAACAAAGGAATTGTAGTATTAAAAGATTTGCAGAATGGACACAAAAATCAGTTAGATTCTTAGCCAGAATCATCAAAACAAGATTAGAGTATATTATTTAGAGAGGGAAATCAATTAAGACAGCACCTTGGCAGAATTAGAAGTGCCAGATTCTTAAGAATTATTCATTGAGGAGTTAGATAGTACATTGATATTGCATGTCGATGATAAGATTAGAACTTTAACTATTGATTAGAAAATGACTGTTTAGCTTTTCAAGGAACAACAGAAATTGAATAGGGAGAATTATTATCTTTATCAATTAAGAGATTAGACATAAGCATTACCCAATGATTTCATTTTGAAATCTCTACAGAATAATAACAAAGAGATTGAACTAATATACAAATTGGATCATAATATTATCAAAATCATTTTGATAGATTAGGATGAAAAGGAGTACACAGAATATGTGAAGATGAATCAAAAATTTAAGACATTCTTATAGGAATTTAAATTAAAATATAAGTTTAATGATGGAGAAATGTTCTATGACGGTGCAACATTAAATTTAGATCAGTGTTTCTCAGACCTCTAAATTACTTAAAATGCGAAATTTGAGATTATTATTTGATATAAATGTTAATAAGTAGTTAATATATAATGTATCACATAAATGGTTAAGGTCTAGTAGCTTGACCTAAATTTACAATTACCTTGAGTCTATCATTCTCATCTCTTAATCTCTTAATTTCTGATTCTAAGTTATGCGAATTTTCTAAGTCATTAAATCTTAGTCTTACATAAATTTGTTGAATTGACGACAACTCTTTGAATTGGTTGCATTTGCTGTTACTGTTGGTTCTAGAATTAGACTTAGAAATTCTCTATCTATTGTTTTAGATGAGTGTTCTCAGTCTCCAAATCTGCAGCTGTTTTAAGGACATACTCTAATTCATCGAAACCCTTTCTAAGATTGTCTAATTCTTATTTCAATCTGTGATTTTCTTTCTAAACCATATCTGCTTATCTCATTATGTCATCTACACTGCTTTTAGATAGTTTCAGACTATCCAATTCAGTTCTCAATTATCTATTCTCCTTTTCCAATTGATTCCTATCTGATATAAATCTGGCTGTCAACTCCCTTATTTCCCTATCTATAGATATCCTTCTCTGTAATTCCTTCTAATAGCGTTGATCTTCACTTTCTTTCTCTCTATTAACACACTTCACTCTCCATTATTCACTCTCATATTGTAGCTAAGCAATCTTTTTCTCATAATCTCCTATTTTATTTCTCAATTGTATCAATTCTCCTTCAATTAAATCCACTCCCTTGAATCTTAATTCATTCTAATTTATATATTCTCCAATCCTTCCATTCTCCTCTCTCAATCTATCATTTTCCACTGATAACAGAAATGCTACCATATAAACATCTTCTCCTAACCAAGGCTTCATAGGAGGTTATCCTCCTTACATCTCTTGGAAATTGGGTCTTTCCTCAATCACCCTCGCTTGTATATGTTACTATTGGAATCTCATCTTCTAATCGAAATGAGCCTAACTCAAATTGGAAGGGAGTTCCTTGGAAGGGGCTGGCAACTATCGATATTGTGAAACTAGCATTTTTGACAGTTAATAAATAAATAAAAATACTAGATATATATATATATATATAAATTAAATGAATGTAAGATAAATCGATATTAAACTAAGAAATACGAAATTAAAATTCTAGGTAGAATACAAGCCAGAATAAACAGCAATTGAGTTAATGAATAAATTAATTGCCGATTTGAAATTTCCCACAAATGCACCCAATCCAATTTTTTTTTTTAAAGGAGAAAGAATGGACAACACTAAAACTCTGGATCAATAGAGAATCACCTTGCCTTGTTCAGAAATTGAAGCAGAATTCATCGAGAAAATTGTAGTCACTGTTCACAATGAGAAATTGGACAGCCAAAATCTTAAATGCGATATTATCAATACCATGGATGAATTAGGTGCTATTCTATTGAAGAAATTAAACTTTAGATAAGATTATGAAGTTCGCTTCTCCATGAACGACCAAATCCTTAACTAGGGGAGGAACTTAATCGAAGTATCACCTTGGGAAAATATAACATATTAGATATTCTCAAAACATTAATTCATTTATGATTCAAAATAATATGAACTCGAAATTGATGTTACCAATTCAGTGTCGACTTTATGCACAATGATTAGCCAAATGATAAATGTAGATAGTGAATAGATTCAAATAGATTAAATGAATAAAGATGATGCCTTCTATTTTTATCAAGTGAGCCCCAACACAGAATTAAAATTACGCATTGTAGAAATTCAAAATAATAAATAAGTTACTATTACCATTGTCTATGGCCAAGTCACTCGATAAATGACAATACTCAAAGATGAAAAAATAGAAACACTTATGAATAAAACCAAAACCTCCTTCTTCCCTCATAACTATTCTTAAGTCAATGTGAAATTGATCTTCGAAGACATTGAATTGTCTAATAACAACACTATCAATCAATGCTAAATTGCGAATAATGATGTCATCCAGTTGATTGTCACTAATAAGTTGGAGAAGATTTAAATTTGCTTACAGCATAAAGAAAACCCAGGACTCAGGAAGAAAAGTAACATCTCCTTAGATGAATAATTGTCAGTATTAGATAAATAAGTTTTCTGTAATAAATAGATGGAGTACTTTTATTAAGGCAAATAATTAGACAAAAAAGAGACTTTCCGTCAATTGCAAATCACACAAAATGACACTGTTATTGAGTATAAACCAATAGAGGGCGTATAGCTTTTACTTAAGTTCTAACATCTTGAGTAATAAAACCCAGTTGAAATTTAAGCACTATCTAATGAATTACTATCCAAATACATTTACGATTTGATCGGAAGAGAAACCAATGATGTTTGGGTAAGTTGTAAAAATTAAACTATTGATGATATCGAATAAACCTTTGCTGCTCTATAAATATAAAATGATTTGATATTTTATCAACCAACATAAATTCTATTGTAAGTGTAATACAAGGATGATCTGTATGACATCTATCAAAAAAGAGACAAATGTGTCATAGATTTGTTCGACAAACTGAGAGAATATTTTGAAATTGATGAATCATAAGATTTTGAACTATATTACGGAAATGAAACTGTATAAGGGCAATTATTGTGTAAAAAATTATGGGCAGCATGTCAGAAGTGTTATAAAATTGTGCCTAGTTAAAATGGCGAAAATGATACCCAAACTAAAACATATAAGATTTATATCATAAACCAAGACAGATTAGTTGAGTTTAAAATGAACCATACAAAAAAAATATCGGATTTGAAACAAATATTCTTATCTCATTATTCCTATCCTGAAAATCAACCAAATGAATTCTAAATAAGAAATCAACCCAATGCTTCTTTTAATGAAGAAGATCAATTAAATACATTGAATTTTTGTGAATTCCAAATTTTACTTAAGGATTATATTAATGTAAGAACATATGATAGAATAACAAAAGATGAGTCCTACTTTGAAATAAATTTCAAATCCAAGATTTCAATTCTGATTTAGAATTTAAAATTGGAAAACTGCAACTGTAATTTCTATTTTTAGAACAAACAAATCAATTAAGAGAAGACTTTTTAAGAAATAGAGTTTTATGATTTAAACACAATTGAGTACGAAGTTTAGAAAAAGTAGGTTTAGTGGATTTAAGTAATTGTAATTGAAAAGAATTAGTAATAAGAAGTTTAATTGCTTGAGGAATAGACAATCAAAGATGTAAGACAAGCATTAAATCTTAGAAGTGCTGACGAAATAGAACTATTATTAAGTAATCAGAGTGCAGCCAAAGATGAATAAAAGTTAAAGGAGATTGCATAAAATGGAAAGTTGACATTGAATCAGAAAACTAAGATCAATAATCCAGAATAGCCAAACAATTAAGAAAATAAATGTCTTTTAAATATCTCCATTAAAGACAAGAGACATGAAATAGAATTCGAGAAGAATAAAACTGTGGAAGATCTAAGATAGTACATCATATAATAATTTCAATAATAGAGTGATATTGTTATTAGGTAAGGGAATACTATTTTGAAACCTTCCGATCCTATTCCTGTGTCATTTGAATTTCTAATTGTTTCTCCACTAACTATAAAGGTTATCATAAAAATCAATAAAATAAACAATCAAATACATTAAAGATAATTAAAGCCTAATTAAAAAGTAGGTGATATTATCTGGGACTTTGTTAGATAACATAGTATCAAAGGCAACACCATAAATTTAGCATGGAATGGTAAAGTTTTAGATGTTAACAAGACTCTAAAAGAATTAGGAGTAAAAGATGGCACAGAATTGAACTTATTGATTTGAAATATATATATTAATTATTTATGGGCGTTTGCTGTAGCAATAAAAATTCAAAAAATCCACACAATACTTATGGTTTCTTATCGCCGACAAACAGATAGTTGGAATAGGAGGAATATGAGGAGTTAAGTGGGGAGATGAAAGAGATTTTAGAAATGTATTTGAGTAGTGAAAAGAATTCTCCGCAAAATAGAAATCTGGGGGAATCAAATCAATTGAAACACAGTCTGGAATAGCCGAATACTCCATATTTTAAGAATTCTTATGATAGTAGTGATGATAAATTTTTGTATTTGAAATAATCGAAATAAGTTGAGGAAATTATAGTAAATGAAATTAAGATTTAGGAAGCGTTCTTCTCATAAGAATAGTGAAAAGTTGGCTCCTGTTGAGGAAGAAAATGAACAATAAAAATAGTATAGTTAATTGAATCATCCAATCTTCCAATTCAAATGTCAAGTATGTCATTAGGATCATAATTGGATTCACTCTTGCAATTCGAGGTTGGTGTATAATGATGATAATATGATAGTATGTGAAAAATGCAAATTCAAATAAAAAATTACTGAATATGATTTTATTTGTCAAAAGACATAATAAAAATTTAGATTCACAACAGAGTAAATAAAAGATTTCGAATTTTGAATTTATTTTAATACACATTTTATTATATCAAATAATAAAGTTATGAAAAAACAAAAATTTGAAGATCGAGTATACAAAGTAGTCACACTAGGAGAAGGCAGAGTGGGTAAGACATCAATCATAACACGGTTTTTCGATAATTCCTTCTCTGAATAGACTCAGGAAACTTCGGATGGCTATTGCAAGGAGAAAACAATATAGACTAAAAAAGGACCAATTGATTTGGCCGTATGGGTATCGTATAAGTCATTTACATAAAGGATACCGCTGGCCAAGAGAAGTATCACAGTCTGGCTCCACTCTATTACAGAAATTCTGATGCTGCAATCATAGTCTATGATATCACAGTGAAAGAAACATTGCAGAAGGGACGCTAATGGATATAAGAACTCAAGTAAATGGCTGAAAATGATAATATGCTATTGGTTATTGTGGGCAATAAATGTGACATGCACATTTAGAAAGATGTAGAATAATCATGTACTATGTGTCAAATAACAATTAATAGAAATTGATGAATTGTGTAATCAATATAATGCAAAACACTTTTTGGTTTCAGCCAAATCTGGTAAGGGAATACCAGAAATTTTCGATCACTTAGCTAATGGTAAATATATTAAGAAATCATAGAATTGAAGTAAATTGTTAAATAAACCAATACAAGAAATACTCTGAAGTAAGGAAAGAAGAAAGAGTCATAAAATTAAGGGGGAAGTTGTTGCTGATGTATTTTTATGCTATAGTTTTAATCATTATCTTTTTCTTAAATTATTTTACGTCATGACAAAATTGATTTCAGCAGGGTAAGATTTAGCCTATGTAGCTCTTTCCCATTGCAAATATTCACTTTCATATTGTAAAGATTTGTCAGTTTCAGACTTCTTTTTTAAAGTCTTGTTCTTCAATTATTCTTCAATAATTTTCTGCATTTCCTCTAAGTATTGAATTTAAATTGATACGTATTTTTTATTATTTCTCTCTCTTCATGTCTTCTTTGGTTTAGAGTTTGGTTTCTGGCAATTCATCATATTTAGATTTAGCCAATTCTTTCTTCTTTGCATTTTCAGCCTACTCATACTCATACTCAGGATCAGCTTTAAATGAAATGAATTTATGGGGGTTTTCCACTTTGCTTTCTGTAACCTCTTTGAATTCAGGTTCTTTCTTTTGTGGTTCCTCATCAACATTGGTAACTAATATATTATTATAATGATTACATCTCAATAGTTCATTTCTAACATCTGTATTTATTTTTTACTTCTTGTTAGTTTTTTCCCAATGCTCATCTCTATCCATAGATTTAAAGGCAGCAACTAATTTTTTATCATCTTCAATCTCTTTTTCAGTAGTTCCTGTGGATATCACTTCTGGTTGATCTGTGTATAATAAATATTTTTTAAGAATTGATGTTTCTTGTGGTTAATCATAATTATTTAATGTAGATTATTAATCCTTATTTTAATCTGATTATTCTGTATTGATAAATTTATATGATTTGTTTTCTTCTTAGTATTATAATCCATTATTATTATTATTATTATTATTATTATTATTATTATTGTTTATAATTTCTTTTGGTTATTCTCTTTCTACTACTTTCAATGTAGAATCATCTTTTTCATTATAAAACGATCGCTAATCTCCTTCAAATTTATTAAATGAATATTCTTTAAAATTATAAGATTGTTAAGGCTATTATTTAACTTAATTATCTTCATTTCCAGCATCTTCATGAGCATCATTCAAGAAATTATACATCCTACTATTATCCTGAACTTCACTAATTGTTTCCTCATTTGGAGTGAACTTAGAAACAGCCTCAGTTGATGCTTCTTCATTATTGGAATCAATTTAGACTTCAATAGTGTTTTCAGAAGTGTCATTTTCTTACACTACTGTATTTTCTATTTCATTTTAATCACTGTCTTCTGGCATAGTTAAATCATTCAAATCAATATCAATGATTGGTCTTTTCTTCTTATGCTTCTTCTTGGAATTAGAATTTAGATCATTTTATTGTTATTCATCTTCTTAACTCAATGATTTCTGCATTTCCAAAGCTGAGTTTAAGAGTTACTGCATCTAAACATTTTCCTTATCATTCTTATCCTAATATTCCAATTCAATTCCATCTATAATCAAGGGATCTGCAATTTCAGCTTATTCAGCAATTAGCTTTAATTGATTAGCGTCGCCTACTTTTAGAACCAAATTGCCAACAACTGTTGTGATTTATTCCGTAATTGATTATGGTTGCTATAACAATATAGTTTCGTCTTAATATTCATCTCCCAATCTCTCCAACCAGTATTCGAGAGAGTGTACTTCCTCGCTTTGTTCGTTCTCTTATTCTGCCTGATCAGCCTCAAGGGGAGGATTTATCAATTACTAAACTTGATTCTCTATCTAAGTTGTGATCGGAGTTTCTGAATATAAGTCTAACTAGTCTACTAGATCCTATTTAATTATTCTCTATACCAAGACCGCGTCTTATTGAACTTTGACTGCTTCTTCCATACCGTCCCAATCATCGTTCAAAGAGAAGCTAAATGCATTCAAAACAAATAATGTCAAAATGAAATATTTCATAATTATAAAAACGAATAAATTCATTAGTAAATAACTTCATATTTAAGCAATCCTAATAATTGCCCAAATGAATCAACGTACTCTCTTATTATATAATTTCATTATTTTAATTATCCTAACCGAAAACAGAATAATTTAATTCCATGTAATATTAAAGGTCTAATGAAGGGTCAAAATCTAGGTATCATCTAACATTCTAGGAATCAATTGGGCTAACAAAGTACTAGTTTCTTCAATATAATTGATTTAAATTCCAATATTAATTCTCGTGATTTTGCTACTTAAAGAATTTGTTCTTCTGTATTTTTTCTATATTGAAATCAGTACTTTTAAGCTATCTCCTTCAGTTATTAAGAATTTTTATCTGAAATCAACATTTCATTGAGATTATTAAATGGAGTTGTTGTTGCTAATTTATAGTTGGTTCTAGATCACTTGATCAGCAAGAGTATAGGTTAATAGTTGTAATAAGAGATGACTGATAAGATCATTCAAGGACTAGGCCGTGAAATAATTGAACTTTCAGGAATCTAGACTTAATTTAGCTTTTTTATCTATTGTTTTTTGAGACCTCTATGATTTTAATTAATTTATTATGTAATGCTCGTCTCCTGAAGAAGCCTCTTTGTGTAAGAGTCTTTGTTGCAACAACCTGAATCGATGCTCCAAATATCAAAGTGAGTGTTCCATATACTCAGATGTACATCATGATTTAAGTAGAATCATTGCATCAAATTGAATTGCGATAATTGTTGTTTAATCCAAGAAAACTACCAGTCCTGTGGAACATAGGTGTAATGTAGCAAATATTTCGACTTATTCTATTTGTGGTGTTTAGTAATCCTTGCATTGTTGTTAGTGGTGTTGCTCATTGTTAAATTGCGTACTAAGTACAGATCACAATAATAAGGTTTATGACTGCTCGTATGATACGAATTCATAAGGCATTTGCAAAGTTTAACAAAAAAACGACAATAATCTGATCAGAACCATAATTCTTAATAAAATGTATTATAACATCTAATTTCATTTATTCACCATTAATTATTTAAAATGAAACAAGCAGAAGAGCAATATCAGACTCTCTATAAACTATAACCAGAACCATTAACTACTCCTGAAATAAAAGGATATGATTTTAATCAAGGAGTCGATTTTGATGCTCTCTTGAATTCTTATGCCAACTTCGGGTTATAAGCGACTCAATTAAATAAAGCAATCGACATAATCAATAAAATGATTCATTGGAGATTGGGTCCAAACGAAGAGAATCAAGATCCCAATACTAGATGCACAATATTTTTAGGTTACACTAGTAATATGGTATCTTCAGGCAATAGAGAAATAATCAGGTATTTGGCTTAACATAAAATGATTGATGCCATAGTCACTACAGCTGGAGCAATAGAGGAGGATCTCATGAAATGTCTATCTACTTTTCACAAAGGAGATTGGTAAGCCAATGATAAAGAAATAAGATTAAAAGCTATTTGTAGGATTGGTAATATATATGTTCCTGCAGCCAACTATGGAAAACTGGAAGATTGGCTTCTCCCAGTATTTTAAGAAATGTACAAAGAATAAAAAGAGAAATCGTTTATTTGGTCACCTTCATCTATGATCAAAAGGTTTGGGGAAAGAATCAATGATGAGAGATCAATCTATTATTGGTGTGCTAAGAATGATATCCCAGTGTATTGTCCTGCTTTAACAGATGGAGCAATCGGAGACATGATGTTCCACTTCAATTATAAGCAAGATGGATTGATTTGTGATATCCTGTAAGATGTGGTAAAATTAAACAAGAAAGCCATGTATTCTAAGAAATCAGGATTGGTAATATTGGGAGGAGGAGTGGTTAAACACCATATAATGAATGCGAATATCTGGAGAAATGGTGCAGATTTGGCTGTATTCATTAATACTGGCATCGAATATGATGGAAGTGATGCTGGTGCCAAGCCATCAGAAGGAATCACTTGGGGTAAATTAAGAGTGGATGCTGAATATGTAAAAGTGTTCTCTGAGGCTACTCTAGTGTTTCCTTTGGTTGTCGCTTAGACCTTTGCCAAACACTTCCAAGAAGCTAAAAGGGTTTGATCAATATGTTTGTTAATAATTAATATTATTATACTTTAATGAATTTCCCTTTGCCTGAAAATAGAATTGCAAATTATGCCAAAGTTTCGACTTTCCTGCCTCACCTCGTCTGTCAATGTTGCAAATCACTGTCTCTACAATAATTGATATGTCTTAAATGTCATGAGAACTTTTGCTTTAAATGCATCCCTTATGCAGATGATCAGATTCCTGAACCGATCGAAATAACTGTTCAAACCATTCTGATCAATAAGAACACTAAATATGTTTAGGATATCAATTACAGAGGCTTCTGTCCTAATTGTGAAGTTGTTACAGTTCTAACATCTTAACTACCAAAAATGTTTCATAAATTATACACCAGTGTCAAATTCTCATGTCAAAACAGAATCAACGGTTGTTCTGAAGAACTCTGCTATCCAGATTTGAGAATTCATGAACAGAAATGTGGATATAATACTATCACCTGTCCTAAGCAAGAATGCAGTTAACAGACATACAAAAAAGATTTCATAACTCATGTCTCTATCTGCAACCCAACAACAGAGTGTGTTTGTGGTTCCACTAATCAACATGACCAACAAAAATGTCTCAGATTACAATGTGAGACCCTTAAAAGTTAACTCAATACTCAAACCAAAGAATTATAATTACTCAAAGATGTTTAAACTACATTCTCTTACTCCAGTCCCTAAAAATAACTTAATAGAATAGTAGTCAACCAATCCCCTTATGTAGCTACGTCCCCCTTCTCTTTGCAAGGTTTACTACAATAATCAGCATAAATATTAAATGATGGGTGATCTTATATATATTTAATATACATTAAACTAAATATATTTAATCAACATTAAACTAAATATACCTATTATCCACTAATCTTCAGAATTTTGAATATTAGATTTCTTCATTCAATGCACATTAAGAATGTAATAATTAATATTTAGGTTTAAATCAAAATTTTACTAATATTTTTATTATCAACAAATCAATTTATATGATCTTTTAGATTAACTCAAAATACTGTATTTCTTGTTGTTTAACTATTAAATGTCTTAGCCATTCATTGAGGAAATTAATATGTTCAAATAAAGTCATAATAATTTAATAAAATGTTGCAAGGACCTAAATACAAACTACAAAATATTCAAGAGCTTTGTAGATCGAACTTTGACGATGATGAAGATCCAGAAGTAGATCAGGATGTTAGAGTTGATAAATTTGGAAATCCAATCAATAAATAACTAAAGTTTCACATCTGCTTCAGAGACGAAATCATCCCTTCTCAATAAGTGTGTGATATACACATAGTGGAAAATTGGAAACACTATAATCATATTGAAGAGAAAGAGGAGTCCGATCCCTGCTGTAAACAATTTTGTTAGATAATATGAAATTTATCATTATAAAACTTTTTCTGCCATTTACTAGGGTAACAATTTATATAATATATCTATGCGATTTCGATTTTTCATCTCCAAAGTTTCCCTTTGTTTATTCAACAGTAACTTCATCTGAGTTCTATACTTGTCATACTCTATTGGACTTGAAAATAAATGACTAACTCGATTCACCTGTTCCCAAACTGATACCTTTTTTTGTTTCTCTAACACCTAATATCTTGTATCAATTTAATAAGTATTTTATTTCTGTTTCCTCTCGATCAATCCTATCCGTTTACACTCTTCCCTAATCCTCAATTGCTGATCATGATATTTGTTGAAATTCACATCATTCTAATTGATCCTCAACCTCTCATCTGCTATTTTTGATCGTTCCGAAAGCATTTGAGATTTCATATTCACAACTCTCTCAATCTTCTAATCCATCCTAGATTCAAGATCTGAATCAAAAATCAATGATTAAGTCTTATTTCTTATCAACATCTGCTTTTTGGTAGGCTTCTCCAATTGAGTCTACTTTAATCTTAACCTTTGCAATTTCTCATATTATCTATTAATCAACAATTAATATTATTCATTATCAAGTTACTCCTTCTTGTTTTTCACTTCTCCAAACTGAGATTTTTGTTGATTCTATTTCAACTCACTCTTATATTATTCTATTCTCTCTATTGCTTTCTTTTCTATGATAAAGACGTAATTACCCTTCTCTTCAAGTTTTTTCATATATTCATCCTATTAATGCTACTCTTTTTTCAAAATATGTTATCTATTTATTAGAACCTTTTGATTAGATTTAGCTAAGGATTTCTCCTTGGTTTCAAACTCACGATGAGTTTCACATCTTCTATTTGACTATTCCCTTTTCATTAATTAAGTAGATTCCTTAGATTTTATTGATATTTTTTAGGAAGGCTAAGTTGCCAATTTAGTTTTGTGTTCTTAAATTTTATTGTTTTATTGATATGATTAAGCAAACCTTTTTTGTCTAAGAAGCTCCTATTAAATGAGATTCTAAAGCACTCTCTCCTTAACAGATATGCTTTAGGATTACTCTTTCACATTATCTCCAATGGAAGATAATTAAACTAAGGGTTAACTAGACAGCTCTGATACACCAGTCGTTTTATTTCTACATCTCACATTGTTGATTTCATTTATTATTTCTAAGTTAAATAATTATTAAGATTTTACTCAGCACTTTAGCTTTGTAATTATCATATTTCATTTGTCTCATCTCATGATTGACAGATTAAAATTCATCTATGGATCTAAAAGAATATTGAATAAGTAAATACTTATATATTAAATCTTCTGGATGATATCCTAATCTCTTACATAGTCTGATCGTAGATAAAGATTCTGGTTAGGTAGATTTAATCAATTTCTTAAAATTATCATCCATTTATATATATCACAATTATTATAGATATATATCTCAAATGACTCAGCAATTCTTATTTCAAGAATTGCCCGTTCAAAACCATCTGTTCATTCAAAATTATATACATTTCGAATTTGTTGAAAATTAACTGTCTATCATTTATTTGATTTTCTAATACTTTACAATCAATTCACTTCAATCTCTTAATATAAGCTATTAAAATCTCAATAAATGTAAAACTGATCTTCTACACTTTATGGCTTAGTTAGAGAGCTCATTATTTATAAAATAAATTAATATTCTGCCATAGATTATTTACCCATTGAAAGCTGAATATAGTAATTAATTAAGATTTTCTTTTTTGCTTTGAGAATTGAATATTTTATATTTATCAATAACTACTTATTTTGTAATTGGATTATGACATTTTAATTTCTATTATTTATAAATTAATTAAATTTAATAAAAATTGTGGACCTTGTATATATTTGTTTAACTCATACAATTAGTTATTATTTATAGGTTTAAGTTTTCAAATTTCCATTTCAAATCACTTGATTAACTAATTAATAATGGTTGCTATATTATTTCATTAAAAGAGAGATGTTGTACAAGCATTATTAATCAATGATACTCGATATTTGTCATATCATAATTATATGTGTCTAAGACATATTGATATAAATTTACTATGAATTCAAAAAGAAATTACCATTAATCATAGAGATAAGCATACATAATTATTTTAATTAATTAATTCAGTATTGTTTTGTCGCTCTTGATATAATCTAATATTTATTCATATATATTCATTCAAATTCCAATTTGATTTCTCAATTCAAGACCTTTTTGATAAGAATATCATATGACTAGTTGCTTTCCTATTATTATTTGGCATAAATATTATGAAAAATTACTGATAATTATCTACATATTAAATTATTATCATAAATTATACAATTTTATAAAAATATGGAAAATATCTTGTTAGGTTTGAAGAATCTATTGATGAAATCAATATGTATATATAATAATGTAATTGTATTGATTAATTGCTTGATAAAATAATATTATAATATTGAATGAATTCATTAATCAGAAAGCTGTGAATGAAAGTTACACAGATCTAAAGTATATTATATATATTGATACCTTCCATTAATCTTGGCATCTTGGATATATCCTAAGACGCTTAGACTGCATCCGACATCTGAATACAGTATTTTACAAGAGCTCTGATTAATGAATCTAGGAAAAATAGTATTGAAATAGGGTACTTCATATTTAAGATGGGAGTGATGCACCCGAAATATTGATATATTTGCTCTATCGTAACTCCGTTTAATCCAGTGATCAAGATTGAGTTCGACAGTTGTTACTATAGAAGTGGTTTTCTTTCATTAGGAGGCAAAGTAACCTAGCGAGCGTCAAGAGAAAGTTGATCAGAAACAATAAGATTCATTGGCGCTCCAAAAAGCAAGGCTTTGCCAAGTAGATTTTTCATTCGAATTGCCTCTTCTTTAGAAGCCAGTTGAAGAAAGGCTCCATGATGACTTTGATGAATGGCGTCTACTCGTGTGAATGTACTAAAGATGTTATACACCACACGTAGATTGATGTTGGGATGCTGAACTATTAAGTAGGTTGGGAGAGTAGTGGGAGTCATTATGAAGGGACTGGTTATGACTTTTTAGGGATAAGGAGTAAAGGGACTGGCACCACAAGAAAAAGGAGTTGTGGAGTCATTACAAAAGACTTCATTGTAGTTGTCTTCTGAATGGGTAGATTTCTAAGATTTTTCTGAAGATTGGGAGGAGATACTCTCTCCATCAGAAAACTCCTCCTTATCATCTTCTGAAGACTCCTCAGGGATCTATTGTCTAATGGAATCCAAGGTGGAGTGCAAAAAGGGGGAGGGTGAAGGGGTGGTAACAGTGGATACGATTTATTTTTATTTCTTTCCCTCCCTTTGTAAAACGGATGCATAATTGCGTAATTGCTGCTGGTAGAGAACAGTCAATTGTTAAGTTTGATTACGGTACTCCTATATCTGTTGGATAAGGGATATTTGTTCTTTCAAATCTGCCGTTTAGCTTAGTTGAGCAATAAGCTAATTGAGCATGTCTAGATTCTATTGTAGTTATTGATTGAGAGAGCCTGAGTCCTCCTTCAATTGTTGGAAAAACTGCTGTTTTGATTGTAAGGTGGTGTAATCTAAAAGATAGGGGAAATGTATTACCAACACCACAATTGTTATTATTCTAAAACACCAGAGAATCCCGTTGACTGAGGTGTACTCTCATTTTCAGTTAGTAATCAAAGAGGGTCCCATCCAAAACTAAGGCTGATTGGGCTTGTTAAGCATTCTCATACTCGATGAACACTTTCCAAATGATTTTTCTTTCGAATATAAGTATCTAAACGAAAATCAAAATAAACAAATACCTTTTTAACTTGCCCGAAAGATGAGAATGTTCTAAAGAACTAGCTGTGCTCTAATACTTTCCCCTATTTATTGGTGACTAGCACAAGTATCACAGGGGTTGGTGAGCTTGGTGACGGTGAATTCTTGTTCATTAAAAATAATAATATTTCATAAATCACAATATTCCTCTCATTTAAATACTCTCCTTAACTCTTCCAATGAATTATGTATGACAACCATCAAGACTCAAATTGGCAATGCCTTTACTAAGGAATATTTCTCGAAACTTCCAAATCTAAATATAAGTTTAAATTTCATAATATCTCAAACCATTTTTAAATTTTATACTCAAGATTATAGTACCGAATTTTCAAGGATTTAAATAAATAACATTCTTTATATTTCAATTAATTAAATATCTCATCTCTCTAATTGTAATCTATTTTTGAGGCTATGTCTTTAAAAATCAAGTCTCACTTAACTGTTGTTAATCTGAATATAAATTAATAATGAAATCCTTGCAATTCATTTAATAAAATTAAATATTAATGAATGGTTGTCTAGCTTTAAGGTATAATTTTATTGATCATATGATAATCATTTTGATATAATGAGGAATAACAAAAATAATAAATTCCCTCTTATGAACATTGCTTAAGAATGAGTGATATAATTTAATAAATTTTATTTATTTTAATTCCAATTCTTCAATCAAAATCATAACATTAATATTTAATATTTTCTGTTTAAAAAATGCTATCAATTAAATTCACAATCAAAATTTAAACTGATTTATTTGTTTTAAGGTATTGGAAGGAGAAAGTCACAGAATATTAACGAAGAGGATTCAAATAAATTTTACAATTAATTTGAAAATTTTATAATGTTTAGAAAAATAAAATCAAATACAAGTCAAAATTTTTAAGTAAATGATTTTATCCTTAAACTAATGTATTAATTTATCAAGCAAATATAAAATAAGAGTTTATTTAATAACATAATTTAATAATTATGAAATCATTAATTGTAACTCAGAATTGCAGAAGAACGAAAACTAATCCAGATCAAAGTTCGATAGTTAGCTATTCAACAAATAAGTCTTGTGTTTCAAGTGTAATAAATATGTTATTCATAAATAGGATCGTAAGACTTAAGTCAAAGTTGCTTGTAAAGTATTAAGCGAGATGAGAGAAGATGAATCAAGTAAATTAGCAATGAAATTCACTTAACTAAGAATTGTTCTAGCCACTTAGTCTCTATTGCATGTATTACAAAAGTACAGATCGGCTAAATTGTAAACATACTTTTGGATTATCCAACAAGAAAGAAAAACTACACCTCATCATTGTTTCTAAGATTTAACTCAGGCAATATCATTACCACCAGGCTTAGATGATATTTCAAATCATTAAAATAGAGTACAAACACAATAAGACTCATATCAGTAAATGCCTACTGCAACAGCAATCGTATTTTATGAAATTTTAAACAAAATTGTAATGTAACAGTAAAAGTCAACCTTTAAGAGAATCAAAGAACAATCCAACATTTACAAAGCAATTACAAAAATAACAAAATTTATTAAATAATGTCAAAAAAGGTCTTACTATCTTGCACTTTTCAATATTATGAGAAGTAATCAAAACAGGAAAATTTGTAAAATAAGTGTTCTCGATTAAAATCATGAGATACCATCTGAAGAGGAATAGTAAGAATAGATTATTGACCATCATGAAGAATTTTCAATTAAGGAATAATTAGCAATTAAATTTGCAAGTACTACAATTATTACTTCTATCTTAAACGAAAAAATAAAAAAACAATAATTTGCCTTGCTTTTCAATATGATGAGAGGCCAATTTTAAAATAAATAATTAAGCCTTATGAGAACAAATGAGATTACTCAGATTTATGAATAACCATATTTGGAATAAATCCTATTGAAATAGGTTCTAATCATCTTTGTAATGTAGTCCATAATAGATTAAACGGTTATCTATAAGATATTAAAACATTTCAATTAAATAATGAGCTACTTTCTCTAAATACCTTGATTTTACACAAACCTTCTGAAGATTCTAATAATAATTCATATGGGGATCTATATACATAAAGGATACTCCCTTTGTATTCTAGAAATGAAGAAGAGGAGAATCTTAGTGAAATCATGACACTTGAAAATTGTGAAGGTTTCAAGATGCCATGTTCTTTACAGCATATAAAAGATATCGAAATTGAAGAACCTACAAATGGAGGAGAATAGAAAATATAAGATACTGAAAAGACCTAGCTAAAAGTTAAGAATAAACATTAAGATCTAATCAAGAATGCTGTGAAATCTTATTGTAATATGGAATAGAGAAAACATAGTTAATAAGAGAGATCAAGAACCTTATAAAGGAGAGAATCTAGAGAGAAAGTAGTGAAGGAAGTTAAATAAAATTTTAGGCACGTCTATATATTTGCTATTATTGGATTATGCATGATTACTTTGATCTTTTTGATTTTATAATGACTAATAAAATTAATATAATATTAAATAAAAATATGTCAGGGGAATCATCATATTCAGAAGGCGGGGGTTGGATTTAATGGTTTTGTTAGATGGAGGATCATCAATTTTTATGTGAAATCGATAGTGAATTTATTAGAGACAACTTTAATTTGTATGGGTTGAAGAGCAAGTTTAATTTTTATAAGTAATATTTTAAAAAGGAACAATTAGTGAGGCTCTTGATTTGATTTTAAGTTCTGAGACTCCTGATGATGAGGACTTGGAAGATGAGCGTTTTCTGGAGGTTTATTAAGAAGCAACAGATTTATATGGGTTAATTCATGCCAGATTTATAATTACGGCAAAAGGTATTAAAACAACAAATTGAGCAGGGTTGTCTCTAATGAAGGATAAATTTCTATCTGGAAAGTTTGGTGCTTGTCCAAGAGTATTATGTGAAAGATCTAATGTTTTACCTGTTGGGATGAGTGAGGAATTGCGAACTTCGAGAGTGAAAGTATTCTGTCCGAGATGCGAGGAGGTTTATATTCCAAAGAAGAAGTGTCCAGATGTGGATGGGGCTTATTTTGGCTGTTCATTCCCGTCGGTTTTCATCATGGTATTGAAGAGTGATAATAATTAATAAGAACTTTGTTTAAGAGATTCAGATTGCTCCAAATAATCAACAGTATGTTCCGAGGGTTTTCGGATTTAGAGTGTACAAGAAGAAGGGGTCTCGTTATCAAGATACGCAATAGAAACCAGTTGAAATCACTCATTATTCTGAGGATCAATTGAAGAAGTTAAGAGGTAAGAATGAATAACAAAGCAAAGAGGATTATGTTCAAAAGTGAATTAGGTAATTTGTTTTTATTATTAAAATTTTTAAATCTTTTTTAAATTAAATGCCTAAGGAAATTCAGGATGTTAAAGAGTTCCTCTCACTCATGAAGGGTAGTGAAGCTTAAGGCAAGGACGCCAACAAAGAACCAAAAAAGAGTAGAATTTAATTTGATTTTGATAGATCTCTACATCAAGGAGTCCAAGAAGATCACCAAATTCAAGTTGAGAGGAAAGAAATACCTCTTCACCTTCAAAACAGCTGATAAGAATAAGGCCTCAAGGAATTCAATAAACACTCCCATAAAGTATTTAACCTAATTCACAATTACTTAGATGTCAACAAAATAGTTATTGGTGCAGGTGGAAAGAAACAATAAACCAAAAAGAAGTAAAAGAAATGAACGCTGATTTATTACATATTCAATAGTACATTATCTAAGAGCATTTATTTAATTTTTTATTTTTAATGTCAAGTTTTCACAATAGTCACAATAGTGAGGTTCATTCCCCCAGAATCAAACCCAAATTAACAGAAGATCAGAAATTCCATCTCATCAATCAATTCTTCGTTAAAAAACTCAAATTCCCGACCCTCACTAATGCAATCATAGACGAAGCCATCAGTCAGGATCTTTATGCCATTCGATGACAAGGATAAAATTTTGAGAGATCCTAATAAACTATCTATTTTCTTCTTGAAAGCTCGATCCTCAATCTCCTCGTACAAAGGTAGGCTCTGAATTTAATTAGATTTAGGTGAGAATGCATGTCACATATTTACATTTTAGCAGTTTCAAATGCCTGAACTTCATCCCATTCAAAATCTAATAAATTATATGAACTACCTCACTGATAAGTACAAGGAATTGTTGCGCATAGTGAGTACAAGAAATTCGATTAAAAAACAAGAGAAACTATAGAAATCAAAAAATAAACTCAACAAATCACACACTCAATAGAATACCTCAAGTATCAGTCTCCATTTCATCTATCAGGCTTCCTCACTGATGGCGGTGCTCTAGTCATACCCACTAAGCTGACCACTATTATGTCAAAATCATTCAACACTCGTTCTCTCGATTTCTTATAGAGCTCCTTCGAAGAGAGACTGGAAATGCAAGCCAAGAAAAGTTAGGAATACCTACAAACTCTTAGTCGATACAAATAATTGGAAGAAGAAAAACTTAGATCCTTACATGATTATTATCAACAAAAAGTTCCTATCATGGCCAAAAAGGTAGAAGCTGTCAAACAAATGAATAAAATGTAATAAATCAAAATATTACCTTAGAAAGCAATAAGAACGAAAGAAAATCTTTCAAGATCGTTAGAAGAGGACTCTCGAAAAAATACACGAATTAGAGATTAAAGACAGAGAATAAAGGATTAAAGTGCAGGAATATCTGAACAAGAAGCAAGAAATCACTCAGCAAAATAAAAATCAATTTGATTCGTAGCATAACCAAGAATTGAAAGATCTTCAAGAGAGAAATCAAAGGAAGGAAGAAGAGAGAAGAGAAAAGAAGAAACTAGCTATTTATATGGAAGATTAATAGATTGAATAGATTATGGAGAAATAAATAGAGAAGGATTATATGACTGAGTAAATACTGTCAAAATTAAAGGATGAAATGAATTAAAAGAGACAATTGAGTCTTTAGAAGCAAGAATAAGCACAGTAGAAGGTAATTTAAACTCAGATTGAGTATCAATAAAATAAGCTTGAATAATATATTAAATTTGCTGATTTGAGCAATAAGATGGTTGAAGAGTAAATGTAAATCAAGAATGCATAATTAGGACAAGTAAAAACTAAATTAGCTACTTAAATTAGCAGAGTGAAGAAAAACAAAGAAAAATTGAATAGTTTGTTAGAATAGAAAATAGAGATCATAAAGAAGAAGGAGAATGATAAAAGTATAGTTATTTGAAATCAAATTAGATGTTTCAGGTAGATTGCAGTCAATTTAATCAAGCATCGATATTAAAATCAAAGAGTAATCTGAAAAAAATAAGATGAGATTGTAAAGAGCCTTAAATAACACAAGAGCATTTGCAGAAGAGAAAGAAGTACATAGTTAAACCATTAATAGAGAGAACAATAAAAGATAATTGATAAAATGATGGAAGAAAGTCAGAAGTAAAAGCATCTCAAAAGTCGAAAAGAAAAATATAGCTAAGCCATATTAAAATAGCATTTACTTGAAAGATAAAGTGTTGATAGAATAGTATTTTAATGAATTTAATGAATTTCATTTGCTCTAATTACATAAACTGTTTCATAATTTAATATAAATACAAATATTTCATTTTTACTAAATGATCCTTTTTTTTATTTCATCAACTATCTGATCTGACGTAGCACATTTATCCATTAATATTTACATGATTTCATCTGCTGAATATCTCGTCTGATAGTTTACGCATAGTAATTTTTAAATAATTGTTCTAACATATTCTGGTAGTATTGATAATTTTAATTCTTTCCAAAACACGTTCCATTACTCTTTCTTAATAAGCTTCCACCAAGCATCCTCTATTTATGGATTATTTGATTCAAATGGAGGATGCCCTGTTATCATTATAAAATACACCACTCCCAAAGAAAACATGTCACATTTTTTCAAATCTGTTGGAACCAACCATATTTCAGGCGCTGTATATCCTTCACTCCCAGATACAGTAATCTTTGGAATTGGAGTCTGCCCATTAATTTTAGCAAATCCAAAATCACATATTTTTATAATGTAATCTCCAGAAATCAGGAGGTTATCCAATTTGATGTCTCCGTGAGTTATTCCTTTTGCATGAAGATATTCTAAAGCCTAAGCAATTTAGATTATTATTCCATTTGCAATTGCTAATGGCAAAGGACCTTACAGTAAGATTTTATAAAGAGAACCAAATGACATTAATTCAAGCAGCATACAGGAACAGTCTGAACAATATCCAACCATAGTTATAATGTGCGGATGTTAGATATGACGAAGTATTTGGATCTCGTTCTCTTGAAAAATATGATATGATTATTACGAATAAATTAATAGCATTTTACTCAATGGTTTATGCCAAACATTTTAATGCAAATTATTGATTAGTTTATTTGTTCATAGTCAAAAATACTGTACTATCATGTCCTTTGCCTATCAATTTAGAGAAATTGATTTAATAATTTGCCGCAAATTGTTCAGGAGTGAACATTAAATTATTAATCATTATTAATTTTAACTATAAATCAGATCAGAAGGCTTTAGTAGCCATCATCCTACCCAATATAGCATTTAAATTTTCATCAAGCAATTCATCCACTTTCAAACCAAGATGCTTCTTTGGATCCTTCTTTCCTGTATTTTTTAATTTAGTTTCCTACTCTCCCTTCTTAGATTCATCCTCTATAAATTAAAATGTAAGAATCTATACCTATCAATTTCTAATATTCTAGAGCTAATTTGGACATACTTTCAACACAGAACTCATTTTTTTGGCTATTTTCACTAGCAGAATTGCATCTAATAACCAATAGAATTAGTAATAATTACTTTAAACCTTCAGCCCAGCTGTTTTTATATAAATTTTAAAGCATTTTCTATTCCAAATCATTGCATTTAAATTTGATGTTGATCGAATAATAATATCTATTTAGACCTCTTAACAAAGCTTCTAATCCTGGTTTTTGTAGGTGCCCTGTATTTGAAGTAGTTTATCTAGGTTCTTATTGGCTAAGCATAGCTGATTAGGGGAATCAATCTGAATGCATCGATAACTACTTTGCCTCTGACAGATTGAATTGGGTCAATAACAACAGCAATCGATTTCTTATTTAACTATTCATATGATTATTGAGTGTTGATATCGACTATAAAATATGAGATATGAATGAGTACCGCTTGATAGCCAACAACCATATGAAGGATGAGAGTGATACCATCCAATACAATTTTCCATTCTTCCTGTTAAATTCAACAATTCAACCATTTTTTATTGAAATATTGGATCCACAGATTCCACAGAAACACTGCTTGCTGTTTGGGGCATTGAAAAGACATCATACACTCTAATGTGATAATCATCTACTATATCTCCTAATAAAAGGCCCATTACTTCAAATGGTATTCCTGCTCTGGCATGCTGGATGATAATAAGAGTCAAATTACTTTTAGCATTTTGATCAAAGCAAGCGCACTTATAGTGACTTATTCTGCTGTATCTGGGATGGACACTTCCGGATTTACGGCTTATCCTCCTCCTCCCAGTTGTTACATGATGTTTTGAATGTCCATAATAATTTGAATGTAAATAATACTAATACTGATGTTGATAATAATTATCAATTATAACTCATTCTTAAGAAAATGGGAATTATTTTTGAATTCAGCAAGAAGTAGTAGAATTAGATGAATGAACTTTATCTATAGCATCTCATCTCAATAAGCTATTTAAATTATACAAAGTTGAACATTAACAGAAGAATTCAAATTGTTTTCAGTCGATTAATCGGCTTCACCTCTCTAGGCCCTGTCTTATATATTTGTAAATCATAACTTATTATATGTAATGAGCAAAAATAACAATCACATCTATGAATAGATTGTTTTATGAATTACTTAATTTTTTTTGGATTCAATAGGGAATGTTTTCTCAAATGAGTAAATAGTATTGTATTAAATATAAATAAGTAGTTATATGAAAGTTTTGTAATTGAAATAATCCATAATTTTCAATCAAAATGATATTAGTAGAATGCTGTTATCACAAACAAAACTCCTTACTATGAATGATTGTAACAAAAGTATTTTGTTTATTATGAATTATAAAATATTATTATAAATTTTACTTTTTAAATTACATGTCTGAGAACACACTTTTCAATGAATGTTTGGCATGTAAAATGAAATTTGAGACAAGACAATAATTGGAGAACCACGTCAAGAGGGTAAATATCAACGATTTAATTAGTTTTGTGTGAGCTCAGATTATGGGTCTTAAAATAAACTAGAGGAGAAATACTAAAGAGAATTATTGAATTTAAAAAAGAGCAACGCTCCTGGAGCAAGAGAAATTATTGAGACTGGCAGACCTCCACCAGGGTAATAATAGAAGAACCAATTATCTTTGGAAGCGTTTAAGGATTAGATGAAATAATAAGATGATGAATTCAAAAGATTAAATCGAATGGCCTAGAGAAGAAGAGAAGATGAAATGGATGATGATCTAAATAAACTAAAGAATGATAGGCAGCAGATCAAAATGAAAAGAGATGATGATAGACAAGCATTTGAAGAATTGTTACATGAGGTTGAATAGAAAAAGGAGAAGGAGATCAGGGCTAGAATAGAGAAGGACGAGATTCGAAGAGCCTTGATGGACTTGGAGAAAGCAAAATTAACAGCGATTGAATAAGAGAGGAAAAGAGAGTTAGAGAAACTTATTGCTGAGAGGGAAGCTCTGAGGATGAAGGAAGGGGAACTCATTAAAGATATTGAATCGATGGAACAGAATACACGAATGCTTGATCAGATGAGGTAGGAGGAAGTCTCAAAAATCAATAATGTAATTGATGGGATGCAATTAAAATAAAAAAACAATACAAAATTGAATGAGGATCTAATTTAGGAAAGATCAGACAATGTGGCCAAGTTAAAATTAAAGCGAGAACAATTAGAGGGAGAACGACTAAGAATCATGGACAATTTGGATAGACTGCGAAATGGTGATTTGAAGGCTGCTTAAAGAGGAGGCACTATGAATTTAGTCGCAAATGCAAAGAACATTTTGGGGGATATGTAATAAATGGAGAATTTCAATGCCAAATTACATGATGGAAGATTTGCAGAACAATAGCAAAGAATAAATCAGTTGAAACAATAGAAACCTGAATTTATGCCCTTTGATGGAGATGAAGCCTTTGGATAGAGAGCACCCGTTGGATAATAGGCTGTGGATATGTATAAGAATAAGAATCCTTAGACTCATGGAGAACTTTAAGCATTCAGATAAGGAATCGAATAGCATGCAAATAGTATGATGGATAAAAGCTTATCCCAGAGTATTAACATGAGCTAAGTCAGGAGATAACCCTCCTCCTAAGTCAATAGAGCGCCAGCCACTAGATTGTAGCCTTAATAAACCATACAGAGTTTTCCTGATGTTAATTAATAACTTTAATAGCAATAATAATAACAGTAATAAATCGAAGTCTTAAAAAATGCTTGGGGTGTTCCCATTCCTTAATTTCAAAATAATTAATTTTAAATGCTACCTCAATAACCTTAAGCTTAATAACCATAATTTCAAATGAATCCTATGATGCAATATAATGCATTTGCTTAACCACAAATGATGCCTGTCTACAATCCAGTAATGCAGTAACAACCACAATCATAACAGTAAGGGCCAACAGCTTTTGGGCAATTTGCTTTGAATCAATTAGCATTGAATTAGGAAGGTAAAAAAATTAAGGATCCATGGAGCATTTTCAATAGAAAAAATGAGTTTTTTTTGATGAATGAAGTTCGAGGTGTTGATTTGACAGAGGAGGAGAGAGTGTTGATGAGTCTATAGGCTTAGGAAATTGATAGTATGAGGGTAATTTCAAGAATTCCTGTAGGGACAGAATTGTATAGATTTAAGGTTGAGTAATATAAGGAATTATCGACAATGAGAGCATGAAAATAGAGAAGATCGTTCAGGAGTAGCGATTACAGGATGCAAGGAGGGATTTTGAGATGGAAAGGAGAGAGGATGATAGACAATGGGAGAATGAGAAATGGGTGGATGATAATAAGAAGTTCATCATTGAGAATAGATTAAGAAAAGATAATACTTAGAAAAGATAGTAGATGCAGGCGTACAATCAAAGTGAGGGATTTGTAGTTCATTGGGATTATACTTTAGGATTACCTAGAAGGAGTAATTACAGTTAGGTTGTATTTGGAGTTTATAATGGATAACAAGTGATTTGTTAGCCCAGATTAGTTGAACCAAGAGAAAGTGAGACAGAAAATTAAAATCATAATAGATGCATCTTTGGAGATTCTCACTAAGTTTTTGAGGTACCTGCGCATCCAGATACTCTGATGATCATGGAAGTTCAAATTCCTTTTAGCAAAAGAGTTGAGGATAACGTAGGTAGAACTGAAACTTATGGATGGACTTAAGTGGATCTATTTGATCATAACAAATAATTGAAACGAGGAAAATTTAAATGTCCTGTTTATTATGGACCTACAAGTCCAGAGATTACTGTGGAAGAGATCTAGAACTTAGAGCCCATTCCTAATTGTTGGGTCTATTTTAGAATAGGATATCCTAATGATAAAGATTATGGGGAAGTCAAAACTATTTATCCTGAATAAACTCAACATGAATACATAATGAGCGTATTATTCATCTGAGAGGATTGTTTGGAAAGAGAGAAAAGGTGAAAAATATGAAAGGAATGGAAGAAAGCTATGAAAGCAGGTATGGGGGCAGAGGATATAAGATGATTGAGGAGATTATAGAGGAAAGTTAATTAGTGGGGGGAGCAGGAGGTAAATCTAACATGGAAGAATACGAGATTACTGGACAGCCACCTCCTATGCAAAAGTATGGAATTAGAGAGGAAGAACCTCCCATTTAAGATAATGGAAAATAGAAGGGGTTGAGACTAATCATTTATAGGGTTGATAACCATTAGGCCAGATCTCATTTGAGAGTTATGGCAGGATTATTTGAGGAAGGCAATTTAGTTTTGGATGCAAATGGGCTGCCAGTTGCATTTAATACTTCTATTCACAATCCTTTGGATCAAAAGAATAGACAAGTTTTAGCAAATGAATACATTATACCCTTACACAAACCTAATGTAGAGTATGATGGAATGAATAATAAGGCATCAGGTCAGGATATCATATTCTAGGAGGAGTATAGAGTATTTCGAAATCTATATGCGATGATTAAGAAGAACAAGAAGGACTTATATATTGGATTATAGGTAGTTGAAAAACCAGAACCAGTTGAATTGTAGGAATCAGTTTTGAATGAAACACAAAAGAATTATGCAGGGTTAGAATTTGATTTAAAGGGATGGCAATTCCTCAAACTGACTTAAGATGATGGCAGTCTGCTAACTGGAAGATTCAAAATGAAATTATTTAAACCCCCTTTACGACGACCTCCCATAGATCCTACTAAAGTATAGGAAATGGATGAAGTTATTGACTTTGCTTTGCATGAATTTGCGTACACAGAAAAAGATATTGAAGAATTTAAAAAGTAGATGAAGCATAAACATAAGAAACCAAAATTAGAGGAGATTAAAGATATTCCATTAGACAATAGTCCATATATTCCTAATTTCTAGCAATAATGGATAAACGAATAATTTGAAAGAAGACATGGAATAGATTTCTACATAGATGGATTAAGATTCTTGCCTGATAAGGTAACAGCTTGTAAAATTTACATGGAAGTATACAACAGGAGATATGAGAAATTGTTTGATGCTGAAACAGCAGCTCCTGATCTCAATGGTATGGCCTACAATCCAACATTCTATTTCAGAAGAGAATTGAGAAAAGAGAAGTTTGATCCAACTGCAATTGCTTTGATCACTGTTGTAACAGTAGATAAAAGTACTAATGATAACAGAATTGTTGGTTATGCTGCAATTAATCTATTTTTGAATCCTGGTACTAAATCTCAACCTGAGGATTCTAATGAGGATAACTATGTAGTTTATTCTGGAGCATATCAAATACCATTGTTTAGTCAATAGTTAGACAGAACACCGCCATTTGACATGAAAAAGATGTAAATAATATATTGAGATGTAGTTACTCCCATGAACGATCTCCTTGTTGTACTGTGCTTGTCAGAATGTTTAAAGCACCTTTGAGTGAAGATGGTAAAAGAGCTCTATCCATCAAAGAATTTCCAAGCTTAAAGGATTAAATAGCCAGAAATATTATGAGGCCACGTCCTTAATACGGGGCGAGTGCCTACAACACTGAGTTAGCTCCTATCACTGAATCAGAAAATGAATTATTTGCTCAAAGAACTATCAGACCTGATATTAGTGTTAGAGAGGCTGCATATTTATTAATAAAGGGAGAATAAATTAATAGATAATACAAGGACAATGAAATAATTAACTATTTGGATAACCGTATATCCTTAACTCATGATACATTCATGATCGATATGATGTATTTTGCCAAGTACAGACCATAAGCTGGATTCAAATTGACTGTTGATGGATTACATAATGTTGTTAATCAATCACATATGTACGTCGTCTTTTATTCCTTATCATAACCTGGAACCTTTTATCTAGAACCCAGAGACATTACTCAAGGACACATGTGTTCTAATTACGATTTCGATTCCAAAATCAACACTCCTGAATACGATGATGCTTGGTTCAAATTCAAAGAAAATGCCAATAGATATCAGAATATCATTTTAGACATCAAATCAGTGCCATTCTCTAAACCAGATGGAGCCATCTCTGATGTGGGTTGGACTATTTTGCCTGTGTTCTCACCTGACAATTATGTTATGTCCAACTGTTATCAATTACCAGTGTTCAGAGGATCAGTCCCAAGAGCTGTGATTGAAGACATTAAAAAACAAGATGCTTGGGATTACCTTCGGGATCAAGTCACCAACAATAAAGTTTTTTATCTAAAAAATATGTCCATTATTGTCAGGTTAGTGGATGCTTAAAGAGAAGTAATTTTTCATTTCATTCTAGGGGCATTTTAATAAACGTATGGATTGTGATAGATTATAATATAAGTATCTTCCACAAGGAGATCGTATAATAATAGTGGTCTTACAATCCTGCTGTTGTTTTGGATTAAATGAGTATGAAGACTATTAAATCTTTAATACCATTCAAAGACAACCCTGCTGCTTACAATAGAAAAGTCACAGAGTACTTTGCCAACTCCTATGGTTTAACTCAATATCTTGGAAGTTGATTATTTGATTATATATATAATTTTATATTCCATATCTAAAAGGCTTAGTTCATAATACTAAAAATAATAGTCAATATATCAGCATATAAATTAATTTAAAATATTAATCATTTAAGTGCTGCAACAACTTTATTGATGTCTTTAGAATATAAATATTCTTTGGGCTCATACTTTGCCCTTTTAACTTTTCGATTATAGTTAGATGGCTGCAAAGAGAAATCCATCCAAAATTATTTATAAAATATTAAGTAAAAATACATTTAAGATACTAAAATGACTATCATTTTCTATAGTAAATCCTTTTGATTCTTTGAATTTCCTCTTGAGTCATAAAAGAATTCATTATTGTTTCTCTTTCTCTTAAGTAAGCAGCTGTGTCAGAGACAACTCCTTTTTTTGTAGTGTTAGGAGCAGTGTAGCTGAGTTCAACTTTGATGGGTGAATCCTATTTGATGTCCTTTTTGTAAAAATCCCTATCATATTCATATTGCTGTGTCTGTAGATGCTTATTATTATAGTTGGATCGAGGATTGTAGGAATTCTAGTATCGTTCTTCCACAAAGGATTAATTCATGTCCCTAGGATATTGTTGGTAATAAGAATATTTTAATTCGTTTCGCTTGTAATTTCTCTTGAACTCTTCATATCTGGCCAACTACTAATCCAATCTGCTTTGGTCATCTCTTTTATAGAATGCACTTGATGTCCTATTCTATTCTGGGATATAGTCTCTATATAGATGATAAACAGAGTACGAGATTTAGACATTCCTAAGTTTGAAAGACTCCGTTGAGGCTGATTCATTTCTGTTAATTATAAATAAGTAATCATCAAATAACAAGTAAATTCAAATTTCCTCTATAGACAACTGTAACCATTATTTAAAGACATCAACTTTTAGAGATTACGTGTACTTGATTGCCTTAGTCTACAGCAACTCTTAAGCTTTGGATCTATCCTTCGGTTCCTGTTGTAGACTAAGAAAAAGATAATGAAATCAATGAAATTACCATCTGGAAATGAAGTAAATAGTGTTTTCTGAAATGGCATGTTTGTGTTGCTAGAAGTAATCATCAATTTTGAAATTCTTGCTCATTTAAATGTATTCTATCATGCTCATTTTTTTGGCATCAAATTCAAATGGCAAGAGACCTGTAATACATTGCATAGTCATCATGCCCACACTCCAAATATCACAATCATAGCCATATTCTTCTCCATTTAATCTTTCCGGAGACATGTATTGAATTGTACCAATGAAGGTATCGAATTTCTAGTCGGAATTCTCGCTAACAGAACAAATCCCAAAGTCACCAATCTTCACTTCTCCCTTTTTATTGATTAATATGTTGTGAGGTTTGATGTCTCTATGTATGATGTGTTTGTTGGTATGCAAATAATCCAAACCTTAAAGAACTTCTTTGGTAATCAACATGGTAATGGATTCAGGTATTTTTTTTGTTTTTTCTAATATTATCGACAAGGACCCCATGTCCATGTACTCCATAACAATGTAGATTTCTCCTTTGGAATAAAATGCCCCGTAACATTAAACCACATATTATGAATTGCAATCTATCAGAGCCTTTAATTCTTTCTTCAATAATGATTCCTATACATCATTGCTAACATAATGTATTTTCTAGTGACTATAACATTCAGATCATACCTTCAAGGCATAGTAATCATGAGTAGGTTTGTGAAGTACTTTCTCAACACTACCATAATTTCCTTATCCTAATTTACAGACTATTTCAAAATCCTCCAACTTGAGATCCTTAAAGTGTTTCGATTCCATGTAGGTGATGTCTAATGGGTTTAGGAATACAATACTTTTTGTGAAGGTGAGACCTTTGGAATTAAGACGAAACTAGCTTAGCACTAATGATCCATTGGCTGAGCTTACAATAGAGATAATCTGTTACATATTTTGCATCTTCTGTGGCTCTTCGGCTGCAAGAGAACGCAAAAATAATCTTCTTCTGCTTGAATCATTGGATTACATTAATTTATAATATTTTATTTTCAAAACACTACATCTTGCCGAATTCGAATAATATGTCAATCACTCATTGAAGACAAGAAATTGGATAGAATTCCTAGATATTGTGATAAATTAATGATGAATCTCACATTACCCATTTTAATTATAATTAAATGTATTAGGGATCCAACCTTTCTCGTACAGGTCAAATGGCTGTATCAAACGACCAAGTCTCTAACTAGCTGCAACTACTCAAGGCAAAAATGAGCAATCGTGATACCTGGTAGCAAGGAACCAGTCAGCATCCAGACAGTTATCCTCACACTCAACCTACTAAACCATCGCAATCCCCCCTTTATCCCAAAAGCGACAATGAATTTTACACAATGAAACAACAATCATAATAGCCAATGTAAACCAGCTCCCAACAGAAGATAATTGATCCACGCACTCTCAATTATCAATAATTATAATAATACAAACAGCAACAAGTACTTCCTCCTTAAAATTCTAATCGAAATGATCCCTATCTAGGTATGAATGCCATTAATAGACTCAACTATTATGACTAACTTCAAAAATACAAGGAAGACTCGTACAAAAAGAGTAATAACTTAAACACTTACAATACTCCATAGAGCTATTATGAACAATAATAAAATAAAAGGCAACAATAACAGTAAGTAATTCAATAACCTCCTAAATATTATGATGATATCTTAACCAAGAAATAATAACCATATGGATATTAATAAAATAACAATTATGATTTCACATAATAGCCAATTTCATTGCAAAATAAATATGATTACATGAATTACAATAACAACTACTCGAATAATGGGTTATATGGCAATAATATGTAATATCCAAACTAGAGTAATCCTTACAATAATAGCAATTAGAATTATAATTATAATTAGCAACAATTCTCTTCTTAAAACAATCAATATAATCCATACAATCTATATGGCAATCAGAATTAAAATACTTAATAAAACCAATAATAATCTTCATAGAATCAATACACTTACAATTAGAACACATAGTCCTTATCTCCACTCAAGCAATAATAGCCAGCCTAATAATTCAAGTATTCGCAAAACAACTCTTAACCTCAACTCGAAAAAAGAGAAAGACAATTTGAAAGATAATATGATCCACTCCCTGAATAATAAAAGTAAATGCAGCAGACACCAGAGCAATACAACAAACCTCAACCCCGAAAACCACAACAACCCTTGTAATAACCATCTTACAATCCTAACAACAATAGAGCATTAAATCCTATTGATGAATTACCTGCTGTTGCTAAGAAAAATCAAACCAATTCTATTCCACCTCCAGAGGATGACGATGATGGTGACTTATAAGAATGTCCAGAAGGGTGTGGCAGAAGATTCAAGGAAAATGTCTTAGATAAACATATTAAAGTATGTAAAAAGGTATTTTAATCAAAAAGAAAAGAATTCAATTCAAAAGCACATAGATAAGTTAATTAAGAATAAGTAAAGCTAGAAAAGCAAGGGTTGGTTAAAGATAAAATAATTGAAAAGAAAAAATAAATGGCTTAAAATGGAGATCCCAAATGGAAAAAACAGTCAGAAGCATTTAGATAAATGATAAGTGCAGCAAAATCAGGAGGAACTGCCGATATTCAACCTTAAGATGACTTAGTTGAATGTCCTGGTTGTGGTCGAAAATTTAGCGAATAAGCAGCTGAAAGACACATCCCAGGTTGTAAAAAAAGGAACTTCAAAAGATGATTCTTATATTATAAACTATTTATGTAAGTTTGCTCTTTTTCTATTCTTCCAAATTTTTGAATTCGTTATTTACTGGACATTAATTTCAAATCTTTAGTTTTCAAGTTGGAATGGATTTATAATACTTCAAAAAGTAAAGGACTGATATTATCTATTACTAATGCTTGATATATTGGAATAACAATTAAAGCATGATTTAAATATAATTCACTATTCCTGTTCTATATTATCAAATAAAAATTACTTATTATTTGAAACAACCAAATTTTAATAATTTCATTTTATTAAGCCCATTCTAAATTATGAATATATAGATCTAGAGCAATCCAAACTTTTGGAATTGTATTTCCTCATTTGAGAAAATTCAGAAAAATTGAAAATAATAATTTGATGTTCCATTTTGATATAATAATTATGATCACTTAAAAATTTTATCTTTAAATTTATAATAACACATAATTAATAATTTGAATATAATCCATGATTGACTTAACTCCAAAAATCAAGTTCAAGATTATTATTAGCTTTGATTATTATATTAATTACTCAATTATAAAAAAAAAAGTAAATAGATAAATAAAATCAAATTTTCTAATATTTTATTATTGAGAATATGTTTATTTTATTGTTTGAAATAGCTAAAAAAATTCTACGAAAAAAAAGTCAAATAATCCCAAAAATGACCATCAATTTTTAACGATTTTAACAAAAGAATTGTTTCTGCTCCTGTATGGCTTTTTTGTTTAATGATGAGAGGAGCTTTGATCGACTCTGACTAGTCTACTTGTATTGCAATAATAGGAATTTGATTTATCAGAGTCTGCTGTACTGTTTTCAGTGAGAATTGTTGATTATTGGGTTTCTCGCTTTTCTGCCACTTTTGCTTGGAGCTCTTTGTATTGATTCCTTAGTTGGATTATTTGTTTGTCCTTTCTTAAAGGGATAGCACTTTAGCAAATCAATAATTTTTGTTTCATTTCTTATATTTCTCTTTTAATTTAAAAGTTTTAATCTAACATTGCAGCATTCTAATCTTCAAGTAATTTACGATTTTGGATTTATTCTTGGTTCTCTTTGATCATTTTATAATATTATTCACTCAATTTTCGATTTTACTCCATCTTCAACATAATCGATTAATATTATTCTTTGCTAATTAAAACATTGGTTGTGGGCTTCTCGGCATTTTAAATATCACTAATAGTTTTTTGGGAATTAATTAAATGTAAAGCCTAAAAACTAAACTCTAGAGGTAAGTCAGCAAAGGAATCTTAATTTGGAAAATGGTTATTGGAATTTTGATGATCCTCCAAGGCCGAGGAATCTTGTATAGAATTATTGAATAGTTCAGTCAATTGATTGATAGACAAATAGATGGGCTTAACAACTTAATCTTGCATAAATAATTATATAAAAATGATGAATCTATTGATTTCATACTCTCAATTAAACAAATAAATAAATTTATCTATAGATTCTAATGATCTAGAGAGCTTATCGAGTAGATTAGTTTTCCCATTCTAAATTGTTGAGATTCTTGGTCCTCCAAATATACTTCTAATACTTTCGATAATGGAAATTAATATTATAATTATGAATAGTCCGATTGGTATATTTTCAGATTGATATAACATTTGTGAAAAGACTAACTAAAGTGCTGAATCTTTAAGTTCCATCTATTCATGATCGATTAAATATATAATTATTTAGAAAACTCACCATAGAATTTTAACCTCTTAGATATAGTCGTTTTTCAAAAAATTCTCACTTGAAATGGGACAAAATCAAAGAGAACTTATGAAGAGTGTTTCTGTGTCTTTTTAATTTCAAAACTTAGAGTTATATTTTATGAGTTATAAAATATGAAAATGATGAGTTTTAAATGCAAATCGAAATTCAGATTGATTCATAAAGCCTGGGAGTCAGAGATGGGGAAATATAGATTACATAAAATTTGAAAGATGGGCGAGATGATGAATTTTATAAGAATTGAATTGATAATTTTATTTTATGTAACAAAATTTAGAAAATGCATAGAATATGATTTTAAATTATTGTTTAGTTGGAATGGGAGAGAAATTGATTCCTATGATGAAAAATCAAAGAAGTAATGCATAGTGGATATTTAATAGGGTTTTTGACATCAATTTAGTTACATGAAACAAAATGTTAGACACTCTATAATGAGCATAACACAATATTATAGGAATCATTAGATATCTTTGGAAATGAGAAATTATTCCTACTCTGCATTTATAGTGAACCAAACAAAGATCCAATAACTAATATTACATTCGTTGACGTAGAGGTTAGAGAAAGTCAGATCTAATTTAAATACAAATACAGTTTATGCCCAATTATGAAGAAGGCTGATGTAATGAAATCAGTTCAAATCACAGATTGGGGCCTAATCAAAGATCAAGAGCGCTTTGATATCAGTCCCTATTTGTCCGAGTAGAATAAATGTTATGTGCTGTGCTACACCAGAAAAACAGATTATGTTCCAATAATAAACTTGGTTTTGGAAGACTATGATCCAAACCATGATTTGTAGGACACTGTGCAATTCCTTTCGTTTAGCAAAAAGCAAATATAATTAATTCGATGTAAGCAATCTTTATATTAAACATTCGTAGAGAAACCCCCATTAAAGTAAGCCTACACTCCCGAAATACTTGACCTATACCCATTTTGTTACAAGGAATCACAAAAGCAGAAGCATTATCAAAATTTATTCAATGACAATCCTTCGATTAGTAATTACTGCATTCCAGAGGGAATCCAGATTCTACAAAAGACCCAAAATGAGAACCCGAATCAAAATTAGATTACTTATTATCAATTAATGTAGTCTCCAAAGGGCGATCTCATTTACATATATTGCTTACGCTATTATGAACAACTGACCAAAAAGTAAGCCTAGAAACTCAAGTTAGAGAATTACAGCAATCTCTTTATTCCAAAGGTCATGGCTCTCATAAGTTATTAGAACTTCACTTACCAATTTTCATAATTGCTTACTTACTTATACTCCATAAGAATTGACTCATAAATTGAAGTAAACATCTAAAAATCATTATAGCAACATATAGAAAGAGTCATTTAACAGTTAAAGTATTCTATAATTCTCGAAAAGATCTCCCTTAAATTGATATTAAATGACTAATGCTTTCTATTTTAAAAGCATGTCAGATATCCAACATGCTAGTTGAAATCAATTGATTATGTTATGCACAATATCAATGTGGATAATATAATATAATTGTATACTGCTGTCTTAACTGAGAGGAAAATTAGATTATGTTCAAGTTCAATCTTGAATCCTGGCTATGTGATAGAAGCTTTGATGACCTTTATCTACCCATTATAATACTAAAAATTGTTGATATGCTATTTGAATTACGACAATTCCTAAATTATTGAAACCCCAGAACCATATATTGTAGGCTTACCAGAAACTCTCCCTTAACCAGCTTGTGAATCTGAAGGATATAAATTCATTTTGGACTACAATGTTGCATATAATGTATGTCCTCCTCCTGAATTTCCTCTCTTCGAGAAATTAAAGAAGAAGTTAGAACCTTTTGCTAGGTAAGACATCAATGAAACAAATGCAAATTTAATCAAGGGGATCTTTCTTAAAATTAATTTGAAAATACTGAGCCACGCTTTTGATTATGATATCAAATAAAAGAATTGGAGCATTGCATTTTAAAAGAAGAAATAATCCTAATATCCGATCAAAGGCTAATTTTGGGAAATCTTCTCAAGGACCTAATTGTTGTGTTCATTTATAGACAATAATCAGTCTAATCGATAATTAACTTCATATATTAACTATTTTAATGCCTCTTTCTAATAAGTGAATGAAAATAATAACACCAGGATTTTTGCGGATATCAAAACTATAAATATAAGTGATAACAACAATTCATTAATTCAATCCAAAAACAAATAATAATTTTTCCCCTATCTTACTCCCTACTATTACATTAGAAATAAATAAACAGCCTTGCAAACATAGGTCTACAGAATTTGGTTGCAAATTATTCATATGTTTTAGTTAGATAGCAAAGAATTTTAAGAGCTAGCAACATATTTAAGGAAAGAAATTCCAACCATTGAAGACTTTATCTAGTCGTAGGAACATGTATAATTACATCAATATGACGACTTGAATGACAAATAATTCCTATTTATAAATGAGTGCCCTTATTGCAAGAGACAAATTTCAATAGAAGAAATACTACATAAGATTGTGCCTACTTACTTACGTCAAACAATCAAGTGTTCGAAAAAGAAGGGTTGTGGTAATCAATTCACTCCCAAGATGATAATTTTTGATGTTGGAGAGTTCGATATTCTGAATATTCATTAATTACACTTTTAATTAGATCAACTAAGGGTCTTTGATTAGGAATTTTGCAAGACGACTGAATTCTGGAACTTAATCTTTTATTTTAGATTATTCAAACTTCCCATTCCGTTTATAAATGAATGTGAAGAAGCATCATATTGTTTTAAATCGAAAGAGAGTAAATAAAAAGGGATTAAAGTAAGTTTAAACGACAACTTAAAAGTTCTGCAAACAAAGTAGGAAGTGTAAACTAAATAAATCATATATGGGGAATGTGGTTCGAGAAAATGATATACCTAAATATACATATATTCATTATTTCGATTACTTATTCTTTAACTTTAATTGAATCAAAAAAATTAACATTCAATTATTTATTATTTAATTAATTTCCATACTTATAGATTGAGTCAGAATTTCCTAGTCTAATAATTGTTCCTATTTTAATAAGTCTTCATTAGACTACTTATGAATCAAGTAATTCTATTATAATGTTCAAATTTGAAAAGTGGTAAAAATACTCAAATTATAATAATATTATTAATAAATAAAATTTAACTTAATAATAATATTTATCAACCTAATAAAGGTTCAACTCCTTTTTTTCCAAATTTCTTGTACAAAAAGAATCCACCAACTCCAAGGATGGCAACTCCAAAAATAATGATCAAAGTAATCCACCACCATTTAGAACTAGTATTAGAATAGTATATTACCTGCTGGAGTCGTCATCATCAGGTACGTTATCTGAATCCCACAAATAAGTTTTTCCAGATGAAGATCCGAAATGATTAGCAGCATAGATTTCCATAGATTGCTCCTTTAGAGTGCTGCAGTTTTTTAAGATTAATTTAGGATTATCATATATGGAATACCTAAAGACAGTATGTTCAGAGAATTAACTATCATATTCAATATTGGCGTAGAGATAAGTCTATAAAATAGGATGTAATACTTACTTAATTCTAATATTAGGACACGATCATAGCAAAATCAGCAGGTAATGGTGAGTTGTAATCAGCTCTGATGCCGTAGATGAAAGGGACAGATTTGACTTCATCAAGTTTTTTAACTTCGATGTAGTAGACAGCCAAGACAACTTCATTGCCATCGGTATAGGCAACACTGACATGATTGGCTGCAAAGGACATCTTGTTGGCTGATTTCCAGTCTCCGTAATTGAATAGAACTTGTTGCAATTTCAGGGATTGTTTAATGTAGGAAGCTCCAGTTTTGGATGATATTTCCAATTCAAAATAGAATATGTAATTGGCAACATTGGATGTTGTAACTAGTAATTAAATCTTAAATATTTTATCAGATTGTTCTTAAGACAAGATTTTGAGTTGATGGAAATGTGTGTCATCCTTGAGGTAGTACTGCTCATGTTCATACCCTTTAAGATTAATTAATTCTTTGTTGAGTTCAGTTACTGATCCATCGACATTGGATCCAAGATTAACAATCCATACTCCTCGAGTAATATCTGTAAGCAAGATGGCATAGATTGACTCACTAACAGTAAGATGACAGAAATCAGCAATTTAGACTTGAGATGTTGGACCCAGATATTTGGTGTTGATTACTTTCTGTGAAAGAATAGTGAAGGTTGTGCCAGTGGTGTTGAATGAGTAGACTATGATGCTGCTTTCAAATTTAGAATAACTAACAGGATCAGTGTTAAGAACAATGAAATTTCGTCCAAATACAAATCTCATTTTGATAGCCTGAGTCACTCCAGCCAATTGGACTTCTCCTTATTCAAATTATTTGCATTTAGTTCCAGTGCATTCATTGACTAAAACTGAAACATCTCCAGTCCCAATAACTGTGCTTATGATATGCTTACTATCTTTAGTGACAGTCAACAATTCGCATCTCTGATCTTACCCAAGAGATTAATCTAAACTGATCCTATTCAAAAATGAACCATTTTTGTGTTGGAATATTAAAGACTTATCTGCTTGATAAACTAGGGTGTCACTATCAAATTGAGTTCCATCGTAGATGACATATTTCATGTCAGTTCCACTAGAGCTCTTGACAATCTATGGTTAAATAACTATTTGATCCCCACATTAATCACATAAGATGAAAAGATCATAAGGCTATCCAACATACCAATCAGACTTGAGATCCAGAATTTGGTCATTGTCATTTTTCTTAAATTAGAACATGTACCTGTATTTATCAAGTGAACTTTATTTGACCACTATTTTTGAATCTGTATTCATGAGTTTAATCTTTTCATTAATCACAATAGCTGTTCCACCTAGAGCACTGCTAATCTCAACGCTTGTTTCAAGTTTGTTTACATACTGGAGGACTTCTTCTTTGGGTAAGATAGTGAGAACAGCATCTTACAGAAGAGTGACGAATTTATTAACTTTGTTATCATTGAAGTAGATGAACATTTGCTTATCCCCATCCACTGCCATGTCAAATACATCATTGATCTTGTATCCAGTTTTGATGACTTTGTGTAATGAAACATGAGACAGCACATTGGGTTCATAGACTAGGATTACAGTTTCCTAGATCTTGGTGTCAATAGCTCTAACAAACAGCCATCCAGATTAAGAACAATAGTCAATATTTAGGGGTTCTTGTAATTAATACTGATAAAGTGGCAGACGCTTATTTAAGGAGATTAATTGAAGATGTTCCCAATTGTATTCTTCAAGAATCTATTCACTAGCAGTTTTCTGGACAATAGTAAATGTAAGTGGACCAATAGCAATACTGACTTCAGATTTAGGGATAATGGGAATTATTTCCATCAGATGGAACACATGAATATCGTTTCCATTTGCAAATTCTCCTATCAAGATCTCCTCCTATGTTTAGATGAAGACGACCTATCCCCTGATCTTGGGGTTACCAAAGACAGCCTTGGGAATGAAGGTACCATTATATCCTTAGTCTCTTAACACACCCTAAGTGATCTTGTATATTTCAACGATATCCCCTCTGACAGTCCAAACACTTATTTAGTACTTAGCTGATTGCACCACAAAGACTGCATTTTGAAGATACACAAATGAGTTAATCTTGTTGCCTTAATCCTTGGCATCAAAGGCTATCTCACCAGTTTATGAGCTTTATCCAGTACTAGTGAACACTTTGATTACGAAATCAGTTTCCTAGTATACGTAAGTGACCATATTGAAGTTTTACCACCAAGTAAAGGAATTCTTGGTTTTATTTAAAATAAAGGGAACATGGAACTCGTCTATCTTGCCACATTTCTAAAGAGTTGTATTCTTAATGTCCTGGTTGATACATCTAATCATGGTGCAATTTTGATCTGGAGTCTAAAAGAGGAAATAAACTCTGTCTCCTCGATCCAAGACCAATAAGTCAGCATAGACTACGTCTTTAGCTTCTGGTAGATCGACTCCTTTCACAAACACTTCCCACATAGAGTCCAAAGTCAAGTCCACATGTGAGTTGTTGGCCAATTGTTTATACATCAAGCTGGGTCCTGATGCTAATAAGTCGACCACTATTGATTTTGAGGGGTACACCATTTCATCTGGGAAAGGATCGTTTGATGTTCTGTAGATGTTAGTGTCGTTCTCAGGCAGGATTGTTAATTTCATGAGGACTGAACACATCTTACCACCGTTTTGTGGCCATGAATTAAGATTGAATTGAACTTGGGTTGGAGTAGGCTCCTTCTTGGAATACATTGTCAAATATCCCTTACTGAGTTCATATCTATAGGCCCTTTGTTGATTGATTCCCACCATATCAGGGTAATAGGGATTTACTAGAACTTATTCGAAATAGTCTTCATTCTTAAAAAGTAACATAGTCTCCTCAATGTGATATAAGTATGTTCCTTATTTTTAGACGATCACCAAAAACTGTTAACTCATCGACAATCTCAATTCTCCATACACTGCTGGATGAGGCAATTAGAATGTAAATTTTTGATTGAAGTTTTCATAAACAACTACCTTATTTTTATAAGCTAAAACCAAATGTTGAGTGTAAGATCCATCTGGATTACTAAGATAATTGAAATCAAAAGCATAGATCTATTCTTTAGAAGGATTCTCAAAATGTTGTCTTAATTGAAATTAATTAGCATTTGTCAATTTTAACACATATACACCATTAAAGGCATCTAAAACATATAATTCTCCATTTGGTTCAACTTGGAAATCAATTAGAGAGAATTTATCAACTGGTTCAGGTAATAAAGTTTTCAATATTGTAGTATTCAACATAGCCACATACTTTTAATCTTCTTCAGATTTTGGATTCAACAAGAAGACTTCAAGTTCACAATCTGTATCCAATTTATCTTATGTGTTGTTTTCTGTTGCCCAAGCAGGTTCTCCTCTAAATAAAAATGATTGAGCTGGTGCTGCAACCTGATCATATTCTGAACTCTTGGCTGTATAATTGAGAGTGGCAATCTTCCTGGCTTTTGTTTTATTGTAATTATGAGGATTGTCGTTGTTTTGTATATGCTTCTCCCCAGTCTTGAGATCAACAAAAATGAACCCATTAGCTATACCAGCCAATGCTGTTGTGCAATCCACAATGATGGTGGTTTCAGTGACAAAGTCAGCGTCAAAGCAAACCAAGGAATCACTCTTGTGGACAGTGATGAAATCAGAGAAATAAGGTGTTTACTGAGTGTTCATGGGATCACTACCGATGATATGAATAATTACTTGAGTGAATAATGAATGTCCACATCTGTTTCATTTTATTCCAAGAATATGAAATCATTCATCCAAGCTCTTGTTTCCTAGTTAACTCGAGGCTTTAGAGTGAGGATCGTACCAATATCTGAAGAATAATATAATATTTCAAATACCTTCATCTCCATGGTTAGTACCGAATCCCATTTACTAGATGGGCTCAGTTGTTCTCACATAGCCCATACCCCCCAAAGATATATTGAATTACAAGTCACTTCCCCTGAAAAAGTTTTTTCGCATGTCCCAAGATAATGACTCGTTCACTGTCCCAATAATTGTAAACTCTTGTACTAAAGATTCTTAACATAGCATAGATCATTACCGCATTCAGATGCCTTCCCAAGAAGAGCAAAAACAGCCGACAAAATCGTGACGCAAATTAATTATGTCATCGAATTATAATAATATATTTAAGAGCAAATCATTAAATGGCCTTATACGATCGTCTCCTCTTGCGGTGCTTATTTATACAAATATGGATTGCTACACAGACGATTATCCCAACCAACAGTATTCCCAAAACTACTATCAGCAATATAAAAAATAATGTCATATCTTAATCAGCTATCGGACATGATTACAAAGTTATATTAATTGCCATTTACACTTATTTATATGGATTCACAGCTATTAAGTTTACCGTATAATTTCTAAGCTCCTCCGAATTCCTCACCACTATCCTCGCTGCTGAATCAATTGTGTACAATTGCAAGATCCTATCCTCATAAGTACTTATTAGCAATTGATATTTCCCAATTTGATTCTTTCTAACGACAAAATTATATGAAAATCTCCCATCATATCCGACCTGCTTCAGACCTGCCTTACATATCCCTGCATTACTTCTTAAGTCCTCAGTCTCTTCAATATCATAGAGACAATAGTAATTCTTATTCTCATATCTATACAATTAAATTAGATAATGATCCAACACACCAATCGATCGCAACTTGACTATATTCCCCAGTTTCTAAAACACTTAAACAATTTATATCCTAAACACCCCCTTCTCATAATTCAAATTCATTTAATAACTTTCATTGATTTCATCCACCAAAATAAGGTTACAATTATTATTCCCTTCTTTGAAGATCTCCACTTTAATCAATCTATTCTCCTACGGCTCCACCAACTTCTGTTGAATAAATGGCAATAACATATATTGATACTGTTAAACACTCACCTCCTCCTTGGTCAAAGTCATTTTTAATGCTATGATACCAATTCGGAACTCAGCTAAAATCAAACAACCTTCATTTTCAGTGAGTTTCATCACATCAAATGATGTCACATTAAAGTTTTCATGAAAATAGTCCTTATTGATTATCAATTTAAATTATTGAACAGCAAACAGTTTGTCATCCAATTCCAAGGAGTAAAAATAAATAGAAGGATGTTCTGTCTAACCTTCTGTAAGTATAATTTGCACATTATTGAAATAGCGCATTTCTGTTATTATCTTTCTTTACTGGAATTCCATTTTCCCCATGACTTTACAATCCTATCGTTCTTATTCTTCCCAACAATAATAATACCATAATTCAGTCTGTCTTTCTATTTTATTTTCATACAAAACAACTAGAATCTGCTTAGTCAATAAAAACAACTTGCTGGCTACGTAACCTTGTTATTCACTTTGCAATTCAATTTCATTTGCAATATCTCCAGAATTATCAACAAATTGCAGATATTATTTTGTACCTGTCAATTCAGATAAAATTAACACATAATTTTGATCAAACTTCATTATTTCCTATATTGACTTGGTTTGTATTTACCTATTGGATTTTTAAAATTGATTCAACAAATAAATTTAACCTCCGTCATTGTCAGTTGTACACAAAATACACGATAATTTATACTAAATTCTCTATCCCTGAATCCAATTGTTGTCTATTTGAATAGACTGGACCTTCTCGCATTCCTCGAACCTCAAATTAATATTAGTCTTCACCCACTCCATTTCCAATTGCATATCCACCAATGTAATATCCTTATTGTATTCCCTCCTTAAATTATAATAATCATTCCATTCCTGTTACTATAACTTCAAAGTCGTTTAAAAGTGACTAGGATCAGTCACTTAATTGAAGTAGATTCTTGGCTATTTAAAATACAAGTAGCTATACACATTCCCCTTATAAATGAACTAAATGACCGTATCGTCCATCCCAGCAACGCAATAATTTAATTCACTCTCAAAATAGTCGAATGTGTCAATAACTGTCAATAGTGAATTCCTCTAATATTCATTTATTTAGTAAACCAATATTACAGTCGTCTATGTGTACACTGAATATGCAGTAACCATGATCAAATTCTTCAACGGATTGGAAGCCAATTAGAGTTTTTGAGGCAATTAATAGTAGTACAAGGGCAACCTCCGTAAGAGTGTTACTGAATTCAAATTGTGAATCAAATATTGCAAAATACCTTATTCAGTGACTGTCTTGTACACAATCACAAGTGTGGATCTGAAGATGGACAATAGAAGTTGAACATTCTGTTGATCTGTCACTTGGATTTGAGAGATGAAGTTGAATTCATTTACGTAATGTCCAATTATGATTATGTTATTACACTTGATGAATAATAGATTCTTATTGAAGGTATTACTGACATAGACCTTCTAAGCATTACTTAGATTTGATATAGTGTCAATCTATTGTTTCAAAGATAGAGAATAGATCTGTATCTCGTCCATCCCAGTGATGAGCACAAATACAAAATTTGCATTTATTGCAAAATCAGTGATTTGGGTTCTCTCGTCTTGCAATGAAGTCTTGATTTGAAATATCTGAACAATTTTCGAATCTCCAAGTTTATATATTGTGACCACATGGTTATTCTAAGTCTTAATGCCTATATAGGAGTCGTGCATCCCTACTTCTGTCCATTTAATGTTATCTTCGACCAATTTAATTAGTGGGAAGAATGTGCTCTTTTATGAGCACTTCTGTTCCAATTCATTCAATTCGCAGACATAGATGAAAGCACTCAGGTTCTCAGTTTACACTAAATATTGATTGAGACCTTAATTGTTATTGATAAGACTGAATATCACATTGTTCTAATCAAATTAGCTTATCCCTGTTATTGTTAAAGGGGACAATGATAGAAATTTAATATCTATCTTGTGCTTTTAATCTTTTAGTAAAGTTATCTATTGTTAAAGATTTGGTCCATTGGTAATCCTAGGCCATGTGTAATATTTTTATGGATATGGAGGATAATACACAATTCTACTTTTATAAAAGTTGGTTTAAAAGTTTGTATGTATTTTTGCATCCAATTTGTCATAGACCTATAACACTATATCTACATAACAATTAGCATTTTTGCTTTCAAATAGTTTGAAATATTTCTAATTATCTGATTTTTATATTTATTTTAGAACTGTCAATATGCCTGAACTGATCTCATAAAACTCTGCTTTATTTGAATGAAAAAATACATAAAGGTCAAAGCTTGGATTGGCAATGAAAACTCCTTTATAAATTTAAATTTTATCTACTAATTCCTTGTCATCAAAAATCATGAGTTCTTTATTAGAGTTGATCAAGTAATATTAAGGAGTTATTTGAACTCCACAGAGACCTAAAGTAAAGTCTTCTTTTTCAAATGTTCTCACAACATCATCATATCGACCATTTTTCAGAACTCTCATGCTCATTTGGTTTTTCTGTACAAATCCTAATACGATAATCTCATTGTTATTTCTGATTGAAAAACTGTAAAACTCTGTTATGTAGGACGATGAAGTCATCAATTTAGCATTTGTGAAATTACCTTTACCATCCAATACTAATGAAATTGGCCCCAGTCTATAATCCAAAACAAATAGTTTTTTTGCATAAATTTTAACATCAATAACAGAAAAATATTTCAGCTCATTCTGAAATAGCTCTGATAGTTTTTGTTTATCTAGGTAGTAGGGAGTTTCTTATATTTAGAATGAATCAATAATGAATACTTTGATGGTTGATTGTATGCTTACAACTTCTTCTTCATATGCTGGAATGTATATCAACAGATATGGAATTGTAGTTTTATAAATTGCCAAATTAATTCTACTCTTCTATTAAATAAATTTGGAATAAGCATGGAGAGTCGTACCATTTTTATTTATGATCTCTATTATCAAATTTTGATTATCATGACAGGCAACCACAAAATTATTTTCATCCAAATAATCAAAATCCGAACAAGGATGGTGAAGTGACAATTGTCCAAACTTCTCATCCTATATTATGTATATATGAAATCCCTAGGAGTCTTATCCCAGTAAACTATACTCATTCATCCAAAACTCTCCTTTTCTATATGATCTCGCCTTAATTATTTCTTAAATCTCTACAACTATGCTTTAATTTCATACAATAAGGAAAAGGTTTCTAATCATAAATATCGTTCGGCTATTACAATTTAAAGTACGTCCCATTCTAATCTCCCTCCAATCTGAACTTTGTCAACTCCCCCTCAATTAATTCATCCTTTATCTCCCAATACATATTTTCATATGTAGAAATACTGATTTCCAAATCGTTTTTCAATATATCTAAAATAATTATAATTTATTACTGCACGCATCTAAGTGTCTAAGGAATATAGAAATTAATAATAACATTATTAATTATTAATTCTAAAACATTTGAAGATTACTCAATTCTTTTTCATCATTTTTGTTGACCCCAGCTTCGATTAAAGTTTATTAATAGTTAATTGAATTAATAAAAGTCTCTTGTCTAGATGGTGTTTCTATATTATTATTTTAAAAACAAGAGTTTTAATCTAAGTAGATAGATTGAAGTTTAGGATTTAAACAAACTGCATTATACCAAATTCTCTATTAAGGCTAAGCTCGAACAATAAAAGATATGATATAAGAGTAATTATAGATTTAAAAAGATGTCTTTGAAATATAAGTATTTATTTTAAGAAATTTTAAATAAGATTATTGGAAATTGGGAAAATGGCATTGGATTAAGGACATTAGTAATATATTAACAATAACTAAAAAATTAAGGATCTTTCAAGAAACCAAATAATAGATAATATAAAATATATAACTTTATGTACATAATCATAATTTCACTTAAATACATCATTTATTACTTCCAATAAATATTTTATTTTTAATGGTCTTCAGATTTATTCTATCTGAAGTACATGAAAAAGTATATTAAGTGATGAGAATGAGTGAAATCAACTATTAATTTAATTCACTAAAAGAAAGATATAAATAAGACAATTTGGATTCAAATAATAAATTTATGGTTCTCATAGATACTTGCTGCATAAGAAAATCTGGCTACTGAAAAATACTATATTTCTGTTAAAACACAAGAAGCTATGACCTTATCGATAGATACATAATGAAGCACTTAATTATGTAAAAAGGTTTCTTATTATGAAAGTTAGTATATAGATAGCTGAAATTGTATGTTAGACAGGTTCACTAGTCTTGGGAGGCAAGGGCATTAATGATCAAAGAAGTGATTTTTGAAGCCATAGTTGAAATTATAAAAAATTAATATTGCAAGATGAGTCTCTGATGTCACATTATATATAGAAAAATTAAACATATTGTTCATTAATTATTATTTTATGATATTAGTGCATATGTACTTATTGGCATTGATGCCAGTGATGGTTCTATCTACTTGCAGTATGTATTCGTTTGTATTTTAGATATAATCTAATAATAAGATCACGTCTATCCCACTGTAAAGGAATATTACAAGTGGGAAATCAGAAATTTTATTCAAGGTGATAATTTGATTTATCAATTGGACTCTCCTACTAGTCTGTTCCAACTTGAATAGCCTTTACATAGGATCAGCGAGGCAAACCATTTGGCTCGTAATTAGATTATTAATACTTTTAGCTCACATCGAAATGATCGCTATTCGAGCCTTTGATATTCCTGAAACTGGTGCTTGGACAAACGATTTTGCCTTTATGGGTCAAGATTCTTCAGACGACACTTGGTGGATATATTATTCAGAGGGGTAATGAAATTATCTCATTATAGAAAATAAATCTAGATGAATTTAGCTCCTTAATTTTCAAATGAACTTAACTTCTTATAAAACAACCCTCTTATGAAATGTTTGGATCTTGAGTATATTGATAGGAACACATTTTTAGTTGATTGCATCGAGCGTGGTGACGATACCAATTTAGGCAAGAATTACATATATATTGTTAAAAAGGGTGATCCTCCCGTCATCACATCTTATCATTGGAACTCTAGAAAATATAAAACTGTTAACGATAGAAAGGTATAGTATCATGTTTACAATGCTCAAAATATTGGTGAGGGTGGTGTTTCTGACGAAGTGCCTCTTAGGATCTTATTGAGAGGTCAATATGCTTATGGTACTCCTGGCAGTAGCATAACTAACCTTGATGGTGATTGCATGATAGAGTTGCTAACAAATAACGATTAGAATGAATTTGTAGAAACTAATCAGATTCTGGATAGAAATCTATTGATAAAGGATTTACAGATAAAAGCAGAGGATTAGGAGAACTTTAAATTCAAGATGATAGATTTTAAAATAATGCCTAATGGTGATATTTATGTGTTGGATGCCTAGAATGGTATTTACATTTATTTTGTCACTTCAAGATCTGAGTTCAAATTCAAGAGAAAGATTGAAATCGGAGCAGATTTAGCTTATGCATTTGACGTCAATAATAAGATTGACTTAGAGGGCAATAATCATGTTCACATTGCTGTAGTTCATCAGAAATCAGTTGTAGAATATATTGATGGATAACAAACAGGAGGGTGGTTGGATGCATTTGATGCTAAACATCCTGCATTCATATTTGCAAGTCAACAATTCTTGATAGTCAATCCAGGAGGAAATACTTTCTACATTTATAATTCAGATCATCAATACTTAATTCATACAGAAGTTTTGCTCACTAAAATATACTTGGCAAATCCATATGAGCCAGATCTCATAGCTATCACAAATTCATTTGCTTACAGATACGAAGTGGGATATGCAAGATTAGCAGTTCACTCTTATGATGCTACACTTGGAGATAATGAAGTTGAATTTTCAGCAACTGCAACAGACAAGAAATGTTCAGCATCACTCAAATATCAAATAATTAAAGAAGGTGACACAACTATTTATCCAGTTGATCATGATCCATTCCCATAAGTAATGTAATATCCTTCAGATCCCATCTTCGTGTAGGAATTGGCAGCTGGACCAAACTTGATATATAACAATGGAGATGATTCACAAAAAGATCATGTTATTGTAGACATTCACACAGTTTGGGAACTCAATGTTACTGGATTGACTTTTCCAACTGTTACCGATGTGGCATATGCTGATGTACTCATAGATCCTCATTGGTCTGGTGCCCATAAATTTTGGTTCCTTTATTAATTGTAATCAACAAAATAGATTGAAATCTTTGAATGCACGACCAAAACCTAGTTATCAAGAGATGTTCATTGTGAAGAACACGCCAAATTTAAAATTCCAAATATCTTAAATCCAAGTACTTCTCAATTTGATTGGGATGCAGAAGAAGGTGACGTATTGACACTTTAATTCATCGAAAATGATTATTAAATCTCCATCTACGAAAGTACTCATGATTAATCAGGTCCCTTATTTAAAATAGATTATGAACAAACAACTGACAATAAGATTACGTCATTCACTGTTTTGAGAAAAGCCATTTATGTAGTGTTACCAAACAAAAAAGAAGTTGATGCTTGGTTTGGCTTCTTCCCCACACCAACATAGCATATCATTTCCAGTAAAACAATACTAATGCAGGGAAGTGAAAGAGTATTCGAACCTAAGAGAGTGTTTGGTAATCCTGCTCTGAAGAGTGAATTTGTATTGATTCAATCAAAAGATTGCATTTTCTTTGGAGACATGAGAAATACCTTCACCTTAATTTATGTGTTTGACATCATCCCTGGTGCCGATGTTAGAGCCTACTTGGGAACAAAAACCATCTTTATAGTTCAAAAGAGTGATACCCTTGGATTCAAGATATAGGAGTACAATTATGAGAAATTGAACAACATCTACCTGATGAAGGAGTTGCCACTCTACGACTACGTTATCCAAAGTCCATTGACTACTGATTATTGTTATTAAACTGGATTCTTGTTTGTACGTGCCTTAGACCCATCTTCATAAGAAACTGTGATTCTAGTCTATGAATCAAATGTCCTCTATCAGTTGTCATTACACAAAGTCGTTAAGACTCACTTGAAAATCAATGATGGTTAAGTTATGAATATGGCTGCTGCTGGACATGACTAAATGTACATGTATGTCAACAATCAACAAAACATCTAAAAGATGATTGGGTTTTTGAGAGATGCCATTGCAATTTTGTAACCATCTCATCTAACCAATCAATATGTTACCAATTTGATGGCTACAGTCAATATCACGAATCAAGTGGTTACCAAACCGTATTAGATTTCATACCCCATCAAATATGTGAATACTCAAACTTACATCAAAGTTGATTAAGAGGAGTTGTCAAAACAAAAGGATTCATTTGTATTCCTCAATTAAGCTGCCGATCAATTTTTAGAAATTAAAACAACTGGATGGTAATCTGGATAAGTAATCAAGTACGATGCTGAATGCAATTCATGTGGATCACAATAGATCAAAATGCTTAATCCAGTTTATAATCTTACAACTGGACAATAATATCAATAACGCTTTATCGATGGAGTTGCTATAGGTACTTCAATGATCTTTTTGACAAGTGATTCCTTAATCCTCCAAGATGAGACAGGTAAATATGTAGGCACACACAAATTACCTCTAGGAATTGGGGCTGATTGCAAATCTATTACAGCAACTGATAATGGTAAAGCAGTATTGTGTGGATGTGAAGAAAGAGGAGCTGTCAATATCTATCTAGTTTTTTGTGATGGAAAGACATTCACATCTGCTACACCAACAGTGCAATAGGTTGGTTAGAATGCAAAATACCCATCTAAATTATTGTACAAGGATGGCATACTTTTTATTTTGGACAATAACAACAACGATCCAACATAATATGATGGTAGTGTCAGAGTTCATAAAGTCAATATAAATGAAGCAGACAAGTCTTGGACTTTTGAAACTGGAAAAGTCATCAATTCTTAATTCTTAAGCACTGAACCTACTGTACCTTTTCAACCAGCAGATTTTGATGTTATCAAATATGAAGTTGGCAATGTACATTATTTCAAGTTATTGTTATCCAGTGCCTTATATAGAGTTTGGTTTGTTGATCTCTATTTTGATAATGGAACCATTAAATTCGGATAACATGATAAATTTGATCTTTTTGGATTAATCGACAAAAACTTTGCAATCAAAAGTCACACTCGTTTCTACTAAATCAGAGCAATTAAATCAACCAAAAAGGATAAGTCACTCTTAACCACTGCTTTGATATCTACTAATATCATGGCCACGTATGCTGTCACCTTCACATATGACATCACAGACCCTGTCAAAGGAGCACCTGTCTCATCAGATGCCACTGTTCCCTTTTTGCTTGCCAATTACGGAACTTGGAGACAAATGAACAAACTTACACTCTTTGAAGATCACGTCGCCATTGCTTATACCAATCAATAAAGCATTATGGTTGCCGTCTATTTGTTACCAACCATTGATCATAATGCCATATAAGATAGTTAAACTAAAGTTGTCACGCTGATAGGAGGTGAAGAAGACTAATAAATGTTGCAAATCTCTACTTATTTTGTTATGACTCTCTCCAAAGATGCTACATTAACAAGAGTAATATTATTATCTAAATTAGCCTGTACTTCATACCAATCTTCTTTTTAATGATGCAACATTTGAAAATATGCTCATCAAATACGGAGTCACTGATTATCCAAGATTATTCATTTAAAAGGGAGATCAGGTAGAAGCATAAAATGTTTACATCACTGCCAGAAATGATTATGGATCAGCACAAGCTGTCATTCATTTAACCAAGAAAAATCCACCCGGGCCAGACCCTCCTGGTCCTGAACCAGATAATGATTCGTAATTATAACTTATATATTCCCCTTAGTAAAGGAAGTAGCAATTGGTGGTGGATTACATTGATAGTTATCTTTGGAGTTGCTATTCTTGGTGTTGGCGGATATTTTATCTATACCAAATTCTTTCAAAATAGAAAAACTGCATTACAAGTTTAAGCCTATTGATTTATCATAATAATAATTTAAATTTTAAATTACATGGCACTCTTTGGTTACTTATTTGGATAATGGCGAAAATTTTGGAATTTTCCATTAATGAAAATACATCAAGATTGCAACTTCTCCTTGTCTTTGCAAGTCTTGCAAGAAACTTATGGAGTTTGAAAGACAGAAATTGTAATAGAATGGTTTCTAAATTTAACATCAAAACTTGAATTTATTAAAAATTAAGATATTATAAATCATATAAATTAAATTAATAAAAATAAATACAACCAGAGTGATCATTTGAGTGCTCTTTTCGTTTACCTAACTCTGCAAAAGGAAACCGAATATTCAATATAATCTAATGATAATCAACGTAAATAATTAATATAATTTCAGATGTTTGTAAGTAATGGGCATCTTGTCTCAATACTCCAATAATAGCTTGATAAATTATTGCCTATTAACTCATTTGAATCATTATATAGATCATTCTCATTTTATTCTTGTTAATTAGGTTAGATTTAACTACCTTAGGACAGATCATTATCACTAGAGTATTGTGGCCTTTCATCTTAATCCAAAGGTTTTATTCTAAAGTATAGGTTAGGTTATTTTAAATATTTCTACTTAATATAGGAGTAGAAGCGATTTTTAACCATGTTTTCCTAAGAATGTAGAATTATATCATACCGATCTTCCTGGCATACTTACAGAAATTTTACTCCATTAAGTTCCCTACTTTAGATATTCCTAGAATATCTTTTCATCCTCTTAATCCGTCATTGGTCCGTGATTAAGATTTGGATCAAGAAAATTTTTGTACCTCCTTCTGACTTATTTGCCTGTTTTGTTTTGGATTTGCTTAGCTATTGCATTCCAATAAGGGCCAATCTATTTGAAAATTCGTAGCAAGGCTTAATCCTCAGTTTAAGTCCATCGTTTGCCCTTATTTTGGCGAATTCCCTTGTGCTATTACAGCCTTTTCCACCTTTGGCAACATTGAGAGGCATTTCTTTCTTCCATCTTCTGTGCCACCATAAGCCATCGATGACCAAATAATGACATATTAGCAATTAACTTTCTATCTTCTTCTGGGGTCCATTTAGATCGTATGATGATACCCGTTTCCATTATTCCTAGATTCTTTTTATCACACATACCTTTGTGCTTAACTATTTGTTTTCTACTTTTACTTGAATGGCTCATCTGTGATATTGTAAAGAAGATTTAATTTATTTGAGTTCTATCTATTTTATTTTGATGAAATATCCAGTTGTTTAAAATAAGATATATAGAACAATATGAAAAATATTTGGATAATTATTCACGTTGAGTATTGCTTATATGTGCTGATTAATTTTTCTATTTTGAAAACTATGAATTTGTTTTAAACTATAGTTAATTTCTTATTCCTATAATCACACTTAAAAATCTGGTTCTGAAATTCTTATAATTCCATTCTTACTTATATTCAAACTATTTATTGGAAAACACTCTGACTCTTCATAAATAAAAGATTACTTAAGACAGTTTTATGTTAAGATAGCCATGGGATGAGAAGGGAGGAGGCTCATTTTTTTAATCATCTTTAAGTATGGAATTTTGTTAAACTAAATAACAATATTTTTTTCCTCCATTTTTAAAACAACACTTAACACACTCTAAATTAAATAATTAAATTCCTATTTAATAAAAATTAATATAAATAGTATTATAATTAATTAAAATGATTTAAAAACATAATCCTTCTTCCGTCTTTATTTCTTGAATAAGTTAATCTGTGATAAATAATTAACTGAATTTTCTTGTTGAAAAATTTATTTGATAGCTAACCATAAAATTATCTCTTTAATCAAAAATGGATAAAATTATTACACTAACTATTTTCACTTTAAACTCATAACAATCTTAATGCAAATTTTTTCATGATATTTTTTCCAAAGAAAAAAATACAAAAATGAAACAGTCTTCAATTGATATTATGATTTAGTATTAATTCTAATAGTTAGAATTTTTGCTTAGTTTGATAATGAATATGTTTCAACATTCAATTTTAAAAAATTAAGATAATTATATTATTCAAACATTTTTCTTTGTCACTAGAGTTTTTCATTTTTCAGTTATAAATACAGAATTTTACGATCAATATTTAATATTTAAGAAATAGGTAAGGCTTATATTTACATTAAAGAAGTAAATAAAATAAAAATTTTTTTTAATAAACATTAATTTTGATTACCTAGTATCGTATACTCAAATTCTATTCCTTATATTGTAATCTAATATATTGAAAGATTATTTGTGTATTAATATTATTCATAAAAAATTAATAACAATGAAATAAAATCATAACTTGATTACTGATAAAATTTGATTTTGGTAATGTAAACTTAATAAAAAAGACAGAGTAAAGGAAATAAGGAAAATAAGTTTATCCAATTTTCCAGATTTTGGTTTAATATTTGCTCTTTCAATCAAACTACTATTAAACTTTTAAACGTCTTGCTATCATATTAAAGAAAACAAATACTAATTCCTGTTCCTTCTTAGTGACTTCCTGTTGTAGCACTTCAAACTTATTGCAAAAATATTCGGCTTCCATTTTGGCCTTGTCAGCAGTAGGAATAGCAATGACTCTTGTAGGTTCTACCTATCCAAATTACTTATTAACTGATTAGAACATCTGACTTTAATTTCCTTGACTTTGAGCAATTATCTTTCTATCCTTGGTGAGAATAGCAATATTAATTCTTTGTTTTTCAAATCTTCTCGTTCTATCTAAGAATATGGGTCCAGCATCTTGAATTCCTTGAGGCATGATGGTTGTAATCAATTACAATTTTTCATTAAACTCTTTGATTGAGCTATTTTCAAGGACTTTGCTATGAAGTATAATATTGACTAATTGACTCTATCTAGGTGAAACAATTCCCAAAGGTGGCTTGACCAAGAAAATGTTGAGATTCGTAGCTTTGAACTAATGAGCATGCTCAGATAATAATATACTTTATAGGCTATGGGATACTGAGTGTCATTGTATAAAGTGATTGAGGAGTGCATATTGTCTAACTTACTATATTCAAAGTCGATTTGAGGTGTACTCAATCTTAGCGTGTCCATTTTATAAATAATTAATTAAATTATTTCACAAATACAACAGTAATTTATGGATCTAAGAATATCATTAGAGGGAATTAAGAAGAATTTCTGATTATATCCCACAAATGAGTTTAGAATTGCACCCATAATTAATTAAATATAAGTGTATTAATGATTTCAAAAGATTGTACAATATTAGAATAATTCGTCTGAAAATTTGATTGATGATTCTCCAATTAAAATCTGTTAGTTATAGAGGATTTTATAAACTGAGGAAATTAGTTAATCTGTCTGTCAAGACACCCTTCTATCTTTTATACAATTATGTTTATTATTATAAATAATTAAATTATTTCCTTGTAATTATAAACTTCAGGTTTTGACTAACAAACTGGGGATTTGATCTATGTTAGCATATGAATAGATGTGTTGCACATATGGCCCCTTTACGAAAATATCAGAATCAGTCAAATCCTCAGTTTACCATTTGATTAGAGGATGATCAATAACAGGGATTGAATAATGGTAGGTCTGAAATAGTTTGGTTTCTTTGGTTGAGATGGATATTGTATAGGTCTTATTTGGTAACAGTTTAATTGGATGTCTGAATTCAATAAAATATAAATGTCCGTCAACCACTTATAATTTATCATGTTCTAAAACTTTGTGTTATTTGAAGATATAATTAGTTAGATTGGTATCTTCATGCAATTTGAATATCAATTTTGGAGTTTTGGCTTATGAATCATAATTGGTTGAATTATAACTTCCTTTATAGAGCATAGGTTAGAAGATTCCTATTAAATACAACTATTTCTCTCTAACTTGGAATACATTGGCTCTGATGGTAGTCTTATCATAGATACTTGGCTTACTTTATCCATCATCAGCTATTTAAGCGATTAATGAAATAAATTACATATCCAAACTTTTTTTAGTCTTTCCACTCTCTCAGTTTTTGTGTAAAATGTGCTATTGACACAATCTAATTGATCAATCACTGACTTTTGAAGGTGGGGTATTTTGTCTTGTAAGTAGGAAGTGAGTTGTATCAATTATTGTTTGCTCTCTTTTTCTTTTAGATTTATTTGATTATTTTAAATGTTTTATTGCTGATTGATCAAGAATAATCTCAACTCTTTAATGTCCTATTCATTAAATTAGTTCACACTCTGAAGAAACTTGTACCCTTAGTCATTGATCTTTTGGTCATTCACTAACTTCAATATTAGCTATCTTAATTCATCTTCCAGTTGATTCAACTTATCCTCGACGGCATGCTTGAAACTTTTAAATACATTATAAGCTTCCAATCCTTGTTTGTCCTATATTATCTCATTGACATTGGAGTGACGTTTAAGTAACTTGTCAATCTATTTCATATAAATAATTTGAGTGGAATGAGTTAGATGGAACTTAATACAATTTTGGCAAAAGTATTAATCTTCCTTGCACTCTTGATTAAGACAGATATTGGAAATGGGTGCTTGAGGATGCTTTGGACATTTAATTTTCTGAAATTATTCAATAAAATTCATTAATTTTAATTATTGAAGAATTATTCCTGTATGCACAAATCTGATTCTTGCATATCAATTTACGAGCTTTCCATTATTTTCCAATTCGGAATACTGAAATACTTCCCTGAATACAAATTCTTGTTTATTAATGACAAGTCCTTAAACCATTATTCCTTTCTCGAATTGTACCTCCATCCTCTCGCATATCTAAATACATAATGAATGCTTACAAATTTTCTACAGCATATAACTACTATTCCTCATCCATCACATTATAAAAGATGTAGAAATTGGTTTCCTCTGAAAACTAACTAAACATCTCCTTCTTCCTATTCACATTATTCTAACGAGGCATTAACTTTTGCTTAATCCAATCATGAGGCTTTGAAAGAGGGTCTGGTTGAGTGGCATTGTCATCAATAAAAGGGGAAATAATCTTTGTAGGTTGTCCAGGCAATCTAATTCGATTTAATCATACTTATTATCTTAAACAGACATCCCCAACTCATCTAAATTCATCCCATTCCACAACTTAAAAATTGCCTTATCCTTATCCTTCTCCTTCTCCGATACATACTTCTGAAGGGCAGCAAAACTATACTTTTATCTAAATTCTTCGTCCATATTAATACCAAAAAAAAATATTATTTTAAATTACTACATGATAAAAAGTTGAAATTAGAGAAATACTGCCTCATATATATAATCAAAAATATGAAAAGTATTGAAATTGATTAATCTATCAAAAATTGAAAACATTGATATCCTATCATGCTTATTCATACACCATTTTAACTATGACAGTCGGAGGGATCTTATCTTCAGAGATTAATTACTATAAGGTGTCCCTGGAGATTACTTATGGCCTGTGAATTTAACTAACAATATCCATTAAGATTTAATCACTCAAGACATGGTCCTTTCCATCTATTCTCTATGCCAACAGTCTTAACAATCCTTGGATCTCAGTAAATGGAATTTCACTTCTTTCTGATCCCATGAAGAAATCATATGTGAACTTTATATACTCTTCAAATGTCCCTTCCTAAAATACAATCAATTTATAAAAATGTTTAAAAGAAGTGAATGTCATCATGTCGTTTTTGCAAAATGCCCACACCACTCTTTCCACAATCTCATCCTCCTTTCTTATCAAATCCCAAAACACTTGACAATAAGTTAAAAATGTATCCTTTCTAATTGCAATATCATCCTAAACCTTCTCCACTTCTGAAACATCCAATAACACCTAATTAGATTTACCAAAATCTATTGGGTCACTTGAATTGCTCTATCTTGAATTCTTAACCAAGAATTGAGGGGATATTTAAGAACTGGGAGTAGGTTAAGTATTTGTCTGCTGCAATTTCTTCTTATGAAAATCTTAGATGCTCTAATAATGACTTATTGATGAGATGGTACCAAATTATTATAACCTCAACTCAGGCCTTTGAATATCAACATAAACCACTAATCTGTCATAATTAATTAATAAATTCCACTCTTTAACCAGATCCAACTCTTTAGTCGTATTATTTTTTATCATTCTTATCAAACTATCCCTATATAAATATTTGGGATTGCCTTTTTATCTCTCAAAAACGGTGTTCTTATCATAATCCAAATAGGTTCGTAATCTTGGCCCAAACCCTTTTAAATTTTCATTCAGCAACACTGCATTTTAAGCATTCTATTCCATTTCTTATGACAGAGCCTCATCATCATTCCTTGAAGATTTAAATAATTTAGGCTAAGACAGAAAGGGTGATTTCCAAGATTCCTATAAAGGATTTCTTTCATTAATAACTTAAACCTTCTTTTCCAATTTCTTTAACTCCTTACTTCGATATTCACTCTACTAAAGAGGATGAAGACCTTTCAAAGCCTTCTCAAATAGTAAAGTCGGTTTAGATGGCAATTACTTATAATGTTTCAAGAGATCATTTCTTGAAAAGTCAGAATTTACTATACTCTACTAAGCCTCATCATGCAAGGGAATAACCAAATCAATTAATTGCTTTTGGAAATTTCTCTTCTCTACAATCCTTTCTAATTTTCTTTCATCATTAAATTTTGATCTCAATGGAGAACTTAATAATTATTTCTGTTGGTTTGGAATTTTTAATTTTGGTAAGACTGGTCTCAAGTTGTTGTTATTTGTGTGCATAAAAATGAGAAAGAGCAATCTATTTTGATTATTAATTTATATAACTTGGATGATAAAAAAGAAACATAAAAAAAAGTCAGAAATAATTTAATATGTCTGTGTTTATGATGGACATGTACCAATTGGTTTATGTATGTCGAATCAATGTCAATATAGAGGGTTTATATGTTTCCTGTGTTTTTACTTGAGACATTCAAATCATTTTAATAATACATCTACTTTTGGCTTGATATAAGCTAAAGTAAAACTTGTAATAAGATTAATTCAAGAGATAGCCTTTTAATTTAGTCTTGGAGGTAGAGAGGATTACTCTGAACATCTAGACAATTTCTTTTAAAATTTTTGGCTATTAGAACTGAATTTGAAGGAATACAAATCAAGAAAGTTGTAGAAAGAAATAGTTTTACTATAAAGCATACCAAAATTAAGATAGATAAAAAAATAGGTATCCCTGCGTAATGAATATCATGAATACTATTTTAATTAAATAAAGCAGCTTTTGTTTGTACATTCGAAGATTTCAAGAAATCAAATCTAGTAAGGTAGTTTATCAATTTAACTAATGATTAAATTTTTACTCTTTTGTGCATTAATGGTTATCATACTTAAGTTTGTACTAATAAATGAAGAAAATGATGTGTGAAAACTATGAATTATATATATCATTATAGGGAGGTCCATCTACTTAAAGCCTATTTACTATTTTGATAATTAACAAGTTATTTATATTTCTATAGTATTATAAAACCAATATCATATTTGTAATTAATTATATATTTATTTTGAGAGATGATTTATATCTAACTTTTTCTGGGGATTATGTAATTTATCCCTGTTATGAAGGCATGTTCACTTGTAGAGGGGAATTTTCTCAATTTGTATGGAGTTGAAAATGAAATAATTTATTATGATATTCGAGAATTCTTTAGCTTAGAGCAAGAAAATTTTCTTTCGTTAGAACCATAAGAAATAGTTAAGAACATTAAGATTATTAATACAATCGAATAAGAATATGAAATTCCATTGCAATTAGAGAGTCATCCTAGGGACATCAGGTTAGGGAATAAGTTTAACCAAAATTTAGAGAGTACCATTATAATCATAGATGAGGAGGATTAATTTTATGAATATTCCTTAATCTCTTAATAGCTTGTCAAATTTTAAATTCCTGATTATCATTTAAACCATTTAGATTTGGTTGATGGGATCTTATTGAATGTTTATGATAAAAAATATATAATCATAGATGAAAGCACTATTGCATAGACTTACCTTATGTTGTTCGAAGAAGTATTTTACAACCAATTTGAAATAAAATAATAAGCTGAATATGTTGTGGCATTTCAATAAAATGGTGAGAATAATAAACTATTTGGAGTAGGAAACACAATTTATAGAATAAATTATAACTAAATTCAAATATATCAAATTGAATAAGATAAATTAAATTTGAAGGGATTTATAAAGAAATCTTAAAATAACCACGAATGTGGTCCCCTTTCAAATATTATCAAAGCTAAAATTCATTAAAACAGCATTAGTTTTATTGATTCTAATACTCTGGTAATAGTTCAATTGATAGGTAATATCAATGATGAAATTAATTAAAAATGTATTAAATTCAATGAGGAAATCTACAATTATGACTATTATGAATTTCTGGATGAATACGTTGTTGTTACTCACAATCAATTAGTGTTTGGAAATTAAAGAAGAGACTTGAATATTCAAGCTGCTAAACACACAACAAATGTTTTTCTTACATAGAATAACATTTTGTTTGTTTTAAGTTCCAATATAGAACTTTATTCTAAAGAACTAAAATTTTTGGATGTAATTCTAAATTAAAATTAATTTGTGATTGAAGTGATACCTGAAACTGATCAATTTATCTCGATCGACAAGAGCAATGCCAAATTATTCCATTTGATTCAATCTCCTATGATTAGGATAAATAAATAAAATGAGGATATAGATTTTTAATTAAACCAAATAACAGAGCAAGATGAATGCACTCTGAATGTACACTTTTCCGTTCAGTAGATAAATTACAATAATCTCTTTGAAAAATTAAAAAATTAAAAGCTTGTCCCTTCAACAGCCTGGAAGCTCTATGATTGCAATTAAAAGTAGAATTAGATCTCTACCTTAGAGTAATTAATTAAAGAAAATAAGGCGAAACTGATAGTAGAATTACCTTCATTATCTTAGAAGGAATACATATTAATCAGAGAGGATCAAAATGAATTTACATTGATAGTACAATAACAAAAAGTGAATAGTTATGAATAATATTAGTTCAAATTAGAAATCCAAGACATTGAAAAATCTGATAATTAACTGTGGTGGGTTCTGGATGATGAAGTTTACTTTACTTTTCATTTAATAGACAGATGCTATATATTTAGATTAGATTATGGAATCGAAAACCTAATGTTTCACAAAGAGATAACATTGAATTATAAACTATTGAAGGTTGTATCTAGTGGAAACTACCTCTTTATTCTTGGAGAGTAGAAAGCAAATATCAATGTGCTCCTTTATTCTTCCATATCAGATGTCTAACAGGAACAAAAAAAAATACAACTCCCCACCATCAAAGATATCTTCGCGTCACCATTGTAGAAGGATTACTTAATAATAAAAATGGAGAAATAATTGGTAGTATACCATCTGCTGATTGTACCATAACAAATATTCAAAGAAATTGTGAAACCTTCAGAAACAAATGTTATCATTTTTAAGAAATATTTTGTTGTTTTGATGAAATCAAGTGATGAGAAAGAGAAGATTTGTGAAGTTTATTTTTTCAAAAGTACATAAAAAATAGAAAAACTTGGAAGAAGTCCAATGGAACAATTTTCTTAGATTTAAATATAAGATACCCTTGTTTAAACTAGTTAAAATGTCTTTTACTTAAAATGTTAAGTAAAACTTGAAAAAATAAAGAGAAACGCTCTTGTTGCATTCAAAGTTGGTAAATCCATTTATAACTCTTTGATGTTTATTTTATTAAGGAATAAGAATAGTGAGTATTAAGTCATTTCAGATCTTCTGTTAAAATAAAATAGTGATTAATTAATGCCCATGATCTCAATAAGAAATAATGAAATGTGTCTAATATAGGAGGATGATGAAAAAATTATAGATTTTGAACCATTGAAAGATGAAGATCTAAATTTGGTTGATGGGGATGATCGACCACCAATTGTTGATAATAGTGGTGACATAGATCAAGATAATAGAGACGATCAAAATGATGATGACAATACACTTGATTTAGAAAGTGATGAAGACTTACCAATAGGTTCCTTTTTGGTGATGAGCACAATTGAAGAGGCTTTGATCTACTCACTTTTCAGGACTTTTGGTAGAAGAAGAGTTGAGACTATTGATATTGTGTGAATGATTGATTGTAAAACTATTTTTGATTGTTTGAGAACACACAAACTAATATTTTATTTTGAAAATGGTTTTAAATTAATATATTATAATACTTGTAATGTCAAAAAAGTCTTAAATTTTTGAATTTAAGGATGACATTAATGGAAGAGTGCCAGTCGTATTCTAATGGAGTTTCGACTTCAATTTCTTGGTTTGTGGAGGAGACAAATCTCTAGTTTACGTGATTGATAAGTAAATATCATAATTAAATTAGACGAGGGAAGCGTCTAAAGGATATTCAATTGCCAACAAATAATAAATTATTGTAATTGGAATGGGACAAAGATGGTGAATACATTTGCATTGTGCAGGTATGAAACGATCAAAATTTAAAAGGATGGTCTCAATTATGTTAATTTATGGGCTCCATTTACAAGCAATTCCCAACTGCTCCAAATAGAGTTAGATAATGTGAAAGCAAAAGTGTCATATGCTAAGTGGTCTAAAAGTCATGGGATATTGGCAATAGGATCGGATAAGGGTGGTTTATTGTTCTATACAAAAAAACAAGCAAAGAAATTACCTACTATGGGAAAGCACAGCAAGAAAATTATTAGTGGGGATTGGAATAACGAGGGATATTTAAGTATGCATTTACAAAAGTATCAATCTAGTAACAAGTGGAGAAGACAAATTCTTAACAGTTTCAAATTACAATTCAGAAACTATGTTTGAATCTATTCCTGTGAAAGCTGAAGCCAAAAATGTAATTTGGTCTAGAACTAAAACAGATTCAAGGGAATAGAATCAAAGAACAGTCACAGCTATTATTCAATAAAAAACTATCATAATGTTTGAATTAGGCAAGAATCATAAAATGCCTGATGAATTAATGTTTGAAAATAAATATGGGAAAATAGTAGATTATACAATCTTTGGAGATGGATATTTGGTCATTGGGTTTAGTGAAGGATACGTTGCACATATTTCTACACACAGAAAAGAAATTAGTAATTCTTCTTTCTATTTCATTAGAGGATGAAGTACAAAGTGAGAAACTATTGAAGTAAGTGGATGCTATGTGTACAAATGACAGTCTCTATAAATTGGCTGTGGCAGGAGATGGCTGCATCAAAATGGTCAACCTACAAACATGGCAAGAAGCACCCACAGAGAAAATTGAATTGCCTAATGATTGTGGTCGTGTATCCAAAATGTAATCTATGTATACATATTCAGGGTTTGGAGTTCAAATGGATAAATCTTGGTTGTGTCTACTGAGAAAGGGTGTTTATTTGGATTCTAAACTTCAATACCAACCTTAACTTCTTCTTATTCATCAATGATTGCCTTGCAATAATCATTCACTGAAATCTCTATCTATTCAACTCAGGAGTAATCATTAAATGAAATTTCTACTGTCTCTTTGGAGAATGAACCAAATTAGATTTCAATGAGTATGCAATACTTTGCTGCTGGACTCAATAATATGGTTTTCTATTATAAATATTTGGAATTAAAGAATAAAAAGGCATTCAAACCAGCACTTCAAGTTCTGAAAATGGATTATCTAGGATATGTCAATCAGATCATCTTGAATGATGAATCTGCTGCCATCTTAAGCAATAATGTTTGCACTTTTCATAAAATTGAGTAGACAGGCGATTATCTTAAATAGTAATCTATTCCATTTATATAGATAATTCCCTGACAATGATTAAGAAAAACCTATCTTACACATTGGATTAACTAAAAATTTTCTATTTTTATTAGATTCCTAATCCAAAATCAGAGTCTATAATGTTATTGAAAAGCAATTCATTATTGAATTCAAAAATGACTATAATCTCACAAAAATCTTCCCAAATATTAGTGGAACAAGATCAATTTGCATTAATAATAAGGGTTAAGGCTTTCTATTTGAAGCTTCCCTTGAATAATTGACTAAGATCTCTGAGTTCCCAGAAAAAACTGAAAAAATCATTTGGGATCAAAGGGATCCCAATTTGTTTGTGACATAGGAAGCTAATCATCTTACTACCTACATAGTTAATAAAAATAATTTATAATAAGAAATGGTGCATCCAGTTTTGGAGTATTTGTCTATGGAGGACTTACAAAAGACAGCTCCTCCAAACCCATCAGTCACTGAAATTGATAAAGGAGTTCAAGCCCTAAGTTTAGCAAATGGCACACTAAAATGTTTCACCATGACAAGAAACGTTATGGGTTAACCATTAATGAGTCATTCTTATTTGAAGTCATACAAAGGAGCAGATGACACAAATGAAGGTCATTTCAGATACTTTTTATAAAACTTAGCCCTCTTTAAATTTGCCAATGCACATAAGGCAGCATTAAATTTAAAGAATCTAAAATTATTCGATACTTTTGGTAGAAAGTGTTTAGAGAATCTAGAATTTGATGTTGCCTAAAAAGCATTCCAAGCAGCCAACAATATCTCTATGGTTATGATGATACAAAGCTTCAAAAATGAAACTGAAAAGAATTTATTGTTTGCATACGTAGCCATGATTTTAGGGTAACATGATCTGGCCTAAGATTTATTCTTAAAATCATCATATAGACTTGGAGCCCTAGAGTTGAGAAGCGATATCTAAGACTATGTGAATGCCTTGTCATTGGCTAAGAAGATAGCACCCGAATAGGAGCCATTCATTTGCAAAAGACTTGCCATCTAAATTGAAACTTAAGGCAACAATCCAGAGGCAGTCAAAATGTATGAGATGGCTACCTTGAATGAAAAGCTTCATGATTCCAAGACAGTTGAGATTCATAATCAACAATGTGTTGCTGGTATTGCTCGTTGTTCAATCAAAATGGGTGATATTCTAAGAGGATCAAGTCTTTCAAGACAAATATCAGATCCTTTAATTCTTTAGGAGATTGCTTTGGTGTGTGAAAATATGAAATTCCAAGTTGAAGCTGCTGAACTCTATGAATAAGCAGGCTGTATTGAGAAGGCAGCCACCATATATATCACACAAAAGATGTTCAAATAGGCTGCACCATTAATGAATAAAGTGAAATCACCCAAATTGTTGATTTTATACGCCAAGGCAAAAGAGAGTGAAGGAGCCTTTTAAGAAGCTGAAAATGTTTACGAGAAGGCTGAAGATTGGGAAAATGTTGTTCGTTTGAATTTAAATTAATTAAACAACATCGAAAGGGCTAAATTTATATTGCGTAATAAGTGCAAGACAGTGACTCTTGCATTAATGGTTGCTTAATATTGTGAAAGAAGAGGATCTAAGGCAGAAGCAATTGAATTCTTGATATTGGCTGAAAAGAAAGAGCAGGCATTTGCCTTGGCTCAAAACTTTAATGAAATGGATGCATACGTGGAACACATGAAGGTATTCTCATTAGAAGAACGCTTGTAAGTGGCCTCATATTTTGAAGGCAAAAATTAATAAGATAAAGCTGCATTTCATTTTGAGAAGGCTTAGGATCCAATGAAGGCTCTGAGATTGTATTAACAAGCAGGAGAGGAATTCATTAATGATATGATAGATTTGGTTGCTCGTAATAAATAGGAGAGTCTAATTTAAAATCTATCAGATTACATTAACGGAGATACTGATGACATTCCCAAGGATCCCATCTACTCATTGAAATTATAAAAAGCCATAGGTAATCTATAGGCAGTCGGAAGAATTGCAATTACTATCGCAGCTTCAGAATAGGAATGCGGTAAATACAAGGAGGCTCATCAATTTCTATATGAAACCTGCGATGATTTGAAATCTAGCGGAAATTAGATCCCATTTGATTTATATTAAAAGTTGATGACTTTGCATTCATACACTCTAGTTAAAAAGATTATGAAATTGGAAGAACATGAAGACTTGGCAAAACTCTTGGATAGAGTATGCAAAAGTATTAGTTAATTCCCTAATGGTGCAACCAATATCCTAACTATGGCAGTAATTGAAGCCACCAAAGCTAATTTTAAGTATATAATCGCATGATTTATTAATAGATCATTAGCATATTAATGGGCAATTACATTGATGAAACAAGAGTATAGATCTTAGATCAATGAGAAATTTAAAACTAAAATTGAAAACATAGCAAGAAGACCCATAAAGGAAGAAGTCCCAGATAAAAAAACACCCTGTCCATTTTGTGGGGTATAAATACATTATGATTAATAGGAATTCGTCTCTGAATTTTGTTTAGATTGTCCCAAATGCTCAAATAATATTCCCTTTTGCATTGCATCAGCAAAGTAATTTCATAGATGATCACTTTTAGACATATAGTTGCTGAGCAATGCTGTTTATGTCCTGAATGCAAGTTCCCTGCTAATATCTAATACTTAAGAAGAATCCTTGAAATTGAGCCCATTTGTCCACTTTGCCAAAAGCAAATAAGACCTCAAGATTTAAAGGAGGTATGCATTTTTATTGAAGAAATAGGTTACAAAAGAAGAAGTACTCAAGTTAAAGAGGAAAGCTGTAGTCGATGAAAAAAAATAATGAAGATTATTATTATAAAGTTATTAAATTAATGTCTGATAGTAAAACTACACCTAGAAATCATGGTAGATCGAAGACCAAAACAAGTATGATTTCTATTTCAAGGAAATAGGCGAAAACTTATAAATTCAATTCAAGAAACCATCAGTTGCAAATGAAAGATTGGTCGTTAATAAATTAGGTATGAAATTTGATCCTGTTTGTTGGAAGAAGAATCATGAAAAAGGAAAAATCCAATTTGTTTGTATTGTAAATCTCTGACATTATTAAAAAAGGAATCTAATTGCAATGCTGATAGAAGGTTGGCTTGTGCACATTGTATTATTGAAGAACATGATGAACATATTTCAAACAAAGTTACTGTAGAGTAATATTGTGATACCTTTGAGAATAATTTCAAGAGCTATCTATTTTAAGTAACTTTTAGAATACTAAATAGGTAGCAAAGTTAGAGGAATATTATAAAAAATGCAAAATGATGGATTTAATCGATCAAATCGATAAAGATATGAATACAGTTGTTGAAATTGTCAAACAGTAACTAAGAGCTCTAAGAGATTACTATGTTTAAGACATATAAATTCATGCTGAATAAAATAATTCTTCTTTGTTTACATTTTATAATGCAGAAAGACAGACTCTCTCAAAGATAAAGGAATATGCACACAAGAATCTATTTGAAATGACTCCTGCTGAAATGGATCACAGTATGTTACTAATGGGTCCGATTCATTTAGATAAAATTATGGGAAAATTGTCTGAATTTGATGATTAAACCTCCACTCTTTAAAGCACCATGAAATCTCAATGGAAATTAATATATGAATAATTGGAAGAATCCTTAATTGATATCATAGCATAAATTGGCTAGAATAATCTAGATTTTATTTAAACAACAACTAAAGAATAAGAATAATATCAATTTGCAAACTAATACTAAAATTTGGATATTTAAAAACTCAACTAATAAAATGCTAAAACTTCAAATAAATAAGTTAATTAACTATAATAAAATAATTCAATGCAAGCTTACTTATCACAACAATTACCTCCACAAACTTTATAATATTCTCAGTATCCCTAATCTATTAAAAAGGAAGTCAGTAGACATAGTGGTAACACTGTACAACAGTAATCCAGTAAATAACAGTCCAGTAACTAACCATCATCTAGCAATTAGCCATTATCAAACAAATAATTATAATCAAATAGTCCAAAGGCTTCATCTGAAAATCAAAGTTTTAAATAGATTTAAGGTATATCCTAATATTAAGTGATCTCGCCGTTAAAAAGTGGTGTGAATACAGCTTCTTTTGGCAATTTAGGAAGTAGCAATTAAAAGTCTCTCAAAAATATCATTCAAACAAACAATAATTAAGCGCCTATTCAATCATAGACTGAATAAAAAAACTATTCAAATCCTAAATCTAGCTCTCAAATCAGATAAGCAAGTCCAAATGGAGTTAATTATTATTATTAGAGTGATGGGAAGCAATTAGAGAACAGAAAGAATGCAAACAATTTGTAATCTCTTAATTCATCATCCTAATAATAATAATAATAATAATAATAATAATAATAATAATAACAATAACAAGAATAATTATCATAATAATAACAACAATAATAATCATAATAGTAATCGTTTGAGAGAAGATTGTCAGCTCAAAAAGTCTAAAGTACTTAATTTACTTGCAATTATAATAATATGAAATGCATTCATAATGAACTTATTAAAGCCAGCCCTATTTTTAGTTGCTGTAATTGGGTATAAATTGATATATCCAAAAATTTAGGCATTTCCTTGTTATGAATGTCACGACATGATTTCAACACATAAAGCACACATAACTGTACCTTCCTAAAGATACTGTTAGAACTGCCATGAAACATTCTCTGTAAATCTAATGTCTACAGTAGATGTCAAATGTTATAAATGTTAATGAACAAATTTTATTATTAATAATTATCTAACATACTAATTATTTTTGAGATACAGATTATTACGTCGCTTTTTGATTGAAAGCAATTAGAACAATTTATCTAATAATGTAGCAGATGACAAAGATAGATATTTTTTCGAAAAGATATAGGTATTGTTGCATTCTTTACAGAAGGGTTCTAATGCAACCTACTTACTTCGATTTTCCTTTTCTATTCATCAGTATCTAATTGAGCACATAATATTTTTCTTCATTAAGCCTCAAAGATAAGAAAACAAAGTAATTTCTAGATCTCTCTCATAAAACTGGTCCAATAGCGAAAATTAAAGGAACATTAACTTTAATTGTGATCTAAAAAATTATTTCGAATCCATATGAATATATAATAATTATTTTATCATTTTTGTAAATATTCTTTGTTTTATTAGAATTATTTATCCATTTTTAATAATATAAAATAATGACCCACGGTATGATATATTGTTATATTTGATTAGTGCTTTACTTTGGGAAGACACTTGCCAATTTGCAAACTGAAAGTCTTCGAAATCAATAGCAGATGTAAAAATTTCCTAATTACGTTTAGATTAACAAGAGTATGTTTTCCAGAGAATGTGTTCTCTAGTGATCCAAAGAAATAGAATAAAGGTGGAGAACAATAACTTACCTTTATCAAAGTGATTTGTTGCCAAAATATCATATTCCTCCTTGATAGTATTTGATAATTCTTCAATTAGACAAATCTGAACTATGGGCTTTTGGAATGTCATAAGAAGGTTAACTGGGAATTAGAATAAGTAGCCTAATGTATCCAGTCAATATATCATAAGTGTTCGATAATAAAGTTAAATTAATGACTGCATCATAAAACTTCGTATCAGTACTTACAATAAAAAACCATTTGTACATTTGGGGCAAGTTTGAAGAACTAAACTTAGGAGATCATATCAAACCGAAAAAGATTGAATTTACTAAGTCACTGGATAGGAGGTATGAATTCAATTGTTCGGATATCACATAAATTCTATAACAGCAGTCTGCCTCAGCTCTTAATGAAGAAATTTTACAACTGCATTCAACAAATAACACATTATATATCTTGAGTAAAGAGCATTTAGATGTTATATCATAGCAACCACATATGATCACATAAAAGTTTGTGGGTTTAGCTTGTAATCAAAATCATGCCTTGGCGTGGGATATCGATGGAAGAGTCTGGAGTTGGGGTTAATATGCGGATGGCAAATTAGGCTACATGAGTTTTGAACAAACATACTAGAGTTCTCCTAAATTGGTTGACACCCTTTAGAATAGAGTTCTGCAATGTGCATGCGGCATAAACTATAGTTTAGCTTTGGATGTGAAAGGTGATATCTTCGGGTGGGGAAAGGGTCCTTTCAAAATGGAATTGTTGAAAGCAACCATTCCAACTAAATTAATATAGAAGAATAAATCTTTCGTTAAAGTAGTTGCAGGAGATGAGCATTTTGGTGCTTTGGACATGATTGGTCAATTGTATGTGTGGGGCTTGAATCATAAGAATTGTTTGAGCTAATTAGATGAGGAAGTTCTCACACCAACCTTATTTGAATTGGCTGGAGTCAAAATTATAGATGTAGCCATGGGCCCGTTTTGTACAGTTTTGATTATCCCAGCAGATCGGTTACAGAAATTGCCTAATCTAAACTTGGATTCATTTACTATACAATAAAAGAAATGCTTCCTGGAGGAAGCTAACCTAATTAGAGACTTTACTGAAAGAAGAAATAGACAAGCCCTAGCATCTATGCTCAGTCCGGTTTAAAACAAAAATCCCATTTAAGATGATACAGAATTTGATAAGGCCAATGAATTAATACATCAAATGTAATTGCGTTTGGACACTCCTCAATACAAACAGACAGTTAGCACTCCTCACCATTTTCATTCTTTGGCTAATAATTACAGTTCTCCCTACAAATCTCTGAAGTCTCCCATTTCCTTTGATAAAATTCAAGGTAAGCTTACCAAACTTGAACGTAGCAATCCTCTCTACTTACCAATTTTACCTCATTTATAATATACCAAAGCTTCAATTGATGAAGATGTCAATCTCGAAAATCTTATTAGAACAGATGATGATGAACTTAAATACAGATACATCCAATTAGTTAAGTAAAGTAGCGAAGATTAAATATTAATGTAATTGTTGGACGATAAAATAAATGAAAAGCCTTAGAATGAGCGTGTCGTTAATTAATAAACATTTAGAAGGAAGTAAAGGACAGAACCTAAAGAAATTAGATATAATGACAAATTTGATAGGCTTGATCCTCATTTGCTGTAAAACGTTAGGAAAGAACTTGCTGATATCAGTAAAGACAGATGGAAATAGTATTAGAAAAAGAAAAAGATTAAGGAGAATAAGATTAATTTTCTTAAAACCAAATTTTAAGTGACAAAGTTCGAATAAATTTCAAAAGAAGAATAAATTGAATCTACTAGATTGCAAGCAGTTGAAAAAAATATCAAGGCCTAATATACTGTTTTGAGGAAGGAAGAAAAATTGAAGACCAAAATGGAAGGAATTCAGATAGAATCTCATGAAAATCAATAGGATTCTTAAATCAAAAAAAGAGTTGAAATCAAAAGGGAAATAGCAAGACAGTATGCATTGAATGCCTTGTTGAAATATCTGAATTTTGAAAGTTTTTGTCAAATGTTACAGGAAGCAGCTGAAAGAGGATTACAAAAAAAGAAATTATTGTTCTAAGCTAACAATAAAGCCAAAATTATTCAAAAGGCTATTCGCAAAAGAAATATTATTAAAACAATCAACAACAAGCTAGGAGTTAAATCAAAAAAGATATTGTTATCCTTTATTTTTAGGATCAGGATGTCCATTAGGATTAAAAAGAAAAGACTCATTTTTAGAAAGATTAATTTACATAAATTAAAATCATCAATTTTTCTAAAAGTTCGAACCAATCTTAACGTGATGGTCAAGGCAACGAAAAATATGTAACAATTCTGTAGATATTATAATCAAATGATGAAAATATAATTAAGTTATTTAAATTATAAATGGGATGAATACATGAGATAAGAATTTAAAGGTATTATAATAGATAAAGAAAAGGAAGAATAGAAGCTTAATTAATTACAAAGTCTGAATGAAAAATAAATATAAATAATGAAATAATTATCTTATCCTCTAAAGTCTCAGAAAGCCCTCTTTAAGGAAATTGTATTGTATAAAAAACCTAAATTAAAACTTGATATATTAAGATTAAATCTACTGAAGAAGATACCAACCAAAATAATCAATGAAGATGAGTAAAAAGAAGTAAAATTCAATTATAATAATGTGTTGTTTCCTTATACAAAGTATGTGGACAATATTGTAATTCCATAAAATTTAAGAATAAGGTTTGATTATTAAGAAATTTAGCTTTTAAATGTCTTAGAGAAAATTAATTTAGAGGAAGCTAAATTAAAATTAGAAATTTTGTAAAATTATTAAAAGATGTAAATAAAGAATCACATCTAATAGTGTATGAATGTAATATTTAATATATTGTGCATTAGTATTTTTCAGCACTCCTTGATTATAAATAAAAGAACAAAGTGCTAATTGCAACAGAAAGAATGAAATTGATGTCAAAACTATCATCTGATGAAGTTAAGTAATTAAAATAAAAGGAGGAATAGGAGTACAGGATGATGATAGAGAAAAGAGAAATCAATATGAAAAGAAGTAATAATTGTATATATCGATAATAGCTCGATTAAATGGCTCTATGACTAAAGAAAATATTTTCGATAAAATTAGATAATTTTCTTCTGATAGTTATCCATTCCAAATGCTTACCTACAAGTTGGTTGTCTATCTAAGTCAGATTGAATAGCCCAAATTGTAAATTGAATTGACTCACAAAGAGTGGGTTCGCTTAATGAAAAATTATCATTCAGATTTTAAAATCAGATTATAGTCAATAATGAGTGAGGCCAGAAGTGCAGCTGCATATAAAGCAAGACAGATTAAACGATCTCCGACAATTTAATTAAAAAGATCTCCCACAATAGGATCAAAGACATTTTAATCCAAGAAATTAATTGATTGAATTTGATAATGTTTTTAATGTATAACTCAATTTAGAGGTGCATATCCAGTGTCTTAATCTTCTTATTCCTCTTCGTTGTCTTTTCTCTTTTTGTAGAAGAAAAATCCAATTAATCCTAGTACGATTAAGGATCCAACAACTACAAGGGTTATCCACCAAGCATTAGAGCCTGAGCTATCATCATCATCTCCTCCATCGTCTGGTTTGATACTCAATTTAATTTATTTCGACACTTATCTGTAATCATTAGAAAATGTTATGGTTAAGGTTTGGTTTTCCAACTTGGCACTCTCTCCGAAGCTTAAAGTGATATCGTTCCTGATCTCATATTGTTACAAGCCCTTGCTGACTTTGCTGGCTATCAAAGAAGATTCCTAAAAAATATAAATATAAATTTACTTGTAAATAAAGGAGGAAATCAACTGGTTCCAGTTTTTAAACTCCTTGTGTTGTGAATGAAAATGATCCATTTATTACAGAGATAGCATTTTCAGTGATGTGATAAACACCAACGACGACTTTTGAATTATTGTAAAAGGCTACAACAACTGATTATTTATTGGCAGCAACTGTGTTTAATGCCTTCCATGTTCCGTATCTATTCAAAGCCACTTTAACTTCTGTTTTTGTTAACTTGTTTGATTAATTGTCTAATATGGCAAATTAGAGATTGAAAACATAAGATGATGAATTATCAGTAACTACTACTAATGTGATGCTCTTGATTTTCTCCTTGATGGATTCTTCAACAATTTTATTAGCATAGTAATGTGTATTATCATTAGCATAATGTTTGTTATCATTCAGCCACTTTTAAAGTAACTAATACTCCATGAATAAATATTTGGGCTCATATGTATTCTTAGGGAAACTGAAATCAATAAAGGCTAAACCATTTACACTATCAGAAATAATGAATTAAACTGAAAGTGAGTTATCATCAGAATGAGTTAATGAATGAACAAATGAAGATGGTCTAAACTATTTAGGTGCTTATGCTCCCAACTTCTATTGAATGAAGTCATAATCAATGGTTAATAATGTAGTGGATGACCAGATTCCATCAGTTTATACTAATTTTCTGATTGTAATATATCCATCATAGTTTTCAGGATTCAATGAATCAGTATGAAGAACAACAATAATATCTTATGCCAAAGCAGCAATTTAAGTTGCGAATGGAGCTGAGATGTAAGCATTTTCTCTTTAACATTTCTATTTATCATCACAAGTAGCCACTTAAATTTAATCTTCTACACCATTATTACAAACAGAATATATTGACTTTTCAAAAGATGTTAATCTGAAGCAATCATATTCTTGACCTAATGCCTCAAGAAGAGGTGTGCTTTCTTCTAATTTGTTGTCTTTCATTAAGAGTACGTTATTCATAGCTTAAAAGATAACATTCTTTTAGAAGGCTTAAGCGTCTTTGAATTAATAATTCTTCAATGCAGAGTTCTTTGTTTCGTAGAGATATGATTAAACGACAATATCGTTAGCTTTTTCTTATGTTAATGTACAATAAGCCTACTATCCACTAATCCATCCATTTGTCAACTTGACAGCAGTTGAATTTTGCTTGGCTTCAATTTCAATTTATTAAGTTGCCTTTGTATCATCAACAATTAAACTAGTGAATGTATTGATTACCTTGACCTTTTAAGTGAATGGAAGGATATTGTTATTTTATGAATCAGCATTCTTAACATTGATTGAAACTTCATAATCAGTAAGATACTTTTGTTTTTATTTATTGGGTATAAGAATCAATTCTGGATCAAGTACAACAAATTCCAATTATTAAACAGCTTCGCCATTGGCTAAGGCAACTATGTAAGCTGATCCTACTGGGTCTGATCCACTTACAGATAATGTAAATGCATCATCTACCTTGCCATTAATCTTAACAGCCAAATAGAATGTCTCGTGTTGTAATTGATCTGGTTTGTAAATATTCAAGTAAACATTTTCATTCTTTGTAGTTCTAACAACCAAAATACCTGTTTTTAAGTGTGAAGAGACACTCAAAGGTTGTGTGATTTGATATCCAAATAGTTCTACAGTCTTTTGTTTGAAAACATTGTTAACTTATTCGTAATTGTATTCACTTAAGTCTTTGTTATTGACAAGGAACAATGAATTAGTAGCTTAGGCTATGTATATTTAGTTGCCTTTGGTATAGGCAATGTTAGATCCATAAATGAATTCTTGGTGTTAGTAGTTGATAATCACGACATTATTCTCATTTTGAACAAGAATAACATTTTGTCTTAAAATTCTATTTCCGTATAATTTAATAGGTTTCCATTCTCCTTAGAATCCAATCAAGTTTTAGCCTGTAATTGAGTTGATAATTAAGAAAGACTCAGTAGAATATGATGATAAAACTCCACTCTCCTAAATTACAAACAGATTTTCTCCTTGATTTTAGAATGCTACTGCTTTTAATTCATCCTTCTCTTCTGCTTCATTTAATTTGATTGATCCATATTAAACAGTCTTATTATTCTTAATTTCCAAGAATTTAATGATAAATGGTGTATCCAATGTAATGAAACGAACGACATTATCAGAATCTTACCATATGCTGAAGATCTAATCTGATAATTGCACTTGCACTTACAAATTACCATACTCCTTGCACTCATATTTTACGTGATCAACCAATTCACAAGAATAAATAATAAGCTTCTTGTCTTCTTATTAGAAAACTTAGAAAAGAGTCTCTTAATTATTCGCAACTAAGGATGTCTAATACAATGCTTTCTTTGGCCAGTTAGTAACTTGAATAGATCTCTAATGTGCAATTTGAGCGTTCACATCGAAATCTGGGTCTGCAGCAACACCTAAAAATTGATTCAACCTTGAGGCAAATGGTGATTTTGGTTGAACAATTTCATATATCAAATTTGGACCTGATACCAAACTTCCTAACTTAATTTGTTCATCATTCTCATCTAAAACATTAGGGAATGGTGTTTCAGTCTCAACCTTTTTGTAGATAGTCTCACTATTGCTTGCCAATACTTGATAGTAAATTCTAGAATAACACATTTGATTGTGTTAAGATTTGGCTTAAATTGTCACAGCTTTGAAATTAGTACTTGCTTATGCATTTCCATTGAATTTCAAGGATCCCAAACTAAAGCTCCAAGCTGATGAGGATGTTAATGAAACAGTTACTATTTCTTAACTATTAGGATTTACGATTCCTGCTGAGTTTGTCAGATTTACAATGTCGATAAGACCAGTATTATTCTCATCAGAATGGTAGATGTAGAGATTTCCTTGATTTTGTAAAAACACATATTTGCCACTTAATCTAATCTGTTAAGGATATGTCACACTAGCAAAAGGAAGATCCTATATTTTTATTATCTTTCCATCTTTATTAATTATTCCATAGTAATTGTATCCCTTGATTGCAAATATTTCCTATTTATTACTAAGCACGGCTCTATCGAATGCAAAGGCTTAGCCAAACTTTTGTTCAATAAATCTTGAGAATTTCCAAACTTTATCGAAATATACAACAAAGATTCCCATCTTAGCATCTAATAAGTAAATTTATCCATTTAATCCAATCTTGAAATCGACGATATTCAATTCATCTATTTACTTGAAAGTAATTTCAGCTAATTTAGCTTTATCTAATGTTGCTAAATGTATAGGGCCATCATTTTATATTTAAAACAATTCCACGTATGATTTATGAGCCAACTAACCTTCGCTTGTGATTGACAATGCAACTCTTACAACATATTTCACTTCCTTGATTTGATATGATCCTAATAATCTTTTCATTAAAGTATCTTCAATCATAATTGTATTTAATTCAATATTTCCATTTAGGTAAATTAAATTTTTATTATCATTAATTTAACAATCAACAACAAATTCAGTTTTAGATAGCTACACAAAGTCTCCGCAAATGGAATGCTCTACCATTTTCTTAATGTTAAGGACTTGGTTAAAAGATGGAGCTCCATTTATTGCAGGACTATTTTAGAAAAATAAATTACGTGTCTGAATAGTAAATTGAATATTTTAATCCATCGTTATTTAAGAATCCAAATTGATTGGACCAGGCTCCATTCTAAGTCAAAAGTGCCTTTGCAGATACAATTTATGTTGCAACTAATTATATAATAATATATCCTTACCTTATATATGATTAACTGATTATCCAACCTAAGTCAATGGTTAAACTACTGAAAAGTCAGCTTAGTCTACACTATATTTCAGAGAAACACCATCGAAGAAGTTTTAAGTCAATGCCCATTGCATAACTTCGCCTTGGGATGGGTAAATCTTAAGATCTGTCAACTTGGTTTTGCATTCATCCTTATTTACAGGTATTATGGATAAATCTATAGTTCTGACTACTCTTCTAAAATCATTCTAAAATGTCAAAGTCAACTTTTGATTATGCAAGTTTTTAGGTTCTCCGAATTTCAATACTTACTGATATCTAACTTAATTTTGATAGACTCCCATTTATGTAGTACTTGTCAAGAATAGACTGTCTGTATTATAAATTAAGAAATCTTGAGGAGTGATTTATTTCTTAAAGTGAGCAAATGTGTGAGATCCCTATATAGTTTAAACTGCACCATTCTATAGATCAGTTGGAATCTTATAAACTCCAATGATCACCTCTAGGTTATTAACATAGGGGATTGCTATTGAGGATGATGAGGCTGAAACATAGTTCAATGCCTTGAAATTACCATATCTATTCAAAACAAAAATAGTTCTTATTGTGCTTAGTTTACAAGAAACATTGGCTTGAATTGCAAAAACTAATTCAAAAACATATGAGGATGAAATGTCAGTTACAAGAGCTAATTTTAATGTTTTTTTGGTAGGATATTCAACTTATGATGTTACAATTTAGGCTTAATAATAATGAGTATCATCAGTAGCATATTGATCAATATTTAGCCAATCTTTCAAAAGTTTATATTCTGAAAATTGATACTACAATTCTGAAGTTGTCTTTGAAAGAGTTAAATCTACAAACAATAAACCATTAACGCTATCAGTAATAATCAATTATAAATAGTAGAGAGATACACTGTTTCCTGTTGGTGAATGGATAAATGAAGATGGTCTAAACTATTTAGGTGCTTATGCTCCAAATTTCTATTTAATGAAGTCATAATCAATGGTTAATAATGTAGTGGATGACCAGATTCCATCAGTTTATACTAATTTTCTAATTGTAATATATCCATCATAGTTTTCAGGATTCAATGAATCAGTATGAAGAACAACAATAACATCTTAAGCCAAAGCAGCAATTTAAGTTGCGAATGGAGCTGAGATGTAAGCATTTTCTCTTTAACATTTCTATTTATCATCACAAGTAGCCACTTAAATTTAATCTTCTACACCATTATTACAAACAGAATAAAGTCTTGTGCTATCGGCTTCTAATCTGAAGCATTTATAGTGCTCCGACAATTTTGTCAAAACAGGCTGAGCATTTTTCAAGTCGTCTCCCTTGAATGACAAAACTGTGTTTGAAGCTTGCAAAAAGGTGACAGCCTAAGGTTTAGCAACATCATAAATTGAATAATCCATTAAGACTGCCTAATCTTGGCTTACAAAAGGTAAAAGTGTTATGTCATCAGTGATTGATTACTAAGACAATTCTGTACTTATTATTTAACCTCCAATCCAATCAGATCTAATGGCTACTTCAGTTTTTCCATCATTTTCATTTATTTCGATTGATTTTAAATATTCTTCATCATTAACTATCAAACTTGTGAATGTATTAGCTACTTTTATATCTTACTCATAATGCACTTTTTAAGTTTAGTCATCCCCATTCATAATATCCATTATAACATGGAAGTTTGAAACAAATTTCTAAAGCTTTTTGATTGGGATAACAATTAATTCAGGGTTCAATAAAATAAAGTTTAATTATTGAATCTTTTCTCCATTTGCAAGAGTTATGATGTATAGAGAACCTCCTAAAGACAATTAAAATGGATCTCCTTATTTAACACCATTTAATTTAAATGCTAAATAGAATGTATCATGCTATGTAAGGGATGGTCTAAATATATTTAAATAGATATCTTATGCTTTGGATGTTTTAATGACTAGATTACCAGTTGATAATTAAGATGTAACAGTCAATGGAGTAGCAATAGTGTATCCAAATAATTCAACTGTCTTTGATTTGAAAATGTTCAAAAGGTTTGAATAATTGTATTCCAATATTTCCTTATCGTTTGCAAAAAAGAATGAATCTTTAGCGGCTGAAATGTGGATTTCAGTATTTTAAGTATAATCCATTTGTTTAACGAAAATGAATTCTGTGTTAATGTAATTAATTAGAGCAATATTGTTTTCATTTTAAACAAATACAATGTTTGATTTTAACATTCTATTACCATACAATTTAATTGGCTTCCATTATCCACCATATCCAATCAAAGCATTTCCAGTTATCTGATTAACAAAGCTGAATTTTTCGCTTTAATAACTATTTAATACTCCGTTCTTTTATAATATAAATAAGTATTCTCCTTAATTTAAGATACTTACTATTTATTAACCCTCCTTTTCTTCGAATGATATTGTTTTGTCTTCAATGACAATACCGTCTGGAGCTAGATAACTTGTTACTTTATATGAGGTTGAAATGGTAATGAATCTCACAATGTTGTCGCTATCTTACCATATACTGAATAGTTGATCAGATATTTTTTCTTAAAGCTAAACATTTCCATAATCTTAGCAAACATATTTAATATGATCAGTCAAAACACAAATTGAAATTGTTAACTTCTTATCTTATGTCTGGAAAATTTGGAACAAAGTTTCTCTATCATTTCCAACCAATTCAGTACTATATAAAGGTGTCTTGGGCCAATTTGAAACTTATATTTCTCTGTTTTAGACAACTTAAGCACTGAAATCAAGTGGCGTTTTTGGTAATGATAAGCTGTATTCAAGATTTGGACCCGAAATTAGATTACCCAATTAGAACTATTCAAAGATATCATCGAAAACTTATGGGAATGGTTGATCCGACTTATTTTTCTTGATTGGAGCTTTACTGCTACTTTCAATCACTTGATATTAGATCCTGGTGGAACATGTCAATTTATGTTATGAGGTGGCTATTATGGTTAAGTCTTTGAATCCTTAAGATGCTTGATTAACTCCATTGAATTTCAGTGATCCTAAGCTTATGTTCCATCTGGCAGAGGATTGAAGAGAAAGTGTTACGATTTCTTGAATAAATGGATTAACAATAGCAGTAAGATTGGGTGATTCAATTAAATCGATCAAGCCAGTGTTAGAGTCATCAGAGTGATAGACATATAAAGATGATTAATGCTTGACAAAAACGAAGTTGGCACTTGCTGATATGGATTAGGGGTAGGTGATGGTATTGAATTACAAATCTTACACCTTTTTGGTTTGTCCATTAGAATCAATTACTATGTAGTAATTATATCCTTAAACTACAAATGCTTCCTCTTTATTTTCGAGTATGGTTCTGTCGAATGCAAAGGTTTGACCAAATCTAAATGTGATCAATTTTTGGAACTTCCAATCTATATCATAGTTAACAACAAAGATTCCCAGCTTGGCATCTAACAAATAAATCGATCCATTTAATCCAATCTTGAAATCAACGATATTCAATTCATCAATTTATTTTCCATAGATAGTAGATAATTTAGATTTGTCTAAGGTTTACTTGGCTTGTAATTAACCACTGGCATATTAGAATAGTTCGACAAATGAATCATTGGCTAATTGTCCATCATTTGTGATAGATAATGTAACTCTTACGACAAATTGTAAATCGTTAATCTTGTATGTACCTAAAGCTCTATTTAATTAAGTGTTTGCAATTGGGGTTGTTTAGGTTTCATCGGTATCCTTGATCAATATTAGGAATTTATTATTTTGGATTTAGCAATCGATAACAAAACTAGTAACGGACAATTGTACGAAGTCTAAGCAATTAAGATTTGCATCGATCTTCTTAACATTAAGAACTTGGTTAAATGATGGAGCAGCATTTATTGCAGGACTATTTTAGAAATAAAAATTACGTGTCTGAATAGAGGATTTAATACTTGGATCCAATCTTGTTTAAGAATCCAAATTGATTGGACCAGGCCCCATTCTAAGTCAACAGTGCCTTTGCAGATACAATTTATGTTGCAACTAATTATATAACAATATATCATTACCTTATTTATGATCTATCGATTATCCAATCTATGTAGTTGGTTGTATGATTGTGAAATCATCAGTGTCTTCTTAATGATATTTCAAAGAAACACCATCGAAAATATTTTATGACAAATTCCATGTTAAAACTTCGCCTGTAGATGGGTAAATTTGGAGATTTGTGATTTTTGCAGTACATTCATGATTATCAACTTCTTGCACATACAATTTGAATGTTAAATAGTTTTCATAAAAGTTATTCTTCACAAAAAGTGTAATATCTTAGCTCTTTAAGTCTCTGTCTTGGTTTTTCAATGTTAAAATTGGTGATTTATAGATTCCGTAACTTTAAAGGGGTCCTTACAATTGGGATACAAAAAGAATTGAACCCTTTTTGGAAAAGAACACAGCTAGATTTAATGGGCTTAACCACTGACCTTCTGAATAGTATACTTCATAGGTGCCAACACTAATTGTGGGAACAACTGTAGCGAATGGATTTTCTATAATTATATCTATATTATAGACGGCTACAACAATTTAATCTTTTTAATAATATGGAATGGCTAATTGTAAGTTCTGATTTTGGATGGCTAGTTTATTCATTGGAGTCCAGTCTCCATATTTGACTATGACAGCAGATAAGGCTTTAATGTTGAGTAAGGTATTGGAGGTAGGTTGAGCAGAGAAGACAAACTTGAACCCGTATTATGAGACATCAGATGTCAAAATCAGAGGGTAGACTCTCAATTCGTCTGAACTCCATTCGTAGATCGGATCCCAAACGAATTGGAATGATAAGAATTTAGTTGTTGGGAGTGTGTATTGACCGACTTGCCTATTTAAATATTCGTGGAGGTTGAGGGATTCAATGGACAAGAACTAATATTCAGGTAATTCCGAAAATGAGAAATCCATAAAAATGAAACCACTAGTTGCATCACTGATGAACAATTTATAAGAATATTTGCCATTTGATATGGATTTTTGTTTAACCACTTAGAAATCAGCTGGTTTGAAATCCTCCAATGGAGTTGCCAATACAGAATTAAGATAATTCAAATCGATGATTTCAATGACTTCAAGTTTCCAGTTGTCTAATCCCATAGCAATTCTATATAGAACGATTTTGCCATCCTAAATAAGTTCTGGATGATCGGCATCAGTGTGCAAAACAACCAAGAGTTCATTGGATACTACTTGAATTTTTGAAGCTACTCCGAGTTTGAATTTTTCACCCAATGGAGAGCAGCCAGTGATGGAAAAGCATCCGGTGGCATAAACAGTGAATTCAGTTCCATCATTACACAATGAGTAAACAACCATTTTGTCTTCAGAAACAGTGGCTTAATAGCATTGATATTCGAAATTGGGGAGATCGAAATCATAGACTGAGGCCAATGAGTTGTCAGGATTAACAAATATCAATCCAGTTGTGGCTTACATGATATTAAACTTATCATTGTATTTGACATGATCTCTAATCTCATAACCATTAAAGATCTTTGGATTGAGTAAATCAACAGTGCTTTACAATTCAACATTGGTTTCGCACTGATCGCAATCAATTTCGAAATCTCCAATTTAACCAGAGTACCAACCTTGACCCAAATCAAAAGTAGCCTAATCATCAGTTGAAAAGATCTGTATTCCTGATTTTGAATAAGGGAAGGCATTTTCATCCAAATTGATTTAGGTTAAAGTACTAATGGTGGTAACATCTTAAGTGATATCGACAGTGTTAAACTTTTCAGGTTTACCTTGGAAATTGTAGTTTCTGATCTAGAAATTCAATGAATATGTATCCTAATAAATAGTCGAATCGATGAATGATTCAACAGTCATTGTGGTTTGATCGTAAACTGCAAAGATTGATTGTTCACCTTCAACATTCAAGTATAAATAGTTTTATTTGAATCCATTAGCAGCAATCAAGATGGATTTTGTCTCTGGAATAACGACATCAGCAATATCCCAAGCTTAGACCAAGGCCTCGTGTTGAGGAGTGTTGGGTTTGAATACCAAGATAAAGGATTTACTGCAATATAGACAGACTCCTCTGACAAACAAATTACCAGTTTCCTCGCTGAAATCAACGTTCAATGGAGTAGATATGTCATACCAATACAAGTACAATTTCTTCTACAAATAGACATGATTGATTTCTGCAAAGTTGTATTCATAGATTTAAGCATCATAGACATCTTGAGCTGATTTTCCTTGGACAACAAAGAATGTACTTTATCCAATAGCAATTGAATAATCTAGATTTGGAGTAATTGGAATGGTTTTAATGAATGAAAACATTCCATAATCTGTATCCAACATCAAGATATGATTTTTGTGTAAGATGAACAGAATATTTGGATGCAACTTTTTATTTGTGAAGAGTGCTTTTGGTTCCCATTCTTCATTGTAACCATATTGTGAGAAGGAATTCTTGTTTAAAGTTGTGAGTGCGAATAGTTCTGGTCTGTAAATTAAGAATGTTACGATTTCATTATTGGCCTTATGAACCAAAAGATAATCTCCACAATTTAAAATACTTTAAATCTTGTTTGCTGTGTCTGTAGAATCCAATGATATAGTCTTCACTGGAGTTATTGCACCATTATGAATTGCTCGAATCACAACATTGTATTACTCACTGATGTACATGAAATATATTATGCCCTGTCTGTTCCAAATGGAGAAGTTCTGTTTACTGACTTTGCTTGAGATTCCTATATCTGCTACTAAGAGTTCACAAAATGCATCTTCAACATAAATAGAATTGTGAACACAATTTAAGATTTGAACCTTCAAATCCTGAGTCTACAAAACTTAATAGAATTGAGTATCGTCTTCTGTTGATACAATCTCTGCATAAATTACATTTTTGGGTAGCTCTTGATTTAGACTTAATTCAACTCTTGATCTAATGGTGGCTTTGATATTTGTGGCTTCCAATTAAGTTGGTTTAACTAATCTATATTAGAGATTTGGTCCAGATGCTAATTTTTTCAAAACTTAATCAGTTTCCCCATCAGCAATCACATTTGGGAAAGGCACAGGTTTATCAAACAATTGATAAATCCAATTTTCATTATCTTCAATAATTTGATATGAAAGGAAGACTTAGCATTCTTATTTATTTGGAGCTTTGGCCTTGATAGCAACCACCTTCTTGTCTTAGACCTTATCACTTCCGTTGTATGCTAAATAACCATTGGAAATAGTGTATCTGTTTGAACTTTAAGTACTAATTTGGATCAGATCTGGTTCTTATGGATTCACCAATAAGACATCAGTGGAAGGAATGTCCACCTTATAGTTTAGGTAGATGGTGTCAGTATCCACATCAAGTTTATAGAAATAAACCTACTTGTCACTTCTTACTATGATATTGTCTTATGATATTTTAATAGTGGCTGGGTAATCCAACTACATAAATGGAAGGTTGTGAACATAAGATTTTTCTGTATCCAAAATAGCGAAGAAGTTGTATCCAAGAACTGCAACTACGCCAAGTTCTGAGCCATCTTTTTTGTGTTCATAATCGATATCGAAAGCAAAGGATCTGCCTAATTAAAAGTCGGCTTGTGCAAATAATTCCCACTTTCCAGTTGGTTAGAATTTGACCACAAAGAGACCGTATTGGGCATCCAATAGGAAAATGTATCCATTGTATGTCATTTCGAAATCCACAATTGAAAGTTCTACATCAGTTTTGCCTAATAGAAATGCCATAGTCACATTGTCTAGAATATATGGACGAGGCAAGGGTTAGTAGTTGTCACTCAATGTGTAAACTTATACGATTGAATTTCCAGAGAGTTATTCATTTGGGTCCAACGAATAGGTTGGTGTAACTCTCACAATGTAAGTAGTTTCCTTTCCTAATGCACTGGTTGAGTAATATAACCCTATACGTCTTTAATTGTAGATTTTGACTGATGCTTCATCTTCAAACGATGTCACTTTTTATGATTGTTTTGAGTAAATATAGAACACATCAATTTATTTTTTGATTAACTTCTCTGTGACTTCCTTTTGACAATCCACTATAAATTTATCGTTATCAATGTATTCTACGTCATAACACTCTAGATTATCGACCACATTTGCAATAACTACTTTGGTCCCGAAACCTGGAGTTGGAATTTTGTCCAAGGCAGTTCTAAATTCTACATTAACAATTACCCCTCTGAATATTAAATGGACACTTCCAGTGCGTTTTGGTCCAAGAATACAAATGAATTCAACCAAGATTGCATTTTTTTTGTGTGATATGGCTTTGCTGCCCTGATGTTCGATGCAGCTAGATAATTAACATGTCAATATACGTTTATAATGAGTTGAGCTGCCTCCGGTATTTTGTACAGGATTAATTAATTTAAAATATGTGTCTTGCAACTCATATGTGAGATCCTCTCCCTCAAATAGATTATCATGTAGATTGATTCGCAATTTTTCACCTTTCGTGGGAAATAGTTGCAACTGCTCCACTTTTGAAGCTAAAGATAATAAGATGTATTATTACAGCACCCCGTTGACTTGGCATTCACAATTGAAAGACAAATTAAGAATACTATCAAAGATGATGTAATCTTTTAATTCATTAATTAAATTATTTATTACATGGATATAGATTAGGCATTTTAAATTACAATATTTTATTGTTTTTATTTTAATATTTCATACTAATTGAGCATCCTCCTCTTTATTTGGGTCTTATGACTTATAGTAACCATAACCCATTAAAACCAGAACGACCAAACTACTAAGCACAATCAACACTATCCAAACTGCCCCCAGTCCTTTGCTAGAGTCGTCGTCATCATCAATTGGTATAATTTATAGAGCAATCTTTTACACTGCCTCTGAGAAATCATTCTTGAAGGTCAAAGTCAAATTTTAACTTTCCACTTTTTAAGGCTCAGTTATCACAATTGAACTATTTGTATTCAACATGAATTTAGTTAATCCTTTTTCATTCGGGTTGCTGTTGTACAATTAGTTTGTCTTTAAATAGATATAAAATATATACTTATATGAACATTAAGAAGTTTAATGGACTCAAATCTTGTTAATTGGTGACCACAAATTGATTACCTCCAGTTGTCAAAAAGTAAGGACTTTCTTTAAGGATCTGATAAATGCCCACAGTCACTTAATTGTCTTTATAATAAGCAACTCCAATTGATGAAGAATCAACTGCCAAATAATTGAGTACTTTCCAATCCCCGTACTTAACAAATGTACTCTTTATATCTGATTGCTGATGTTCAAATCTCTTTTCGTCCTTGTTGTATTTAAATTTCACCACAATCCAGAATGTTCCAGAATCTGAAGTCAAAATCACTAAATCAACTGTTAACACATCTTTCTCAAACAAGGAAGACTTCACCTAAGTGGATAAGAAGAGAGTCTGATCTATGATTTGTTTACTCAACAATTTTTTTAGTGAAATTGACCCAAATCTAGTAGGCTGAATATCTTTGTTTTCGAACAAGAAACTATTGTACCTCAATTCATCAAAGCAGTCAGTTACCATTGACAAATATACGTAAGTTTCTTTACTTATTTCAACTCCAACTCCTGTCATACCAGATGGCCTGAAAGTTACTGCATCCTTATTTAAATTGGTTTTGATGAACTCCAAATTCATTGACATCACCTCTTTTTAGACATAGAATGCATCATTCTGAATTATCCTATACATCTTGTACTCTCCATCCTAATCTTGCGGACTTAAGGGGTTGTAAAACAACACGATAATGTAATCCTCATAAGGGGCTATAACTTAATATCCATTAGGAATTGCAAGGTATGAATTAACCAACTGACATTTCTTGTTTACGCATTTAGTCAACACCAATTAATTCTCAACTCCATTATTACAAATGGAATAAAACATATCTTTGTAATTGTCTGTTCTAAAGCAATTGTATTGATCAGATAGTGTATATTCTGCTGGTCTATAGGAGAAATCTTCACCTAAATTGGTACCAATTAATAAAGTATTCTTGGCTTGTAAATAGAAAGTATCTTTGTCCTTGGAATAACCATAATTTATTTTATAGTCAACGATCTTCTTTCGCGGAAGTTATTAGACCAAAGCCTTCAAGTAAACGTTGCCCTCTGTCACATAGAAGGTCTTAAGGGTTGTTAAAATGTTTTGTCCATAAACTGCCTCAACTGGGAATTCAACAGATTTGGTTGAATTGGTCGAAATGGTATAATTTGCATTTTTGACACTCAAAGATGAAAATGTATTTACAAGTCTTACATTCTATTTAAATGTAACTTAATTATTCTAGTCATCCTGGCTCTTCACAATTACAGACACCTTTGCATTATAAAAGTAAGTTTTCTCATCAAATTTTGGATTAAAAACTAAGAGAGGAGATTTTTCAATCTTGTGAATTGCTTGTAGGAGAGAATGATTGATACTAAGCAGTATTGCATCATCTTCTGCAACTGATATGGTAAATTGAGGATCATCTTTAAGTGTTAATACTGAGATTGCTAAGTAGAATGTGTCATGTTAAGTAGTAGATGGTCTAAATATATTTAAATAGAAATCCTATGCTTTAGATGTTTTAATGATCAGATTACCAGTTGATAATTAAAATTTAACAGTTAATGGATTTACTATAGTGTATCCAAATAATTCAACTGTCTTTGATTTGAAAATGTTCAATAAATTTTAATAGTTATATTCTATTATTTCCTTATTTTTAACTAAAAAGAATGAATCCTTAGCAGATGAAATATATATCTCATCACCCTTAGTATAATCCATTTGTTTAACGAAAATGAATTCTGTATTAAAGTAATTAATTAGTACAATATTGTTTTCATTTTAAACAAATACAATATTTGATTTTAACACTCTATTACCATACAATTTAATTGGCATCCATTATCCACCATATCCAATCAAATCATTTCCAGTTACCTTATTAACAAAGCTGAATTTTGATATTTAATAACTATGTAGCACTCCGTTCTTTTATAAAATAAATAAGTATTCTCCTTAATTTAAGATACTTACTATTTATTAACCCTCCTTTTCTTCGAATGATATTGTTTTAAGTAATTCTATCATAAAAAAGTTAAAACTATATAGATTGATTTTATATTCATTGATAGCAGTCGCAAATCTTACAATTACATCTCCAACCTACCAAATAGAGAAAGTCTAATCATTCAGTTCAACTGTAATATCTTTTATAGTTCCAACTTAGGTGAATTTGTAAATATTATTTTCAAGTTTGGGGTCGGACTAATACAGAGCTAAACTCTTATCTTTCAATTAGAATATTTTGAAGATAGTTGATTATTTAGGTTGGAAAATGGAGGTTTAGAATAATATATTTGAGGGTTGGCCTTAAGCTTCAAATTTTGTATTTTGTACAATTCGAATTTGTTCTTATGCTTCTAATTCTGTCATAAAACAATTATTTTCGGTCGTTTCGTATACAGCCTCATATTTTTAATTTGGTCCTGAAGTTAACTCTCCGAGATCGATAACTGTGTTTTCATCTGCAGCAGGTGGGAAGGGTGCATCAGATTCAGTTATCTTGTAGATCTTGGAATCGTCACTCTTGATGATCGAGTATTTGATATTTGATTGGCATTGCTAGTTATTTAATGATTTAGCAACTATTTTGACTTCTCCATCCTTGATCTGTCCGGATTTGAATTCATACTTCAAAGCACCTTAACTGAAGAAGTATAAGTTGGATTCCTTCTAACCTATAGCTATAAACTCATCTTTGATCTTATCAACAGAGTATCCTCCTACGATTGCTTGTTTATCTAACAAGGTAATTGATTCATCATTGAATCCATAAACAAAGACAGCATTATCATGTTGAATAAAGATGTTTCTTTAACTTATTTGTATCTATTATGGATAGGTTGTAGCAAAATAACCTAAATCTATGACTTTAACTATGACTTTGTTTTCCAAAACGAAAAAGTAGTTGTAACTCAATACTACGATATGCTAGACAGACTATCCTTTCTCATTCACATAATCATCTATGTCAAAGGCTACATATTGTTATAAGGTGAAATTAATTTGATCCAAAAGCTTCCAATCTTTATCTTTGTGATTGTATTACAATTTGATAATTCCTAGTTTCTGGTCTAAAAGATAGAGAGTGCCATCATTATACACCTTGTAGTCTACCAACATGAAATCTATCTTGTCTTTTTTGAGCAATTGAGCGAACTTAGCATTATCGATTGTAGAATGTAAGGTTATTTCTTGGCCATCATAATGGAAGAGTTCAACTTATGAAACTTTGCCAACAGAGCCGTCTTCTGTAATCGAAAAGGCTGGAGTCACTCTCAAATAATAGGAGGCATCATCATAAGGCAATCTGTTGAACCATCTCAATTTATTAGTTGTGAATTATGATTTGATTTTGGAAATAGAATTTATTGTCTTCCCCTTGATTATGTAGATGATTTGTTGTTGATCAAGTTGACAATCGATGATAAAATTATCTGCTGATTCAGAATTGAGATAGTCGAAATCAAAACATTTTATTGTAGGTGCTTCAGGATCTACATAAACTATTTCAGAGAAACTAGGAGCTTGATTCTACATAGCGGCAACTTTGGTGTAATACAAACCATTTGTAGCAGTACTGTAGTCCAAGAATGCAAAGTGGCCATTCCATTCTCTCAGCAACCATTAGGCCTTGATTGATGATACCTATCCAATTACTAATTATATATAGACTATAAGATTTACCTTGTGTACAGTGTTATGATGAACTAATTTATGTAATGGGCTGGATGATTGTGAAGTCTTAATTATCTTCGATGGTATATTTCAAACCAACTCCCTCAAATATTCCATTTGATAATTGCCATGACATGACTTCGGTAGTGGAAGGGTAAATCTAAATGTTGGTTATTTTGGTTCTGCATTCATTTAAATCTATTGGTCGGACTTCTAATTTGAATTATGTCTTTTCTATATTGAAATCATTTTGCAAGAAGACTGTAACTGTTTAATTTTTCAAATCTCCATTTTGATTATTGAAAGTAATGATTGGAGAATCTAATAATGCATAACTTTTCAGTGGGCCTGATAATTCACTTGCATACAGTGACTTCTCGTTTGAGAGATCGAAGAACAATGCCATATTCAAGGGTGATATGTGTTATCCCTATATATATTACAAGTATGTTCCACTAATAATTGTTGTGGGAATGGAAGCAGACTTTTTATATAGTCCTACAAGTAGTGCATTATCATTGAAATAGGGGATAGCAATGTAGTTACCATTTGTAGCAATTTTATTAATTGAAGGCCAATTGGAGTATCTGTTCAATACAAAATCTAATTGTTTTGAATTGATTTTGGTGGATGCTGACTTATCTTACTTTTTGAAGGTAAAGGAAATTCCATAATGAGCAGCATTGCTTGTTTAGATCAACAATTAAAGTTGAATTTATTATTGATCTTTATCATATGTTGGATGTTCGGTTAATCTAACTTGTAAGAAGTGAGTGTTTGAAAATGCATATTAATTGACTTCATAATTTAAATAGTTATATAAATCTACTGATTCAACTGACTAGAATTGATATCTCATATTAGTCAATGTAAAATCATAGAATACAAGTCCATTCTTTGAATTGCTGATGATAATCTTATATAGTGTTTGATCTTAATTTTAGTATTATTTAATGACTGTGAAATCACTTGGTCTAAAGTATTCTAAGGGTGATTCCAATTATGAATTCAAAGTTTAAGTTGCAATCACATCCAAGACTTCCAAATTCCAAGTTTTTAATCCCTTCTTCAATTAATAGATAACAATACGACCATCAACGTCACTGTATTAGAAATTATCAGTGTGTAAAACAACCATTATGTCATTGTCTATTAATTGTATTTTTGAAGCCTGTTCAATCTTAAACTTCTCGCCTAATGGAGAACATCCAGTGACAGAAAGACATCCGGTGACATAAATGGAATACTATCCTTTATCTTCGCAAAGAGTGTAAATGAGGAGTTTATCTGATGATACTTAAGCTTGATAACATCGATAAGTTGGAGATGGTAAATCGAAATGATAAGTGGCCATCAAGGTGTTATCGGGATGTGTAAATATCAATCCTTTCGTGGCTACAAAGATATTAGCATCATCATTATATTTAATCACTTCTCTGATTTCAAATCCATTGAAGAATTTTGGATTATTGGTTTCCAAAATGTTTTGAACAATAATGTGGTTTTCACATTGTTCGCATTCCAAATCAATGCCAACCAATTGACCAGAGAACCATTGGGTGCCCAATTCAACATTCTTTTATTAACTATTAGAATTTAATATCACTCCAGATTTGAAGAGATCGAATTTAGTATTATCTATTTCTATTATTGATTAAGTGTTGATGAGTTGCACTTAATCCTATATTTTGACTGTGTTGAAGGGTTCATCTGGATAATCATAATTAGACACGATCAGATTCAAATTCATATTTGAATTATACATGGCATTATCCAAATTAACCTTAAGAGTCATGACGGAATTCTTCATCTCTGAAACTAAGGTGGTCTACCCATCTACATAGGTGTACAAGAACATCTATTAGTCTCCATCGACAGCCATCACAATCTTATCGTCATCTGGAATGTTTTCATTTGAGATACTCCAAGCGTCAAAAAGAGTGTCATGTTACAGAGTATCAGGAGTGAACACCAAGATATGTGCTTTTTTTGAGTATTTACAATAGGCTCTTACGAATAGTCTTCCATTCTCTTCACTCTAGTCGACAGTCAAAGGCGAGGTGATTTAATACCAATACAATTGGAGGGTCTTGATCTTGAAGATATTGTTTAATCTTGAGAAATCATATTCCTCAATGAAGCCATCTCTAGCTCCTTGAGTTGATTATCCATAGACAATGAAGAAGGTGTCTTCAGCAATGGCCAATTCTGCTTCGAGGCCAGCCTTGAATGCGAATTCTTGGAGAAAAGTGAATTTATAGTGGAAATCGACAAGAACAATATTGTCTTGGTTAACAACAAAAATGAGATTGGGATGAAGCTTTCTATTTCCAAATAATCTCTAGGGTTTCCAATTTAAGGAGTAGCCATAAGGCTTGAAAGTATTGGCATCAGCTATGGCCAAGACATGATTTTCATGATCATAGGTGGAGTATGCTAAGATGGTATCGTCTGCTTTGATAATAAAGAAATAGTTATCAGCGAAGAATAGTGATTTGATTTTGTTCATAGGGTCTGTTTTATCATAAGTCAATTGCTTGAAGACTTTCAATTCTCCTGCATAATAATATTTGATTATCACACTAAAGTCAGTGTCTTTGTACATAAAGTATATGTTGTTTAAATCGTGTCTCCATAAAGTGAAAGTTTATTTGTTAACAGTAACCTTCAAGTCAATACCAGATACTATTTTTTAGCAATTGAATTCTTATTCAAATATTGAGGGGTGATCACAAAGCCATATTTGCAATTTCAAGTCATCAGTTTGGATGATCTAATAAAATTAGGTCTACTTTTCTAACACCAACACATCAGCATAGACAACATTGGTAGGCCAAACAATGGAATCCTTTTTCAATACCCATCTCTTATTGATGACTCCCTAAATTTGAGTGTCTTCCAATTCTTTATTGCCTAATTTGTATTATATATTTGGTCCAGATGCTTGAGATTGCAATTATTGATGCGTGTCTCCTTCAACCAGAGTCTTAGGGAATGGATGGGCACTATTGGCCAACTTATAGATCTGAGGGTCTCTGTCATTCAATATTTGATAGGAGATGGTGATTGAGCATTTTTACTCGTTGGGAGCGTAGGCTGTTAAGATAATGTCCTTCACTGCTTTAGCCCCTGTACTGCCCATGTATTTCAAATGGCCCATGGATAAGGTGTATCTTTTGGATAATAAATTTGATATGACCACCAAATCAGGTAAGTAAGGATTCAACAAGATGATGTCCTTTTAACTGAGAGTGTACCTGGAGTTTAATTGGACATTCTCAGTGTCTATGTTGTATAAGTAGAGGGTGTGTTCATTTCTAATGATGACATTCTCCTAAGAGAGTTTAATGTAGGCAGGATACTCCAATTGAATGAATGGCAAATCATAAATGTATTTGAATTCCATATTCTCAATTTGAATGAAATAATTATATCCCTGCACTACAATCACATGGGCCAATGACTCATCTTCCTTGATGAATGAGTTCACACTAAATGCGAAGGCCTGTCCTGTTCTTGGATAGACAATGTTCTGCACTTCCCATTCTCCATTTGGCAAATATTTGACTATGTACAGACCGTTGAAGGCATCTAACAAATAGATATCTCCATTTGGTTGGACAGAGAAATCAACCAAAGAAAAGTCGATTTTGGGAACTCCCAAAGTATCTGCCAAGACAGCCTTGTCTAATACAAAGTTGGTGTTCTGAGGTTCACCAGAAGCAGATATTAAGTAGACTTCAACCAAAGAGTCTGAGGCCAATTCGGAATCTAAACTAACAGCGTAGGCTGGTGTCACTCTGAAGAGGTATTGATGTGTGATTCCGAGAGCATTGGTTACAGTGTACTGTCCAAGGAACCTCTATTTATAGGTTTAAAAGATGGCTTTTTCAGTGAACACTTGATTTTTGGTTCCATCCTTGGAGAGTACAAAAAATATATTTTGTAATATGATTTTATCGTCTTGGACTACTTACTTTTGGCAATCCACAATGTATTGCTGGGTGTTTGTAAAATCAACATCGAAGCAGGTTATTTCTGAGTTGTTTCTTTTGGTAACTAAATAGCGTTAATTGAAATAAGGAGATGCCCTTACATCTGAACTATTGTATATAGAACTGTTATTGTACCCTTCGGCAATATTTAAATAAACTTCATCTTCAGATTAATCTAGGAACGCGAACATATTGAGCCAAAATCCACTTGAGGATATTCTAGCTGCTTTGGCTGCAACAATATTTGAGGCAACTTTTAATATGGAATATTATTTCATTACCATTCTTATGTGAGGAATCTCTTCCAGTTTGTTCGAAGGGATGTATGATCTGAAATTCTTTCTATTGAGAGTCACTTAAAGTGTAGGTCAAATCAGCTCCATCAAAAAATTCAGATTTGATTTGCCAGGTTAAAATCTCGTTCGTTGTCGGAAATATTGATATTTTGTCCAGTTTTGATGCTAGCATATAAGTGATGATTACTGCAGCCATTCTTGGCCACGTTTGCAATAGCTGTCCATAAGCTCAAAATAATAAGGAGCATGGAAGATTTTATTTTTAATATAAATATTAATTTAAATCTTTGATGTTCGTGCAAATGAATCTCATACCCATTACTAATTTTCTAGAATTTCGATTGCGTCTCTTAAACCAGAACTTTTAGTCTATCATTTGTTTCATCCCTAAACACACGCAAATTAACAAACGAAAATTAATATTTTGTTATTAATACTGAATATGCATTATGATATTAATCATGCCAATGGGGAAGCATTGTTCTCCACCTTATATTGCTCTACTTATTTGATGTAATTAACGTAGTGTCTAAGCTTATTCAAAACGGGCAGAGTTTCAGCTGAAATCACATATCCCAAATCCTCCTCAATCTAAATTTACTCAATATGTCCTTACTTGCATCGACAACTCAATCGAATCCAAACTGTCCAATCCATGCTATTCCAATTCAGAATCCAGAGTTAAAGCCGACTGAACATTATTATCATTTCTTACTTTGTTTGTTGTTCTGTAATAATTCTTCACCAAAGTGAGCACATACCCTTCGATATCCTAGGACTTCTTCAATTAGAGATAATTCTTTGTTATCAATTATCCGTCTTTATAGACTTGAATTGGCTTTGCCTATTATTGTTTGCCCTATGTGGTCGCAGGAGTCTTGTCTGCAGCAAAGCAAAAGATTGGCCTCATCTACAACAATCGTAATCCTCTGATCATATTATTTAAATAATATATTTGAAATAAAATATTATTGCTTCTCCCTTCTTTTTATATACTCAAGATCCCCTTTTGCATTTCTGCCTCTTCATCAACGGCAACAACTTCCTCATCCTCGGCATATCAACATCACTTATGTATCGAGTTCGCCTTTTCCTCCTCAAATTCGCCTTCGAACAATTTCGATTCAAATGCCTAGACCCTGGAGACTTGAACTTCAGTCTTCTCGCCCTCCTCGGACCCACAATCTTCACCCTCTTCATCAACCCCTTGTGATTCCCAATCTTATATAATCTGTTCTGACTCCTAATCCTCTTCTTCCAACTCGATCCCGACGACTTCGTCTTAGATCTAGCCTGCCCACTGATACGAGTTTATTTAAATAACCTCGCCAATCCAAAAAATTGCACAGGCTTCTAACAAAGTTGAATAGGCCGAATAACTGGCATAATTTGCACCATGCTTCTTATTGCCTAAGTGGCCAATCTCAACATAAACACTTAATTTTATATAAATAAATATCAAAATCAGCCCCCACTTCTCTATTTCACTCTTAACGTCTCCCCCCCCTTCGCATTCGTAGATTCAACACTCTCTCAGCAAGTTAATAACAATTTCAACATCGATCTAGTTCAACCATGGATAAAACTGTTGATATGAATAGTAATCTCCCTAGAAATTAGAAGTTTTTAATTCTTTCAATTCTCTAGATCTCCTCTAAATGTCTAATATTAATTAATTTCATTAATTCTAAAATATTCCTCTTAATTTGAATAACTCATCCTTCTCTCTAATACTTAAACCTTTTAGTTTTATTATTCTTCGTCACTTGAATAAGTAGATTACTAATAATTATTATTATTTGCTCGTTTTTCTTATTTTTACTGTATTTTCTCCTTTGTCAATTAAATTAGAAATTGATAACACTTCTTTCTAGTTTTCATTCATTAAAAAATGCATCCTTAATTCTAAATTTAGCAGAGTCTATAATTTAAGGTCAAACTTAGTTCAATGCCTTTGAATGAACAAGATGTTCTTATCAATTATGAACAATTCTGAATGATTTAAAGTAGATTCCTGGTATTACATGATCTTCCAAATTTTGAAGAAATATCAAATTCATTTATTTACTTCCTTTTCTTCTTTAATTTATGTAAAATCTATACTGCTTCAATTCTATAATGACTCTTCCTTTTATTATCCCCTTTTAATTCATTTTTTATATTCATGATTTTTTATTTCTAAATCTTTGGAATGATGATGGTAAAAAATGAAGAGCAAAACTAATTCTTTCTATCCTAAAACTTTTGTATGACTTGTTATTATTAGTAAAAAGTGATAATTTTCCATAATTTTATAATATAGATTAACCAATACTTTAAGGATTCAAAGGTTAGTAGTGTATTTGAATTCTGTTTTATCTTATCATTATTATATTAATTTCATCAATAGCTAAAACTTATTCTCATCAAAAAGTAATCTCTCAATTTTACTCTCTCTTTTATAAATATATCAATAAGAATACAGGAATATTATTTTACCTAAAATAAATAATAATTAAGAAAAGAATTCTAAACATAATCTTACATTCCAAATAGCTTTGGATCTCAAATATTCCTTCTACTCAATGACTATTGACAAGTTTGTTAATTTAATTGAAGTACATTTATTTATTAAAAAATAATAGGGAAATATTATATAGTTTTGCTAGCTTTAAATATAAATAGCTATCTCATAAATTTTATTAAATTATGTAATCTTTGCTCTAGCATTATTTGGATGGTAAAGGAACAGCCAAACTTTGTGAATTGAATGTGATGAGGAATTTAAAATGGATGGCATGAATATGATTAAAAAATAATGAACAAATTTGCGGATAAACATAATTTAAATAAATACTAATGAATTACATTGAGAAATGTGAATTGTTGTCATTGGAAAATAAAATTCCACCACAGATTTATGGTAATAAATATTCATACATAATTATATTGTTTATAAATTCTGATGGATCTTTATATTATTTACATTTTAATTTATCTTGAATTTCTTTTATATTATGAGACTATGGATACAGCAGACATGGAGGTCAGGAATAAGAATTGGAGTAGAGGGCGGGTTTGAAGGATTTGAGTGGCTAAAGAAAACAAAGATAATTATTTTAAATAATTTCAAATATTTTTATATTTTATTTATAAAATAAAGGAGGGTCATTAAAATCTTGAGGTATTAAAGCCATTTTTTTGAATGAAGAATATTAAAAATTAATATAAATTACATTTTCTTGATGTCGGAGCCCAAGAAGAAGTTATGGATTGGCAATCTTGCTTACAAAGTAACATGATTATTTAGAATTGTGTAGGTTTAAAAGGATGATTTAGAGGAGCTGTTTAAACAGTATGGTTAAATCACCGAGATTAAAGTGTTGGACAAGGGTCCTCACGTATACGCATTTGTTGAATTCGAAAAGGTAGAAAAAGCGATTGAGGCCTACAATAGGTAAAGGAGTGAAAAATCTCTATATATTAGTTTACAAGGTCGTGAGTTGAAAGGGTAAGCAATGAAGATTGAGTATGCAAGTGGAAGGAAGAGGTAATAGTTAATTTAATTAGTATTTAGGAGTACAAATGATCGTGATAAAGAGAGAGGTAGAGGAGGCAATGATAAGTACAGGAAGAGAGATAGTAACTATAAGAGGCGATCCCGAAGTCGAAGCGTCGACAGACATAAAAAGAAACCTAAAAGTTTAACTAACTCACTTACTTTACTTCTAATTAGGCCACAAAAGACACTCATCCAGCTCTGAGTCTTCCCGTCGTGACAAATAGTATAACAAGCAAAAACAGCCCGCGCGTTCCCCTTCGGATGATCTTTCAAACTGAGTATCATTAATACAAGAAAAAATATTTTAATACATTAAATTATGATATTACAAAAAATCTTAATTAATTATTTCATCGCTTCTTCGTGACTGTGGTAACTACAGTAGCAATCAAGCCCAAAAGCAATAAAATGAATGCAATATCCAGAGCGAACTTATTGGGTCTTCGATAAACTTCAGTTAATCTTTTCAACGCTTTATTAGCAGAAGTTAAACTTTAATTAGTTTTATCGACTTCTTAAATTAATTCCTTAACTCTTCCACCAGTCTCGTCGATTTTCTACATAAAGTTTACTCAAATCAAATACCTAACTCATTGCTTAAACCTTGTAATGCATTTGATCCAACCCTGCAATAATTTGATCCAATTATTTATCCATATATTCATCATTCAGATTCCATCTTTGAATAGCCTCCTAATCCTCCAAACTCAGTTGTTCCTGATACTCCAATTAATTCTTTTGAAATTGAGTGCCCCCCTCAAAAACTTGATTCTTTAATTCATTCAGTGTCACTCCCTTAAACTCCTATTCTTCAACTCCGAATTCCCTCATCTTGGTTCCCTTCAAAGCAATCTTTAACAATTTAAATGATGTAACTCTTAACTCCAAATCATTTTGATTATATTTCTATATTGGAAATGCATGATTACTTTAGGCTTCTTTAATTATCGCAAAAGAGTTTTCTCTAAAGATTTATATTGCGATTCGCATTTTAAAATAGACTCTCTAATTTCTACACCAAAACGAATTGCATCCTCATCATTTCCATACTTTTAATTTCGCTGATCTCTGTCCTTCTATTTTGCAGAAATCATTTCGACCTCCTCCTTTAAATCTTCAATCATCTAATCAAATTCTTTCTGAGGATTCCTCACATTCTTCTTTCTTTCATTGCCTCCCAACTTTTCATCCAACCTATACAATCTCTCAAGTAAAACTACAACTCTTTAAGATCTCATTTAATTATTAATTATTTTACATAAGTTAATTTAAACATTCCGATCATCCTTTTCTTACATCCTGATGTCTCCCAATACTAAATTTGATAAGCAATTTGATTAAACAATATAAATCAATAAATTGTTAAAGTGAGGTTGGTTGCATCACATTATAAATATATTAAAAACATATTAGAAATACTCGATACACCTATTATGATAATATAGAAAATATTAAAAAGAAATATTCATATAATCATTTATTTGGTCTTTTAGGATGTCATCTATAAAATTTTAATTGCTTAAACTTCAAATCCTTTGTTCTATCTAAATAGTTAAGTATTATATGCTGATACAATCAGAACTTATATCCACCTCTATTCATTCTTTTCTCAATATACGAGATGAAAGGGAAATTTAAATGTAAAAATTTAGGAATTTATATATATTTACTCAATCATATATCCCAAATGAGTCTGAGTTGGTTGGTGTCTCCTCAATTACATAAAAACTTCGCTATTATATAAATCATGACAACATCATGCTTGGCAATAGAAATAACAATTTTTTATAAAGCTGGACCTCAAGATAAGAGGAGATTAATATTTTATTACTTTGCAAGCTAGATACTAGAGAAGATTACAAAGAAAAGAAAGACCATTAGAAATTCATAAGTGAAAAATTCGCAGATGTAGATGCCAAAAGTGGAATATTCACATTTGGAGGTATTTTCTTGGCTTTAGCAACAATAAGGGAAGAAAAATTAATTACCTCTAGAATTTCAAGTATTCCATTCTTAAATGGAATCTTGGTTTTGGGAATTGTTAATTGACATAATAAAATGCATTTAGTTTGGTTTCTGCAGTATTTTCGTATAACTTTTCATAAATCTTATTTGAGCCCATCTTTGTTTAAAAAAAACCAGGTGATATCCATATTTGGCAGAGGTATATAGCTTTTCAGTGTTTGATTTCGCTTTGGCAAAGAAGGAAGCCAGATTGAAGCAATTAAGAGCAGAGCTAACAAGCGATAGTAGTAATGCAGCATATTTCTGAACCAATATTACAACATCAATAAAATATTAATATTATAATGATAAGAAACTAAATCCCATCATCCTTAGCATCTAAAAATTGATTTTTATAATTTCATAATTTTAACTAATTGCATAATGTTATAGATAAACTTTTAAGAATATTATATTAACAAGTATAAATAATCATAAATTTTACAGAATCTACTTACACCAAGATAATAGAGGAATTTTGAATTCGTGAAAGTCAGGGTTCTTTGTAATTTAATAAAACCAAAAGTTTAGCAGTATTTTTGAGTTTAGACTGAAATTAATTGGAGATTTTAAAAGATAGTCCTAAATTATTTAAGGTTTTCAATAGTAATAATTTTAGAATAAGATTCAACATGTACTTATAATTTCTGATTATCTTTTTTAAAGAGGAGAGTTTAGATTTGGAAATGTCTTATGGGGATTCAATATGAAATTAATTGGATTGATTGGCAGCAATTTAAATTATTTAAATATTTATGTGTTTTAATGAAAATTAATTATAGAGTTTAATGAACTCGATTATAGTGTTTTTAAGGGATAATTAAATATTTATTAATATTATTAATATATATTTACGAATGTTGGTTGGAAAGAGAAAGTGTTTCGAAGATGAGCCAAGTGAAGTACCTAATAAATTTATTAGTTTAGACTAGAAATCCTACCTTTGCTCTAAGAAGGCGTATTACTTAGGAGAGAAATTTAGAAACTTTATGCCAGGCACGTAAAAGAATTACTTTGTATGTGATATTAATTTATTTATTTAGATAAAATTTGGCGATTATTTAAGAGAAGTACCCTCAGATTCAGCAATCAGATATTTTGAGATTATTGGAGGATTTCGACAACAATGTTGAGATAGTCTTTGAGATTCTTGGGTAAAAGGCCTCCATTCCACAGAAATTCGAGATTGGCGATGCAGATGTATTGTTTTAAACATATATAATAGTTTGACAATTACAAAAAGGCTTTAAAAGAGGAATTACTCAAAAGGCTCTAGCAATCATAAAATATCCAGTCGGCTCAACAGGTGATATAATTATGTTTTGACGCCTTCGAGTAAAAATTAGGGGAGAAATATTAGTCGAATGTAAGTTTTTCATTAAGAATGTAGACCCAGAGATTGGAGGACGAGAACAAACTACTGAAGCAGGCATTTCTCAAGTAGCACAAGAGGATCGAGAAAATAAGGGTAGAAGCAGAAAATAAAGAGAAATAAAATTAAAATTTAATTAAATCACTCACTGAAGAAAATAAACAATAATAATAAATTAATAATAACCTCACAATATTGTTAATACAAGCTTAGCAAAATAACACTGTTTCAACTCTTAATAACATTAACAATGACATATATTGAACAATATATTTCTAATTTATTTGTTATAATTATAATTCTTATATGATATTATATATATATATAAATAATGAATAATAATAATTGTTTGGGAGTTAAAGAGATTAGATAGAAATGCAAATCATTTTTCGAACAATACTCTAATCGATTGCCTCAGCAGGTTTCAAAATCAAGAGACGCCCAACAATATTAGTCACTATGTTAACATGAAGTTAGAAAATTTGAAAAGATGTATCTCAAACCAAAGCGATCAGTTTAATATAATTCTATTCAAACCGAATCAAACCAAGTTGACAGTTATGCCTATTGCCAAAGAAGACAAAGCACAGAACCAAAAGGCAACTCAAAAAAGAGGAGTCACATAATTAAAACTGTATACAATTTAGAATTAATTAGTTTTGAAGAAAGTATTAAGTTAATTGGACTTATATAAATCTTGTGACATCGACACATTTAATAATCAGGAGATTCCTATAGGAGATATTACAATTTAGTATCATTAGAATTCTGAGAATCGAAAGGCTAGTGTAATTAATAAAGAAAATCAGAAGGAAGACAATCTGAGATTACCTATCCTAAAAAAATGCTTATTCTGTAAATTATACAAATTCACATTAGAAATTGACAAATCAGATAACAAAGTTAATCAAGGGAAGCTGCCAAAATTTGGTGAGAGTTTGGTGACACCATTTTTTGGAACTAAAAAGCCCATTTCTTTGGATAAAAGACCATGTGAATTTTAAGGGTTAGTTTACAAGAGAAAAAAATGATTTTGATCCAATAATTTATTACTAAAATTTTCTCTATTTAAAAGAAAAGAAATAATTTTTATTAGATGATTTAATAAATAAATTCATCAATGAATAACATCATTATGTCGAGTAATGGAACCACTTACGCCTTGAAAGCCTAATTGGGTAGTGGCTCCTTTGGAACAGTCTACCAGGTCTTGGATTTGAGCTCAAACAAGTATTTCGCCTGCAAAATTGTAATCCATTTGTTAATGAATAGATTTCAAAAGCAATGTTAAATAAATATAATGCAGAATCAATGGTCAGACAAGAGATTAAAATACAATCAACATTAAATCACAAAAACATACTCAAAGTACATCATTCATTCGAAAACAATCAAAATATTTATATCATTTCCGAATACTGTTCGAGAGGTTCCTTACAAATTCCAAAGACTCCCTATGAAGAGAAAGAAGTCTTTAACGTTTGTATTTCCATGTTAGGAGCCTTAGACTGTTTACATCAGAATAAAATAATCCATCGAGATTTGAAAGTAAAATTTTAATTTATATCTTCTAAATTAGTTAGAGAATGTGTTTCTGCACGAAGATGGCACTTATAAATTGGGTGACTTTGGTTGGGCCACTTACATAAATAAAGTCGAACCCATTCTTTGTGGAACTACTGAATATATGCCTCCAGAGGTTGTGTTGAAATAATAACATGATTATAAAGTAGATTGCTATTCCCTTGGAGCATTAATCTATGTAATTTTATTTTATTTATCATAATAGATTTTACTTCATACTCATTTCCCAATTCAAGCCAATTCTTAAACAGAGTTAATAAGGAAGATAACCAATTAAGAAATTGTTGTTAATAGTCATATTAATGAGGATTTACAAATTCTAATTCAAGCGTTATTAACCAAAGACCCAAATGATAGACCTACTGTTTAATAATTATATTTAAGTAGATGGATTAAAAAATAGATGAAGTTAAATAATATTTTCAATAAGTATGAAAATGAGGAACTCAAAAATAAATTCAGACACAAGAATCTTCCAATCAAAACATTAGAAGTGAAGTATATATTAATTATCATTTTTCGTAGTGGATCAGTCAAAACCAGCCTTTCGGACAGTCAAAAAACATCCTTAACTCATAGCTCTAGTACTCAGTTCAGCTCATCAAATAATCCTTTCTCACCTGCTACCAATAAGGGCAATATTGATTAGATATTCAACTTTAAGGATTTTGACAATATCAACTCTGTACCACAACCTAAACTTTACTGATACTATAATTTAACTCAATGAAGTGATTTGTAAATATGTATATTTGTATGTTTTTGTATTATATGAAATTCCCATTACTTTTGCTTATAAAAATTGAGAAAACTATTTCAAATAAATATTCAGTGATCTTAATTTATAAAAATTACTAGTAACTTCGTTGCCTAACACTTTATCATCTCAAATATTATATATAATCTCTGATTAGTATTATTCGGTCATAAACTCCTTTGCTTAGTTTGATTATTATCAAATATTATGTTATTATTTATAATAATGACAGAACAATATATTATTGATTCAGAAATTATAGAGGATGAAGTTGATCGACCAGTCTCAGTTTACAACCTAAATGTTTGCTCCAAAGAAGACATTGATTTTAGACTCCAAGATTGCTAATTGAACGAGCCTGATATTTAAGATTTAGAGTAAAAAATGAATAACCTAATTTATAATTCTTGTGGTTTTAAAAGAGGATTGATAAAACCGAAGAAAGAATAATAATAACACTCGGTCATAGTCTCAACACACAATAGATCTAAGAATGAAATGCTATCTTTTATAAAGCCGACTTAACCTATCCAATAATTATCCGTAATTTCCAATGGAGATCAATCCTCATTGTTTTCAAGAAAGGAAACAGTTCCAAAAATTAATTTTGTTGGCGAAATGAAAGAGAGCTTGAATCAAAATACGACAGTAGATTTGAGAAAAAATCTAAAACTCCACACCCACGGACCATTTGATGTAACCAAATTAAGAGATGGTTTATCTCCTTCTGTTAACAATCGATTTTCCTCCAAAAAGCAATCCCAATTCTCACAAAGATCACATGAAACCTATAATTCATATTTGGAGTCATCCTATAATTAAACCTAACAGATACCATCATAACATTCAATAAAATATCAAGACACAAGAAAGGAGAGATCGAAAATTGCAAAGACAACTGTTAAAGCGCTCCAAAACCAAAAAAATTAGAAACTCAGAATTTCATAACAAGCCAACTCTCAAAGGACATCTCAGCTATCCTTATTGCAATTAGAATACGATGGAGTCAGAGGTAGATCATAGAGTTCAGTTTCAACTCCAAAAAGTATCCTAAAAAATCCTTCACTACAAAACTCCCAGTTGGAAATTGTAAGCAGATTAAGTTTCTAAAGTAGGCTTAGTTTTTCAAGTTTAAACATAACTGGCTAATAATCTCCTAAAAAATAACAAACTAGCTCTTAATCTCCTGCCAAAAAAGTTAAATTTTGTTTAACCAAAAAGCAAGCAAGAAGAGAAAACATTCCCTGTTGATTTTGTTATTGATTATAGTAAAGTAGGAGGTTTACTGTATTTAAAATGTATTTATAATTAAATATATCTAATTACAAAAATCAAAAATACACATCAAAATCTTAGATTAATTTATCATCAATCTGACTCTCCTTCACTTTATTAACAATTCCACTCATTTCAATCATTTTTACTACTGCTGAAAATGGTATAATTAACTCATTGTTAACATCTTAAGAATCAAATAGCTTATGCAAAATATTAAGTAATGTTTTAACAGTATGTTCTTCGATCTTTGTTGATCGTGCTTCCATAGAAAACAAATGATTGCATATAGTTAACAATCCTATTCTAATTAATTTTGATAATTATTCTTCGTTACACTTTAGATAATAAATGATTAATACCAAAATAGAGAAATTCAAAATCACATACGAGAATTCAAGAGCCTCATTATCTGAGAATTCGGAAGTCTGTCCAAAAATCTAATCTAGCAATTAAGAGTCTAATAATTAAAGTAGGAATTCCTTGTTCTGAATTTTATTGGAAATAGCCCAAAATAATTAGATTCTCAAAGCTTTATTAAGATCTTGTGATTGAAAATTTGAGTTGATTACTTTCTTATAGATAACAAACTCCTTCTCAAATAACTAATCACTAATTCCATAATAAATAATCACAACTTTCAAAGCTAAAAAATCATAACTTGTTCTTAAAGCTGTGTCATAGAGTTTTAAGAACATTGGAGAAGAGATTATTTCATTTGCGTAGGTATAATTATTTTCAAATGATAATTTTGAAGGGATTTCCTCAAGAATTTCCAAGGCTAATCTCCTTATGGCTTAATTTTCATCAAAGTAAGACTTTATTACGTATTCCTTAATTGATTTAATTTTGTCAATATTGATTTCCAAACAAAAAGTAAAGGCTGAACCTATTAAGGCTAAGATAACTTCAGAAAATTGTCTATTAGGATCAAGCACCATTAATTAAGATAGAAATTCAAAATTATTTTAGATTAGTAAATCTCTATAAGTCTGCTTTTCTTAGGCTAGAAAATAGATGCAATTTAAAGTCTAAAATGAGTTTAACTCTTACTTAAGGGAATATTTCAAATACCTCTTCTTTTATATTATTTTATAAGTATTACAAAAATTGGATATCATCTAATTCTGCAAACTTTTAATAATCTTCTCTGTTTAGATAATAGAAAACACTTTGAATTAACGTTGCATTTATTTCTTGAAACTCATTATCCATTTTTGATAGATTTATAAGGAATCTGATTTTATATGATTTATTACCTAAATTTTTTTACTATATTTTCAGTCACCCAATAATCAACATTTTACTCATCTTCAAAGGCTTTTTAGAGCACATTTAGTAATAACTTAATATTATTAAGGTCTTCCTCAATTAACTACTCTCTAAATTGATAATTGACTAGTTCATCGCAAACTTTATGTAGAAAATCATTTTTTGTTTATTCATAATTATAGAACCGTCTTTTTTTCTTAAACTCCTCTGTTAGTTTTTGGTGTCTTATCTATACTCTAAACTTCTCTCTTTTAAATGACAACAAATCATTTGATTCCCCTTAATTCATTTTAAATTTAAAATTATATTATTATTTATAATCAACATAGAGGTAAAATTGTGTGTGAACCCATCTTATTAGCAGATCTAGGAGTTATTGTCGATAAAATTGCTGTCATCCTCTTTTGATTTGGATTATTTCTGGATACCTCCAACAAAGATTTCAATGAATTCAGCTTTTTTGAATTACTAATTTAATCTGTTGTATGGGCCAAACTATCATTTTTTTAAATCAATTTTTCAAACAAAATATTGCTCCTACTTTAATTACAATAAATTTACTTGGTAGTAGTGTTTTAGGATGATCTTCTGGTTGAAAATGGTTTTGATTAGATCAAGCTTTCCTTCTCATCCATCATTTTCTTAATAGTCTCCTTGGTGTTGATATTGATATCTCTAATCAATTGATCTTCATCTTGTGTCTTATGATTACTGCCCATATCTTTACTAAATTCTTTATTAGTAATTACAGGCTTTTCTTCCAATTTCACTGTTTTAGTTTATCGATGCATGTTATGCACTTTTTAAAATATATTAGGTGATGATTAAGAGTTTAATTTTCTCTACTTATTGTACTACTCCAATAATTGAGATTGCTCAGTCTTAGTTTTGATTTAAAGCTGAATACTTAATAGTTGTTGTAGTTGATTGATGCTTTTAGCTTACTGCTTCCTCTGTCTCTTTCTAGACTCTCTCGTTTCATGTTCAAAGGGCTCTTTGTTCAAATTAATACAACCAAAAATTCTCTTAAATTCTAAAAATAAGGTGTAAATATTTACAAATTTTTTATTTTGATTGTTTCAAAGTTTTATCAAATGTAATTGTTTCAATTTGTTATTATACTAAATCTTAATTATGCTATTCGGCTAAATTCTCTAATTCTTACAATTTTACAGACTTCTCTATTGCATTTCCATAATACATTTGTAATGTGACATCTTCTTTGTTTAGCTACTTTTTGTTTCTCTTGTTTGATTATTAGACATGAATTATTGGTTATGAAAATCCTTCTGATTCAGTTTAAAATCTAGTCGACAATCCATTATCCGAATATTTAGTTTTCATCAATACAGATCTGCATATGGTTGTAGATTCATTTTCATTAGTTTACTATTTATAAACCATCTAAACACTAGCATTTGTTTTAAGAGCTTTGGATCTCTCTAAATAAGTTTCACTTTCTATAATTTCATTACTGTATGGAGGTTATGATTTATCATAATAGAAATAATGTCTTCTGATTTTTGGAAATTCACTGAATTCGTAAAGCATATTGTTGTAATAATTTAATTGATCCTCTTCTACAGGGACTTTCAATGTTTCTTCTTCTGGCAGAGCCTGCTTTAGCACTTTAGAGATTTCAGCCTTCTCAAGAGCATATTCTAAGTATTTGGTGTTGTCCACATATTATTAGAAATATAGTCTTCCTATTGAGTCTTCTGGCTAATAATTTGAATCAACCCAAGTCATCATTTTGAGAGTCTCTTGATATTTTAGAAAGTCATTTAACTATTCATACACCAATGCTATTAAAAACAAAGACAAAATGATCTCTTTTGACTATTGATATTATTATCAATATTGATTACGTAATAATTCAGAGTAATCTTTATTTCTTCTAAGGAAGTAAGGGTGATTTCCTTATAAATGATGATTAGATTCCTTTGGTAGAAATCGAGTCCTTTAAGATAATACTTCAAAGCTGTCTGATAGTTTTGCAATTGAAAGTAACTATTTCCAGCAACCAGATGGTATTTGCTAATTTATATGAACCCATTCTTACCCCTATAAACTTAAGAAAAACGTTATTTTCTCAATCAAAGCCTACTCTATTATTGTACCATTAAGATGGTGAAAGTACAAGAGACCTCTGGCTACCATTTGATTTTTTTGATAATATTATGATCTGAATAGTAATGCCTTTATCAATATCGATATCAATTCTTGAGTGTAAAACTTTTCTAATTAAGAATTTCAATATCGCTTACTCTTATACTAGATCTTCAAGAGTGAAATGTTATCATGGAAATCTCTCATATAGAGAAGGAATCGTGACCAAAGAGTGAACTAATTTTTGCCTTAATTAATTTCGCCCTTGTTGATTTTGAGTTTGAAATACATTAATGTACAATAGCATAATCTCCTCAAGACTTTGATTTTTAGTAGTAAAGGTGATTCAATAGGAAGCAGTTTTTTATATTGGCCATCCAAATGCATAACACATTTTCGATAACATCCCTAAATTAGAGAGGACTTACATTTCTTATCAAAGTGTTGGAGTCCACTAAGAATTATTCGACTTAGTTGATTAAGTAGGGATTTTACGGTAAAGCTGATGAAACCTTTATTTATAACATAAATATATATAAATTTATTAGTAATACAAGATATTAAATTGTATACAATATTTAATAATTATACCATTTTTACCTATTAACATTTTCATTAATCTTTTCTAGGAACTTCAATAGCATCCACATAATTATATTTCTTGAACTCCCCAATCACTGCCTTCACAGATGTAGCCGGTATCAATCCAACCTCTGTCACAATCTAGTAAATTAGATTATGCGCTATACCATATTAATATAATTGGACTATGTTATATCATATCTGAGACTCAAAGAAGTGTATTATTGATTTTCATTTCCCTGTTCTAATTACGCTATTTCATTCCATGACAATGAATCAATTTGACTCTTTTCTGAGAATTTATAACTTTCACAAAATACTAAAAATGGTATTTTATGAGTTGATGCCAGGCATGCCAACAAGGCTGTCCCAACTCTTGATACCAGGGCTCCATTACATAACATTGACGATGCTCCTACCAAGATTTTATCAACCTATATGATATTAGATTGTTTCTACTTTTGACAGAATGTAGCTAACATGAGATAACAATATTTAATAACAGGAGATTCCCTATTATTATAAACGATTCACTAATTACGATCCCTCTCCGAATTAAGGGTTATCGACGACGAAGATAGTCAATTACTTACCTTACTTAAAATAGTTAATGAGGAAATTCTCAATCAAATAGGATCGAGCATATACTAGAATTGTTGTTCCCTCTTATATCAATTGAGTAGCCTTTTTTCATAGGATATGAGATATTATATACATTTTTAACAATCAACTCTGATGCTGAGATGATTTTGGATTGTATGAATTGATCAATCTGATTGCACAGCCAAATCTTTGATTCATTTTCATCAAGTTTTGTGTCTCTTAGGATCATTAAGCACTCCCTTATGAATAAATAGGATGTGCTCATTCCCTCATTTACTGTTCTAAAATTTTTCATTAAATTGAAGATTTTCTTTAATTCATCCAAAAATGCCATAGCGAAGTAATTTGATTGTTTTGATAACTTGTAATCCTTTATGAATTATTTCAAGGCATTAAGAAATTCCACACATCGATGAGTAGACCCTATGCACTATCCATTTTAATATTAAATGCATAGCTCTATAAAAGAATGATGCAAGGTCAAAGGCTAAAGTAGAAACAATATATTACATCAATTTATTTGACTGTCTTTATGCTTACAGAGGTGTAATCCTAAAAGATGGGAAGATGTGAAAGGAAATCTTTTCTTTTGTTTTACTCTTTTGGTGGCTCTGTCTACACAATTTATTTATCATTAATTGGCTACTATTATTGCGTTGCTTATTTAACAATGGGTTGTTGGTTAGTTTATTATTGTTATTGTTATTATTATTATTACACTGTCTTATTGGATTCCTGTTTGGCTTCTGTTTATTCTTATTCTTGTTTTTGTTTCTCTTTATTTGCTTTCTTATCAAATTTTTCTTTAGGCTTCCAAGACTCTCCTTTCTTGGGATTTTGTTGATTTTGTTTTTCTGACATTAATTCTTTAATATTTATTATAAAAATTTAAAATATAAATATGGACATCGAGAACTAAGATGATTGGGATCCTGATCCTCATAAGAAGGATAGCATTCTCCAATTTTCAAATATTAATTTCTCTGGTATTGAATATCATTTAGGCTTAGATAATGTGATTAAGAGAAACAAAAAAAAGTTGGAGAACACTGCTTATGATTCATAATATGTTATGGATTATGCATAATAGAATTGGATTGATGATGACGAGGATGAAGAAATGAAAAATAATACACAAATTGAATTCAACTTCGAATAGACAAAAAAGCAATTGATGATGGAATAAGTGTTTTATAATCCATTGGAGGATTTATAAAACGAAAAATATGTTTAATCGAAATATGAAGCTCATCTCAAAAACAGTGAAAATAATACTGTGATAAGTTGTTCAAATTGCTTTATTTAAATTAGTTATCATTGTCAATAGCATGAGATTTATAAAAAGTAATATAGAGCAATGGTAACAATTAATACAAAAATCATAGAAAATAAATTTGTCAAACCACTAGAAAATGAAAAAGTGAAAAATGATGACATATTGTTGTCAGTGCAATGCAAAATGTGTCAAGAAGAAATTGGGGTGTATGATGTCAAAGCCAAAATATATCACTTCTTTAATGTAGTTTAAGGTTTAGGTTGATTTATCTTTGATATTTAATAAATGTGATAAAATTATTTTATGATAATGTTAATCTAATTGATAACATCCTATCCATTCTATTGTTTCATTTAATACAAAACCTATCAGTAAAAGACTTAAAATAAAAAGAGAAATCACTATTAACTTATGTTGCAATTGAGTATTTTTAATTTACAGTATTTTTTCTGATCAAAATGATAGAATTTACGTATTATATAATAGTAGAAAACTATGAATCATAAATTCTAGTAATAAAATAATTGAAAAGACTTTTAGCTTGATGGACAATCCTCTAACATTTGTTTGCATAAGCGATACTCATTCGCGCTTTATTGAAATTCCTTAGGGAGATGTATTTATCCATTGTGGAGATTTCTCAACACATGGAGAATACAAAGAAGTCGAAGTGTTCATTGATTGGATAAAGGCATTACCTTTTAAATATAAGGTTGTGATAGCAGGAAATCATGATATTTTTCTAGATATTGAAAAATATGAAAAATAGCTCAGGGATCGATTCCACAAAAGATATGCTCCCATGGATCATATAAAACTGAAAGAGAAATTAAAGTAAAGTTGCATTTACTTGGAGAATTCTTCTGTCGTTATAGAAGGATATAAGATTTGGGGAAGTCCATATTCTCCAACAATACCTTTTAATCCATGGGCATTTTAAGTTGATGAAGAAGATGGTGAAGAATTTTGGAAAATAATGGAGGAAGGATCTGATATTGTTTTAACACATGGAGCCCCATTAGGTCATAGCTCTTATGTTAGTAGTTACGAACCTACTGAGGGAGAATGGGGAGATCAAGCATTAGCTAATCGAATAAAAGAAGTTAAGCCCCTTTATCATATTTTTGGACATGTGCATGAAGGCTATGGGATGACGGAGGAAAATGGAACTAAGTATATCAATTGCGCAATTCTTGATGAACGCTATAAATTAGCTGAAAAAGCTTATGTCTTTCAATTACCAAGAAGAGTAGTATCAGAGAATGAAAGCATAAAACAACAATTTTGAACAAGATTTATTTATAAATATATCAATAGTAGAATTTACAGTGAATATTTCATGTAAAATTGCATAATTTTAAAATAATCTCAATTACATTGCCGAAATGAATATTTAATTAATTTATAAAATCAAGTGATATCCTATTATTTGAAAAATTTGTGCTTTCTGCAAACTACTTTTAAATAGAATATTTTCCACTCTGTATTCTATTTTAGTTCTTTCATTTTATTGAGCTCAATTAATTAGTAGTGATCATGTTTTAAGTCTTCATTAATTGCTTAAGCTGATTCATTTTCTTGTTTGTATTAGAATTTCCATAACTATGATTCATATTCCTATTTAATTGTTTTGTTTCTTTAATTATTTCAAGCTATATTTGATACAAATTGACCCAATCTTATTTAAAAAATCATCGAGTTAACTAATATATTAAAATATTTATTATGTTCAAATATTAAGTAATAGAAAATTAAGAATAACTAACATGTTAAAAAAACCACAATTCACCGATCACAACGGTTTTATTTGATGATCATTTAAAAAATAATGAGAGACTATTATGCAATGTGTGCATGTAAGACTTTGAAGGGAATGTCAAAATAGTTGGATTTTAAAAAGTTATCTAAATTATTGAGAATGAGTAAAAAAGAAACGCAGAAAGTGTTGAAGTTTTCATAAAGGCAACAGAAAAAAATGTTCAGATGTTGGCAATAAACGTTCAGAATCTCAAAACAAAAATGCTTTCATAACTTGATTAAATTGAAGGTGTTATATAGCAATGGAAAAATTAATTAGATTAAATTTAACAAAGCACGATTAAATATAGCTTCTTTGAAGAGTTAGACAATCAAATAAAGAAAAAGGTATCTACCTCCTAATCGCATGTTATGTTAATGAAAAATATTCAAACGTATAATTAATCTTGCTAATCAAAATTAGAATCCTATATAGATTAACTAATGTCTTTATAGTTATCGAATGAATATTAAGAATTCAAAAGTTACTTGAAAGAGCTTGAGGAATCTTCCTTGACTAAGTTTAGAGAACAATTAAAAAGCCAAAATTTCTAATAGAAGAATCAAAATTTGGAAATACAATTGATTGAAAATCAGTTTTTATAACCGTAATAATGTAGAGCGATCTCATTTAATCATTCTGATGAAATTATGATATCCACATGTGATGAAATAATTAGAGTATTCAACTTTAAAAATGGTATAATTGAAGAGAGATGTAAATTGCTAGGGCACTCTGAGAGTGTAAACTGTTTAATTTTTAGTAAATTTTCCAACTGCTTTATATCTGGTTCTGCTGATTGTTCAATTCGATGCTGGTAATAATCAGAGAATACATAATGGAAATCTTCATAACCATATAATATGCATACTGGATAAATACTATGCATAATATTGAATTAGAAAGAAAATGAATTAATTTCAGCAAGCCTGGACTCAACAATAAAAATTTGGGAATTGAATTTCAAAAAAAATATTTTAGAATATTAAACTTAATTAATTTAGCATTAAGACAGTATATTTTCATTAAGTTTAAATGAATCTGAAACATTTTTGGTTTCCGCTGGATTGTAAAACCGAATTATTGTTTGGAAAAAAAAAAGAAATGTTTGGGTTTTCAGCAATTTTGTTAAATAATCTTTTTGTGAAAGATGTTTAAAGGTGAAATTTTTAAGAGATAACTTATTATTGTCAGTTGCAGATGCAGATATTAATGTTTTTGAACTTAACAATGGAGTGTTCTAATAGAAAAATGATAAAGCAATAGAATTGTAAAGAGATCATGTTTAAGACAGCTTCCTATTTCCTATAGTTTACAATAATAATAAAAATTTAATTATAATTAGACACAAATTACGGATATATATTATTGGAGAGACGTTAGACCAGAAATTTCAAATAATAAAAATTATTTAGTGTTAATCGAATAGAAGTTAAGGTACGATGACTAATGATGGACAATTCTTAGTGGTTTGGGAATGTAAAGAAATTTAGAAAAGTGGAAGTTATTCAATATATAAACTGTATGTTGATTGAATAATTATTTGATTCACCAATATACTAGTTTAATTTTATGATTCTGAGATGATAATGTCTTAGCAACAAGTATTTTAATATTATGAATAATATATAAATACCAAAATTTAATGTAAAATATAATCTTGGTTGCTTAAATAAGAATAAAATGTTTAAAATAATGCTGAATTTAATAATATACATTTAATAAAATCATTAAATGGCAGCAGAATTCTTGTTGTAAATTGGATAGGTTACATCCTAATGAACTCCGCATTATCCAGTTTTATTTGCAATTCTTGCAAATCTGATAAATCCAGCTTCTCCCCAAGAAAGTCCCCATGAATTCTTAAGTAAATAATAATCTGATGCATATCCAACATTGAGAATTGCATGATTAAGTGATTCAATTTTTCCATCACATTATGATGAGAAGATACCCTTTTTGTAAAGTTAGAAATTGATTCCTTTTGCATTGACACCAACAGAGAGTGCATGTTGAGATGCAGCTTCAACGTAGGCTTAGGAATTGAGTGATTCAACTTCAACAAATCCATTGAATTAAAATCTAGTTTTAGTCTTTTTAGCTTAGCAATCTTAGGCAACAGCAACATATGGGTATTCTGATTTGATAGCAATACCATTAGTTGTGGCATAATTAAAACTTTCGAACATAAAACCACCATTGCAACCATCACTCTCATATTCTCCTCCTTTGACACAATCAACAAGTTCTTATTCAGAAAATTCAACATTTTTTTCTCCGCTCTATCTTGCAGCTGTTTCCAAAGCACCAACAGCAGAGAATGCCCAACATGATCCACAACTTCCTTGATTTTAGACTGGACCGACGACTCCATCATTTCTCAAGTCAACACTTTCTGGGATTTATCTTCCTTGTGCTCTGAAGACTTATTCAGATTGTTATTTATTGGATGGTTTGAAGTTTAAATGTTTTGCTTCAAACTCTTCAGAAGAGATATCAGCAAAGACGTTCATACCAAGTTCATAAGTTTCTAAGCCAGCTTCAAATCTTTTTTAGTGTTCTTATACATAAGCGTAATTTTGTTTAAAAATTCCAAATCTGTGTGTGTTTTCAAATGAAGAGTATCTTTTTCCATGTTCCTATTACCATAATTAGTATTCCTTCATTAATTTGTCCTCTAAGAAGGATGTTGATTCTAAGCTTTAAGTGGTGTTCAATAGGGTTGTACCTGCTAACAATGTTAGGGCTAATATTGTTAATAATTCTTTTTACATTAATAATTACTTCAATTCATTAAGATAAATGAGCTTATATATCAAATAATGAGATCAATATAAAATTGCAATCACGTCACAATTATTATTAAATATTTAAATATTTTTAAATTATATTATTGATTTCATACTATGATGTAATTAATTCATTAACGATTACACAAACATTAAATTAATAACAATAACTATTAATTTAATGTTTTGACAATTCCATATGTAAACAAACTTCAAGAAACCCAATTTGAAGCTAACCAACTGCTTCAAATATTGATTTGCTGATAAATACATAAGAGTTATCATTCATTCTCTTACTTCATATGGAGAAACGTAAAAAAGAAACATTTCTAAGATGGTGTTGATTCTTCAATTTTTAACTCCAACAACTTTGATATAGATATTGGAATATATTGTTATAACATAAAAATAGAAGAAATTCAATACAATATTCTAAAACTCATATATTGTATATATATATTCTATAATGATATTTCACTTTTCCACAAAAAATAGAAGAATTAAGCTATCTAATCTATATTTTCTATTTTACGATTAATTTTCATTTATATTTAAATATTCATATATGTTTCAGAGCTATTTTTACACCTGCCAGATCTAGATTAATTCTTGAAGTATCATCCTACAACAGATTGTGAATTAGTGTAATCCTTATTCAAAAATCGAATAACAACAAGTGGCCATCATCTCTTGAAATCTTTCGATGAGCATACTAATTCTGATAGAATAGTTTTTGATTATATTGAGTCCTCATCTAAAGTGATTCGTATTATTGGCATCTAATTTTAAAATAGTTAGAAAATTTCTAGCATCTTCTATTTTCCCCATATGTTTATCAATCGTTGCTTTTCACATCTACTTATTTATTCTAAATTCAGACAATAACTTGTTAAGTATGTGTGATATCCTTTACAGCTGTCCAAATTGGATTCATTTAAAAATAAAAGAACTAAATTAAATTATCTATTCATTTCCCTTAATTAATAGTTAACCTTCATGTTAATTTGATAGAAATTTTATCTTTGGTGTAACAACCTCAATCGATACAATATATACTTTTCTATTAGGTAAAAACCTCATTTTAAGGTATTTTATTTATATATTCCCAATTCGATTTTATTAAAAAAAATAAATAAATATATAAGTTTATTATTTCAAGAATTTGAAGTGATTACTAGATTATCAAATTAAATGTTTTGATTATGATGTTGAAATAAATTTGATAAATGAAATCATCATTCCTTTAGTAATAATAATTTATGTTTCTTTAATTAATATGATAATCTTCATTTTGTAATATCAACATGGTAAAAACGTGGTTCAACAATTAAATGAACTATCATAAAAGCAAATAATTTTAAATCGATCGTTTCCGTCTTATCAAAATACATTCTTGCTAAGATTAATTAAAGAAATATTTAATTTAGAGGTCTTAATCTAATAATTACTTAAAGGATATTTGCTTTAACTAACAGAATTATTATATCCTAATTAATATAATCAATAGAACACACTAAAAAGTTAAATAAGATAATAGACCATGCTTCATTTATAAAACATCAATTTTTATCTTGGATAACTTTAAAGAACGTCAATATTTGTATTCTTAATTATAGAAATGCAATGTCTGATTTATGAAACTAAAATTTGGTTAATACCTTGATAGAATAAGAAAAAATAATTTATCATATAATAATTATTAATACATGATTTTCATTATGGGGTTATTGTTGCTATCACCGATTTCATAAATAAAGGTTTATCTTTAAGTTTTTCAATTATTTTGACATATTCATACTCCTTAAATATTTTTGTGAACACCTTAAAAGTAGCCACATGTCCACAGCTTGTTAGCATTTTCTAAAATCCTTATTTTCTAGTTTCAAGGACTGATAAATAGGAACATATCAAGGCCAGGTGTTGTTTGCAGTAATCAGAAAATGTTGCCAAATGACTCAAATAACATATTTCATTTTTGGGAAGACTTTTTGTATCACCATATTAACCAAGCAAACTACTGAGCATATTTGCAATTTCTTTCTATGCTTCTGTGGACTCTACCCCGGAATCTACATTCATATCTGACTTGCGTTGCAAATCGTAACTTAAACATGCTGAGACTAGCTTATCTCCATGAAATGCTCCAAAAGATAGATTCTCCTTAATCATCAACAAACTAATTTATAGATATGAATAATTGATACTATTCTTGAAGAATTGCTTTACTACTCATATCTGAATCTATTGAATCTAAAATCAAAAATGCATCATTATGATGTACAAACGCATCAGTCATTAATACCATTAGTTGTTCAGCATCTTCCTCCACTAATTTTCTAAAGGTGTAAACTTTCTCTGCCTCCTTGATGATGTCAGACAAATCACTGATATTAGATACTTACATATGTATGATTTCTAAAATAAAATATATAATTTAAAAAGATTTATTCAATACCTTATCAATAGCAATTAATTCTAACAAATTTTACTATTAATTCATAAATGACGTAATGATTCTCCCAGTATTAAAATAAATAATGAACAATATTTAAATTAAAGTCAATTCCATTTATTCCAATCTGACTCAAACAATTGGTGAAAAATAAATAAAAATGAAATCATTAGTTGGCTTTCGCTTCCTTCATTAACTTCTCGAAATATGCATTCAATAGGTATTTCAAAGGGCTTCTTTTGTAGCAGAAGTAGTTATTTCATATTATAATAAATTTACTTTTCTAAAATGCTATTTATGGATTCTATTTAGTACCTTATACTAGTAAGACGTGGAATTGAAGAGTCTTGCTATTTTTATTCACTAGAAGTCAAAAATGTTCAGATATATTTCTGAATTATTTTTTCAATGGTAATTAAAGTATGTAAATGAAAATAGAGGGGAAAGGAATACGTCTATGAAGTGCAAAGATATCATCTCCAAATAGTCATAATATTTAATAATAGGGTGCATGCAAGAGGCTGTTTCATAACTATTTTAAACTTATTTACTAAAAATTGGTCTTTTTAATACTAATATTATTTTCCAATCATTTTATTTCCTTTATTAGGGCACAAACTCTCAAATTTATGTGTAGCTTGATCAATATATGTTCTGCAAAATAAAAATCTTGTAATTATCAAAACATTTCAAAATAAGTAATACTTCAAAATTAGGAAAAGTAATTCAGTTCTAGACTAGGAACGAGTGTACTTTTGATTTTGTGCCAATCAGGCAATCAAGAACAACTATAGCAATTCAAAGTTAGCAGTATTCTTTCCTTCAGATTTTGAGAAGAAAATCAAAACAATATTATGGTTATTTTAGGAAGATTTTTGTAAATTAGACAGAGGAACTTACATTAGAATCTAGGAATTCAAATGTTTAAAAATATCTCACAACTTAAACATTATTAAATTTATTAATTATAGATTCTATAATAATTTAATTGTTTAAGGATAGAAAAAATCAAATTAAAATTTATCAAATCCTTTAATACATATATTCTAAGAAATCATATTCTCATATATGATAACAGAATATTCCTCCGTTTCTTTCTCCATAAAAAAATTTTGGTTATTGCCAATCTAAATAATAGCTAACACATGAAATGCTTTATTATAATCTTTCTTTATTATAAAATTTATCCTTATTCTAATAACATAGATAGATTTTCTAATATAATATTATTGAATTACATAATTATCTTGCAATAAATGGAATTCGTATTTCTTCTTTTCATCATTAATGTAATAAGCACACGAAATAATATTATGTTTTGTAGAACACAATTTAATTATTTCTTTATCATAATTTATTCTATACAGGTTATTTTACTAAATGGCTAAACAAAACTTCTCCTCAAAAAATATAGATGGAAAGACTTCACTGCAGCTTGTTAAAATTTGAAAAGTCTTTTATTCTAACCAAGTCTAAAGGTCATATATACTAACTTTTCCAGTATGATACCCAACATATAAACTATTCTTAATTACTTTTATTGATATGATGCTTAGTTAACTCGTCTATAATTATCTTCTCTATTATTCAACGATTTTATTGTCAATCACTTAGCATAATAGAAATTGGTTGACATCTTAAAGATAACACACAAAATTTGTGGAGATATCAAAATCCTTTAAATTCTTGTAAATAGCTAAGTGGTTCTTATAGATTATCCTTTTATATGTGTATAATTGATCTAAGTATTTATTCAACAGAATTAAACCTTAATCAGTTTGAACTAAAATTGAATTGTCCTTTATCATTACAAAATCAAAAATTACATATTCTAAATTCTTCTCTATCTTTTTATTCTTAGAATTAGACTTGTATTCAGTTACATGAGATAGCTTATTTTCACTTAAATAGATCAATTATTTGTCATCAATAACTTGAATTTTGATAATTGGAGAATTTCCAAAAAGTTTTCCAAATAATTTTCTACATTTGAATTTAGATTTCAAAATACCCGATTAATTATCCCTATTACTAACGATAGGGTTGATAAGAGAGACTATTTTCTTTTAGGATTCTAAAGCTAGATCAGAATTTAGATTCTAACAGTTTACAGAAGAAATTCCAAATCTATAATCCAGATTTTGTTATGGGTTTCCGAAGTCCATCTGATTGACTTACTATTTTATCAGCGCTTTATCAGGGTCTATAGAATAATTTTAGGCTTAAGGAATAATTGATGATTCAGATGAGGAGTTAGGCTACTAATTTTATTATTGATTATTTTAATCTGGTATAATTTAGTTAATCTAGAGAGAGTCTACTTTAGCAGTAGTTTCTTATTAATCTCTTTCTACCTCAAATAATAGTTACTGCTATTATATTAAATTACTTTTCTTCTCAGCATCTTTATGTTATTTAAATTCAGATTTTGTATTTACATTATCAATTTCATTTTAGCTTAGAACTCGACTGGAATTACAGGATCTTATAATGATCTATTTTATAATTTGTTGTTAAGGCTTCTATTCAATTCTTTTCTTGTTAAAAATATCCTTCATCTGACGAATTGAATTGTCAATCTCTGCTATATATTTTATTAAGGGTTTTTCAGATCTGTCTTCGTAATCATTCTGGAAGAAAAAGTCTTAATTGAAAGCGCTGTTCTGTTTGACCTATTACAAGTACTTTGGATTTTTATAATACTCAAAATTTTTAATTTTTTATTTAAGTTTGAAGTATAAATCTTTTCGAGAATCTACATCCCTAAGATTTAATAAAATTAATACTATCTAAATTCTGAATAAAAATATTATAAATTGTCTATCGTTTCTTTGAGGTTAAGAATAGAAACATCTTCTTGCTTCATCTTCTCTTTAGCAATTTTAGCAGTTATTTTTATGAATTTCTCAAATGATATTATATAATTTTTTTCCTTGCATTCTTAATGTCTATCAGAAGAAACACATTGTTCACAAAGCATTGAATCACTACCTGAACAACCTGGATCAATACAAACAAATTAGTTCTATCTATTGTGAGTCTCACAAATATTCTAATTATGCATATTATTCATTCAAATGTTTTATTAATCTAAGTGTCTCAAAAGATGGAATTTTAAATTATAAATAAAGTGCAAAATTTCAGTTTATGGAATGCAAGATTTATAATCCAAAATAATACCAACTTTGGAGATCATTATTAAGCGAAAATCAGCATGATAATACCAAATCTTAGTTCCTGAGTTGCTTCCTGTCTCAATAGTAAGGATTGACATGTTTAAATGTAAAGCTTACTCAATTATATCCTAAAATCAATCATATATGGGCTATTTAATTAGCAAGTAATTCTTCTCAATCTTACTATATGCAAATTGGAGCAAAAGTAAGAAATAATGGAATAAAAATATCTTGCTTTGAAAAGAAATTGAATAAAAATATATGAAGAAATTAGATTAAGTAGCTTTAGCAGACCTTTTTTATCTGTCTCAAATATTAATCGAATTATTAGTGTTTTTGTTCTAAGTTCTCAACCTACTTTATCTATAATACAAATCTACTTATAGAATTTCAAAATTGGATAAATACTGTTTAATTATTATCCCAATATTTATATTTTCAGATTGTTAATAAATATTGTAATTTCATAATTAAATCATTGCAATTAATGCCTATATAATAAATTTATTGTATTTTTTAGCCAATTTAGATTTCAAAAATGATATCAAAATCATATTTTAAATTTTTTTAAGTATATATATCAAATTATTAGGCACAATATCTTCGATTCCAATATTTCAATCTTTGAGTATTTATTAAATCATAACTCATATGTGAGGTCCTTTCTACTCTTAATGAATTTTATTACTTCATGTCCTTTTCTTAAACTTCAATCTTTATTTCATATTCATATATTTAGTAAACCTTTCAATCAATATATTTAGATAATTTTTTTAGTTAGATTCGAAATAATTTCAATTAAGATTCTCTCCTTGATCACTATCATAATAGGAATTATTAAGTTTGTAGAAATATTTTATTATATGATAATAGTTTGTTTATAAATATAAAAATTTTCTATATCGAACCGAGATCAAACTGTATTCTGGTATGATTATGATTGAGGATATTTAAGTTGTACTAATTTTTATATTCTTTCTTTAATACACAAAATTAATTAAGAATCATTAAGATGGATATATTTGAATTAAATTATTGAATTTCTCAAATACATATTTCCAAAATGATAGAATAATAGTTAGAATGCGCTTATGAGCACAAGTAGCCTATTGTTAGTGTAGTTATGGATGTCAGACTTTAATAAAATGAAAGACTCTTATGTAGTGAATGTATGGAATTATACTCCTCATAAGCAAGAACTATGGGATTCAAAATAGCAATGCAAACCATTTAAGAAAGTTAGAGGCGAAAAAGGGAATAATATGAAATTGTGATAGATTAGAATTTGAAACTATTAAATACATTCCAATAAATTGCAATCGATTTGAAAACTAAGGTAAATAAAGAAATAGACTCCATCCTCAACGTAACAAAATTTTGGATGGAAGATTTGAATAAAATAAAATCGGATATAGTTACCTTCAGCTTCCATAAGGAATTAGAGAAAATAATAATTTAGACATAGGAAAATGGGAAAGATATTGATATGTCGGAAATCTCTAATTCTATTAATAAGATCAATAATGAATGGAGTGTAAAAATTAATAGAAAATTAGGATAATTTAGTAATTTTGAAGAGTAGAAGAAATGTGAAACAATTCTAAATGATCTCATCCAACAAAAAGATGAAAATCTTGAATCTGAAATAGTATTTTATGATGAAAAGTCTATCTCCAGTATTTTTAAAAGCAATCGGAGAATGCAAAGTATCTAGAATTAAAAATAATCTATAAAATTAATTTTGAAAGATGAACAAATTAAATAATACGATACATGTTATTCAATGACATTTAATGCGAAAGGATCAATTATGGTTTCAAGTTGTTTGTTAACTATTAAAGTATGGAATTTTAATCAAGGGTCTTTGAAATTTATACAGAATTTATAAAGCCATCGTGACATTGTAACTTGTTTACTTTTTAGTAAAAAAACTCTATTTTTTATTTCAGGGTCTTGCGATAAAACTATAAGATGTTGGAAGTGCTCAAATTAAAATGAATGGAAAAGCTCGAATCCTTATCAATTAGAAACTGATTTTGTATAATGTATGATTATGAACAAAAATGAAACTCTTTTGTTTACAGCAGGAAATAAGGGATCAATATCTATTTGGAGAATCAATTTTGATTACAATTCACTTGCATTTCTCCAAAATTTACATTTTAATTCATCTAACATCTATTCCATAAGTTTGAATGAATAAGAAAACATTTTGATCTCAAGTGGATAAAATTAATCTATTTTAATTTGGGAAAAAGTGAATGAAGATAAATTTAAATTCAAGCATGCTGTTAAATAGACATTAAATGCAGATGGGTCTCATCTTACTTTATTATCAGACAATAAATTTATTTGGGTAGCTTAGAGTGCTGAGAATACTTTTATATGTTTATATGAAATGAAAAATGGAAGTTTTTAGGAGAGTTTTGAAAAAAGAATAACTTTGAAAAAGACTTCGAATGTTGAAGGTTTAGGATTAGCACCTATCATATATAATAAGGAAAAAAAAGTGATTTTTGTTCGATCTTAACACTATCTTTATATCCTTAAAGAATAAAATGGTTGTATTTATGTTGAAGATCAATATGATTTTATGACAGAACATAATTATTTTACAACAACAGACGATTGTTAATATCTGGTGGCTTGGGACTTGAAAAAAAAAGCCTATTCATCATTTGAAATATTATATAATTGATAAATTATAATTAAATTATTGTAGTCAAATATTCTCTCGCTATTATTAATAAAAGTTTTAGTTGCGTAACTAATTCATTATTATTTCTAAACAGTAATTTATTTTGCTAAAGAATAAATAAGTGGTTGCAATATATCCTATAATGCCTTACACCTAGGTTAATGATTGTCTTCATGTCACATTTCACTTATTCAAGATTAAATAATTCGTTTGAATGATTTACTATAACTTATCTGACTGTATACAGGCAATACAATGGTATTGAAAAATTGAATTAATAATATGAAAATCATAATACAGGTTAACTGAAAAACCAGCATAAACAATCAGTAAATTTATATTAGATTACTTTAATTGATAAATTTCGGATCTTTTTGCTAATGAATTAAAGAATAATAACTAATTCATAATTAAGATTATAATTACGATTATTATTATTTATGAGAATGGTTATTCTTTTTAATTCAACTTACATTATTATAATCAAACAACTTTAAATTATATTTTTCAATTATCTTATTCTGGAACTGAGTAGAATCTCTCTTCTCTGCATTCAACTGTTTTGAATTCAAAGTTTTATTTAAAATCAGATTCATCTAGTCCTTCATTTAAAAGTTTTTCAAAATAAGATTCTCTTGCTAATCTGCCTTTTAGATATCGAAAATAAAGAATGATAACCATGTAGGTGAAAAATCCTGAAATTCCAACGAAAAATGCTGAACCTAATGCAGCACTACCATCTTAAATGATACTAATATTGATTACATTCCCCATCTATTCCAAAAATGAAAATGAACAGGATCACATAATATGAGAACAATAGCAGTATAATAATAATTTAATATTTCTTAGCCTTATAGATCAGTTTTGAAGATAAAATCTCATTTTTCAATTCATTTTTTATTTTCATCATTCTGTATACATCAAAGATCATAGTAAGAACGATCAAGATAAGAATAAAACTTAGAATATATCTAAACACGTTAAAATCTTAAGTATTGGAACAATAATAATCTTTATATTTTTCAGATGGTGAAATACCTGAGCAGAGATTTCTTATTTAAAATATTCATACTTATTTTAAAAGCAATTACCCCCTTGACAACTATAATAAAAGGAGACCCACAATCTATACTCCTCATTTCTATAAGGAGTATAGAGTTGATAATATGATAGCATAAAAATTTAACCTATATTAAAAAAAGTACATACTTATTATTACAAGAGTCTCTACTATAATAAATAGCTGAAATGTATGTTTGATCAATCTGATGTTTTAGGATCGATTTACCTAAATTAATTTCTCTTAATTTTCTGATTATCTAAACTATTTATCCATCAAAGAAGTTATTCTAATTTTATTATTATATTAATTTCTATGATTTTAATATAAATATAATTGGATCATCCGATATCAAAATTAAACTACTAATATTAGGAAATTAAATGCTCAATATTTAGTTAAGTGTACAAAGGCAAGAATTCAAACTAATTTGGTTTCTAATAGTTCTAAACATTAATTATTAAAACTGTTATAAAAATATTTATATAATTCTTTGTTAATTTTTTATCTTTATTATATTCCTATCTAATTTGCAATAAATTGATTAAATTTGAAGAATCATATTTGATTATAAATTATACAAAAGTTCAACCACTGATTGTAATTGCTTCAAAGTAAAACAGAGTTAATTATAAATAGAATTTATGTAAATAAGTAAACAATTCCTAGACTTTATTTTATACATAATATTGGTATGATGATTCCAGCTCTTAGTTCATTTAATTAATACTTCAATTAATATCTAATTAAATTTACTATTGGTGTATTTTAAAAATAATTCAATAAAATAATGATAATAAATTTCCAATGATAAATTTATTGGTTTAACCAATATAATTTAGTATTATTTGTGTTTATCTTTCTATTTTCTTTTTTATAACTCTATTTAAATTTCATCAGATTAGAATATCCTATTTTATTCATCAAGCACTTTTCGAAGGCATTAACTAATGAGATTTCATTTATAGAAAGCATGAGCATCAAATTTTGATGATTTTAATTGATTATCTCTTCCACACAGCCTAAAAAATTAAATCGTCAATTAGTTTCGTTCTTCAATCAATAGCAAACAAAGTTCGTTTTTAAATACTCTTTTGTTCAATCCTAGAAATATTTCTCTATTTATTAGAACCATAGTTATTCCATATTTACCTCTTATAAGGAGTACATAATGAGGAATTTATGTCGATAATTGTGTCCAATTTAGAATTGTACTATATAAGAATGCAAGTATGGAAGATATATTGATTACTATTTTTGTTACATAGAATAACAGTTTAAAAAAAATTCGTATAATATTTGGTTTATTTAAATATTTGCTTCATTATATCCAGGATATAAAGAGAGTTGAAAATTGATATATTTCAATTGCTACTGTATTTAGAATATATTTTTGAATGTTGTGTAGTACTTTTTAAAACAGCTTCATAATTTTCACTAGTTTATTAATTTTAGTTATATTAATTTTATAAATGTTATTATAAATTATGCCTAGGTTAGTTCTTTAAGAGCCTAACCGATTTTAAACATAACATTTTCAAATTTATTGATCTAAAATTTCAGAAAATCAGAAGGATTTTTATAAAATATTAGGTCTGAGATTAATTTTGTTGTCATCTAAAATGTATGAAAAGAATTAACTAAAAGAAAAAACAAACAAAACTCCCCAAAGTGGAAGACTTGAATTCTCATAAGGATTTAATAAACATTACATTTAGAAGAAAATTTAAATGAACAGAAATTTAGAATAATAGTCTTTTCCATTTTTTTTTTTACGATAATTGATTTAAAATATAAATTAAATCACATGTGATTTAATTTATATTAAGTTAAAAAGTTAAAGAAAGATTTCTTAAATTCATAATATTAAGTTAATGCTTTGCTATTTCCAATTAATACTATGTTGCCTATTTGTTCTCCTAAATGCCTAATGGTAATAATACTCTGAGCTTCTGTCCTACGATTCTATGTTTATTGAGTCGACAGATTTAACAACAGCAAACTATCGAGCAGGTGGATTTATCAAAACTACAGAACCTCTATCCACTGCTAATTTTATCAATTGCACAAGTCCTTCTACAAGTTATATTACACTAAATAAAGATAATAATGGTGCTAAGTACTATTATACACAAACTTTGTAAGGTGGATGCTTTGTTTCCATTGATCTATATTTTTATGATACCTGGTCTAACGACGCCATCACTTTCAAAATTGGATCATTTTCATATACCTATACCTACACATCCCCAACAAGTTATCCATTGTCAATAGGATTTTGTGATTCCATTTTTCATGACGTCAAAACCATTAATTTTACAATACCTTCATCATCATCAGGCCCAATAACATTTTTAACATCCATGAGTGGGAATGGATAAGTTTCGATAAGAAATATCATGATTTCTCAATTTTCTCTAACTTGTTTTCCATCTTGTTCATAATGCACAGGACCCGAATACAATTAATGTACGGCATGCTTTTATGGATCACCAACTAATAATATTTGCCCTTACTGCCCCTCAAATTTATTTTACAGATAATATATAGGTTGCAAACAAAATTGTCAATTTTATTCTCAAAAATATGTAAATGGATTCTGTTCAAGCAGTAATTGTAAATATTTCTATAAAATTAGCCTAATATTTGGATAGTTCTAGTTTCTATTCTTCCACAAGCCTTCTCTAATATTCCTTGATTTATGATCCGCAGAATGTTGATACTACTCCAGGAATCTAGTATATTAACTATAGTTATTTGTTCGGGTTCTTTAAATTCAGCTCAGGATTTTATAGATTTATAAAATTTTCAAGCAGCATTCAGAGTAACTATTTAATAGGATTGAAAATGGAACTTTGGATTTTGAATGGTATGCCATAAGGATGTGGTATAGAATTAAAAATTAATAATACATATTATGGTTCAATTTTCTCAACAAGTTCAGGGCTTTAATCTCTTAAGATTCAGATAGAAGATACTTAATCCTACTCTAATTGTAATACAACATACACTACTTGCCAGAGTTACCAAATATATGGATACTTTGATATACCGCCTTACTCGTTTTTATTATCAGTAAAAGGGAACTACACGTAATATTAATTCACTATACCAACTTAGAATTGCAGACGCAGCATGGGCCATTAGGTCGATTAGTGTCTAGAAAGGATATTGTCCTTCTTCTTGCTAGACTTGTGAATTACCTTTTGAATGCCTTACTTGCTTTACAGGATATTATAAATATAGAGATGGTACTTGTAGATGGTCCTGCTCTGAACCTTATCAGATGCCTGTCGATTCTTATTGTCAAGATTATGATGATGAAACTCCTTGTAATAATAGTTTCTTATATTAGATTCTAAATATTTAATTAAGGAATATGGAAGTCTTGCAAATGACCCCACATAATATTCAAAGTATACGTTAGTTTCTCAAACAGGTGATAATTTCTTGAAAGGTTCAACTATCTTCTATTCTTATTGGAACTACATGAGAGTTTTCGGAGGTAAATATATTTGGGCTCAGGCTAAATTCTCAAGAACCTTTAGCATAACTGCTCCTCATCACGGTGTCACTGTAGGATTTTACATATTGTATGGCCCTAATTTCCCGATGGATGGTCTCTTTAAATATTCAATTGATTCTCTCGTAACAGTTGAAAAATCATTAAATGAAGAATATACTATTAATGAGGATGAAGATGATGGTACAAAATAACAGAGAATTTATGAGAAGATAGATCATAATGAGAATTCGTTGACGATTACATGGGAATGTTTTGGATCAAATAATGAACCTTTAGAAGCATATTGTGCATTTTATTACCTTTATATTGCAGTTCATTATTGTTAACCATATTGTTTAGAATGCACAGATTAAACTACCTGTACTCTATGGGAAAGTACTTATGACTCAAATGTGATTAAGTTTTCTTAAGCAGAATGTTCGTCTAATCAATATTACTTTAAACCTTCTCTTACGTGTTTAGAATGTCCTTCATCTTGTCTGGCTTGCCTTTCTCAATAATATTGTTCAACTTGTAAAGATACTTATACTTTAACATAAGAAGGGTGTGTTTGTAAACAAAATTAATTTGAGTAAAATAACTAATGTAATGATTGTCCGATTGAATGTAATTAATGTTTAAGTTCGACTCGATGTATAGAATGCTTAACAACAAATAACAGAAGGCTGTTAAATGAATAATGTGTTTGCATAGATGGTTATTATCCAAAAATGGGTAGTCCAATTTGTTTAATTTGCCATAAATTTTGCGAAACTTGTTTTGGTCCAACAAATAGTGATTGTCTAACTTGCAAAAATATAAGTATGATTTAATAAGTAGAATCAACATGTTCATGCCCATTAAATACAAGTTATTAAGAGTCAACAAAATCATGTAATTCATGTCACTTCTCATGCTAAACATGTTTTAGATCAACTATTAATGGCTGTCTTACTTGTAATTCATTATAGTTTCGTGTCTTGAAAGGTTTAGAATGCATTTGTGAACCTGGATATTATGAGATGAGCGATGCTTGTACAGGTATATAATTATAATATTACATAGCCTGTCCATTAGAATTAGATAATACGTTGAGCTAATGTTTTAAATAGTGTGATAATAATTCAACAATTTGGCATAATGAAATATGCAATTCATGTGATGATGGTTTTGTTCTTGAATTGGGTGAATGTCGACCTATTTGTAATGATCTTTAAGTGTAAGGATATGAATAATGTGAAGATGGAAACAGTTAATTGGATGATAAATGCTTCAATTGCTAATATTAATGCCCACTAAATTGTTTGACTTGTGATTCATCTACAATTCTGCCTTGTCCTGATGTATGTGGAGATGGTTTAATTACAGGTGATGAAGAATGCGAGGATGGAAATAATATTGAATATGATGGATGTCACAATTGTAGATTTTAATGCTAACCTTAATGCACGAAATGCATTAAAGGATTATGTTACGAATGCGCAACATCCGGATGGTACATTGATCCTACTTAGAGTCCTTGGATTTGCAAAGAGAAGTGTGGAGATGGCTTACTAGTTGGTACTGAATAATGCGAAGATGGAAATTCTAGTGACATAGATGGATGCAAAGATTGCAAATATTATTGCAGACTAGGTTGTAAATCTTGTGATTACACAAATAAATTATGTTTGAGTTGTGAAACAGGATTTAAACCAGTCTCGTACTATTGTTAGAATATATGCGGAGATGGTTTAATAGTGACTGATCCAACTGGCATTTATATTGAATAATGCGATGATGGCAATACTATTTCTGGAGATGGATGTAGTAGTACCTGTAAATTTCAATGTCAATCATCAACTATTTGCTTATCTTGTGTTGATTTAAGGTGCGAGAGTTGCGCTGCAGGGTATATACTTACAGCAGACAAAGTTTGTCTTCCTGTTTGTGGAGATTCTGTTAAAGTAGCATAGGAATCTTGTGAAGATGGATTAATACTGCCATATTAAGGTTGCTAAAATTGCAAAGCCAAATGCTAGCCCTCATGCAAAACTTGTGGTACAACAGGTAATGGATGCTTATCTTGTAACACAGGATATCAAAGAATAAACAATATATGTTATCCTATCTGTGGTGATAAAGTAATAACACAAGATGAAGAATGCGATGACGGTAATCTAGTTTATGGGGATGGGTGTCATTAATGTAAATTTAATTGCGAAGATTCTTGTGCATTCTGTCTCAAAGGCATGTGTTTAGATTGTATAGAAGGATATGCGTTAAGACAATCAAGGTGTTACTCAATTTGTGGAGATGGAATCTAAACATTCTCTGAATAATGTGATAATGTTGGGGAGTTAGAACCTATTAATGCCTGTAATAATTGTCAATTTTAAAATGATTAAAATTGCTTAGCTTTTAATTTTGGTCTCTGTTAGCTTTGTAAAGAAGGGTATGAATTGTCTCCAAATGTATCATAATAATGCATTAGATCATTAGATTAACCTAATGATATTATTGATCATTGTTTGTTTCCCCTTTAAGATACTTGTTTAAAATGCAATCTTTAAGCTGATTATGATGAATTCAATGAAACTTGTATACTTCATTAAGAAACATAAACCTAATGTGAGTTGTATATGAAAATATCTCCTAACCTCTATTGCAATTATTGTTTTCCATTGTGCATTGAATGTAATAATGAGGTTTGTGTCAAATGCTAAGAGGGCTATTATCTAAATTAAAGAAACCAATGTATTTCTTAGTGTGGGGATGGAATCCTTGCCGTTGATGAATAATGTGAATTTAATGATAAGGATTGCTATAGTTGTTAGACTCTGAAACCTTAATATTGTAAACATTTTCATGAAATCTGTTTGTTATGTTAATATGGATATTATTTTGATGTCGTAAATAATTCTTGTTATTCAGTTTGTGGGGATAACCTAGTTGCATCGAACGAAGATTGTGAAGATGGTAATGAATTTAAATATGATGGTTGCTATAATTGTAAGTATCAATGCCAATTGGAATGTTTAGATTGTCAGTTGGGTAAGTGCTTATAATGTGAGGATACACTTGTGTTGAATTAGTCCAAAGGAATTTGTGAAGAGTTGAAATTGTGTGATGATTAACAAGGGTTATATTACGATGACTTTACAAATGGTTGTGAATCTAGATGCGGAGATGGAATAATAGCTGCCAAAGAAGATTGTGATGATAGCAATACTCAACCCTATGATGGTTGTTTTGAATGCAGTTATCAATGTGATAAGAATTGCACCAATTGCTAAAAGGGGATTTGTTTTGAATGCCAATTAGGATTCAAATTAAATCAACAGAAATGCCTATCTGAATGTGGAGATGGAATCAAGAATGGAAATGAGGAATGTGATGATTATAATGATATACCTAGAGATGGGTGCACTTAATGCAAAGTGGATCCAAATTACAAGTGTCAAGAAGATACCAGTAGCCTAAGTTTTTGTTATAAATGTCAAGATCACTGTCTTGAATGTAGTTTCAGAGATTCGTATATTATTGAATGTTAGAAATGTGAGAGTGGGTATTTTCTAAAGGATAACTCATGTAATTAATGTTCAGAGAAGTGTGAAGAATGTGAAAATTCTCCCAACAATTGTAAATAGTGCATTACACAGGATTGCTCCACATGTGATAATATCTCAGGCCTGTACTTAGATAAATAATTAAAATCGTGTATCCCTAAATGTGGTGATAACATTATTGCAGGGATTGAGTAATGTGATGACGGGAATAATATAGACATGGATGGATGTAACTCTAAATGTAGCATAGAAAAAGATTTTATTTGTAATTAAGGTGTTTGTTTTGTACCACCAAAAAAATCCATTGACATTTCTTATAAGAATTCTACTACTACAAGCGACATTGATTTGCTGTTTGGAGAAGCAGATTTGGAAGGAGCTTGTGATAAATTATAAATAACCATAGAAGAATTCTAAACAAATGAATTTAATTATTCAGTTTTGAAAAAATCTGAGATAGAGGACAATAAGGTAGGGTGTGAGATAAGGTTTGACTTCTTCAAAACTATTTTAGAATCCAATCTTATTCATTTGCTTGTGCCTTTAGTTAAAGAATCAAATAGAATTCTCATTGAAGAAGCCAGAGAAATAGTGATAGTCCCCAGGAAAAAGGTCTATTACAATTAAGAATAATAAGCCTAAGCACAAAGTGTAGTTGCAGCTTCATCTACATTTACATTTTTACTTCAACTGATTGGACCACTAACAATAGTTTTAGGCGGATTTAATTTTTTCTGGACCATTTTAGATATTTTGACTTGGATCAATAATTTCTACTTCCTAAACGTAGACTATCCCTTAAATGTCAAGATGTTTTTCAATTAATTAGAATGGGGTGATATAATCAATATCCCAGATGTCCTATCATTAAATTAACCCGGTGATGCATATTATTTTGAAGCTCCTCCTAAATTTACAGAGAAAGATGTTAACCCCTTATTTTTCAATAATATTCAATTATTCATCGCTTTGATCGTTCTTGTGTTCATCTTAGATTTTGTATCAAGATTCTATGTTTACTTGATCAATAATAAGTATTATTAAAAAACTAAAACAATTCATTAAATAAAAATCTTCTCACTTTATTAGTAAGAATAAAGCAATATAGATCCAAGTATCAATTAATCAGAATAGATTATAAAGTAATTCTCTCAACAGACACATAAACCTCCACATATATTGGATCTAATTTATAAGGAGGCAGTGTGGTTCAATCAGAATTTTAGAGCAAAATTAATCCAAGTTATTGGTTTAGTGTTCTTAGATATATGTTTAGCATGCGTACTTTAATTAAAATACACAAGGAATTTAGACTTTGTAATTATTATCATTAACATCGCATTTGCTTATTTGGGAATACTATTCATAGTAACGGTTTTTAGATTGTATAAATTTGTTTGTTCCCAGCACCCCATTCTTTATGAAAATAAACAATTTTCCTACTATTATTCTTCCTTATATGAAGGAATCAACACTAATAAGAATTTGGCTAAAAACTACTGTATAGTAAACTTGATCCGTAAGACCATGTTTATCTTCTTTACTGTTTATTTTTATGAATTACCTTTGCTGTAAACATCCTTTTGCTGTTTATCATGCTTTTCCAATTTGGCTTTGATTCTTTATCAAAATCCTTTCGAAAATAAAAAGACCTTAATTTAAACAGCAATCCCAGACATGTGCATATTCATAATTATTTTTATGACTGTTGTCTTAGCTATTCATGATATTAGTCAAATATTAACATTTGATGAAAAGTATATGTTAGGCTGGATTATTCTATTTTTCATAGGCTTCTCCATATTTGTACAGCTAATTTTCCTGTTTAAGCAATTTTATGAGGATATGAAAGAAAGATATAATTCAATAAAAGAATTTATTAGGAAAAAAAAAGAACAAAGTAAAGGATGATTTGTAAAATTATTTAAATGTATTTAAATTTATATTAAACCTTTTTTTATTCAATTATATACTATTACTTTATTGACTTATGATAAGTGATATTGATCTATTTAGATTTATATAAGACTGCATTTAGAATTTTTATCTGACTTCTTTTATTTATATTGAAATAATGTAGCATTCAAAGACTTTTTAATATTTAAAATAAAATAATTGGCTTCTATAACTTTTCAAACTATATATTTTAAAGTTTTCTTATTATGGTAATATCCATCAAATAATAAATTAGCGTATCTACATTGATTAATCAATCAGAATAGCACTTTAGTGATATTTCTCGTGAGTAATTTAAATTCATCAATAACTATTGAATTGTAATTTAATTGAAAAAAAAATAAAATTTACGCTTAAATAAATAATACAAACAGATCAATAGATATTCTAAATTATTAATAGAATTAATCTAAAATTTCTATATAGAATGAATAGGGCTATTTAAATTAAGATTAGGAATAATTTTAATATAAATTTAAATGCTCACAAATTAAATACTAACATGTTCAGAACATTAGATGCAAGTGGAATTGATTATTTTAAATAAATAATTGACAAAGCAATAGAGACTCGCGTGTAAGGAGTGTATCAACAAAATGGAGGGAAATTATAGGTTTATCGGTTTTGATAAATTTAAATAACATGTAGATGATAACTAACATTAAAAGAATCAAATAATTGATAAAGTAATCAATTAAACACTAGAAATGATTGAAAAAATTTAGAATTAAGTTGATCAGTCAAAATCTGAGCAAATTCAAAAATATGCTCTCCTCCAATCGTAGATTAACCTCTGGAAAGAAAGTTTAAATGAAACAAAAGCAATATAATAGTCATCTAAATATTATTAAGAGGTTGATCTATTTTTGAAAAATGATTCATAATTTCGGTAAATAAATGAATACCAAATCTAGAGAGAGTTGGGGGATGCTCTAACCACTCTTCTATTAAATTATTAACCGAAGATAATTCTATTGCTTAATCAGCTTATTGAAATTCCAAAATTACTCTAGGCTAATTATGGCATTTTTGAAGCCTTTCAGAATGAGGAAATATCGAACTTGAAAGTTGATAAATTGTTGAATAAAGTAGAAATTAAATAAATGAATGAGGTTTAATCTTAAGATTAATGGTGTTATGCAATTTAGTTTGATAAAAAAGGAGAAAAAATGATATCTACTTCTAACAAAGATATAAAAGTTTGGAGCTTTACTGAAGGCAAATTTCAATTAATATAAGTATTGAAAGGCCATCTAAATAACGTAACATGTTTACTATTCACTCCTTAATCTGATTGCATCATCTCAGGTTCATATGATCAGACCCTAATATGCTGGAGTATGGATGAAAAAAATAAATTTATATCCTAATTTACGGTCAAACAGCATAGTGGGAATGTTTATTGCATTATTTTAAATAAATTTGGAGATGAGCTTATATCTTCAAGCAAAGATAAATCAATTAAAATCTGGAAATTTGACCCAATTATCAAAAATTTACAGATTTAATAATCATTAGAAAAACATAATGATTCTGTGTACTCTGTGTGTTTAAATTAATCAGAAACTTTATTAGTCTCTTGCGGGCAGGATTAATAAATAATAATTTGGAAAAGAGACGAATTAAGCAAATGGCAATTCAATTAAATTGTTACTTAATCAATCTAAGTCTATGGTAAGAAACTTCTGTTTCTAAATGATGATTAATTTTTATGGGTGACAGCTAATCATAATTAGTATAATAACTCTATCTAGGTCTATGAATCTAAGGATGGAATATTCATGGAGAATTAGGAAAGTACAATTCCTCTAAACGGGACTCAAAACTAGGACTACGTCTCATTTCCAATACAATATAACAGGGAGAGGAACTTGCTGATTGTTAGACATAAATCAATAATATATTTAATGAGATAATCTTTTGAAGGTAAATTTGTAATTTTCAACAAAATACCCTGCTAGGATGAAAATAGTTATGGGGCTCTATCACCAGATGGAAAATATCTGGTATTTTGGGATTGCAGGTACTCCAATAAATAAAGAACTAATGGGTAGTATTCAGTTATTGAATTCATTTATTAATGATATTGATTACTATTTTATTTCTAATAAATTACTAGTATAATTGATCAATAAGATTACATTTCATAAAAATTTAATTATCATATTTCAATTTAATATATATTGAATAAAAATATTATTTCATTATTTGTTTGGAATAATTTCTCAAATTGCTCTTAATGTTAGAATAGATTATCTCAAAAATTCGTTATTGATAAAGAATGAAATAATTAAAAATTAAAATAATCAGATTAATATCCATTCGCAATATTAAATTTAATTAAAAACTTTTATTAGTTAATACAAAGATTGATACAGTTGATCTTAATTATTCCATCTGATTTATAAAAATATTGAAATTTTTCATAAGTTAAAGTTATTCTATAATAAATCATTTCAGAAATATATAAATTACTCAAGTAAGGTTTATTAAATTTTCTTAGTTTTTACAAATATTGGTAAATTGCTATAAACCTATATTTTTTCTATTTCAAAATAATCCAACGAGATTTCATAAATTTAGTCAGTAATATACGAATTTAAGGATTAAGAGTACATTTAATTTATAAAACCTAATGATATCATTAGAATCATAATTCAAGGAATTGTTCTTCAACTCCTTTACATTCCTCTCCCTTTAAGGATCATAAAGTGAAGGGTTGAACGATTATTATGGAATTTGAGAGGAGTCAGGGTTGGAAGATCAGAGTTCACAACTCCAGAGTGCCTTCCTATTGCTAGCTTATTGGTAAGATGGGTTTGGGTAAGAGAAAG